GACAGTTTCCACCAGAGTGGACATTCGAGAAGGACAAGAAGGACTTGGCGTGCGTGGGAAAGCGCGTTCTCCCCCTTCCCTTCCCGGGCGGCGACGAAGAAAGAACCTTGAGGCTGGTGCTGCCAGCTTTTTTGGCGGTACAAGAAGCACGTCTTGAGTAACATCCCTGATTGGGGGCCTGCCGCCTGCGTCTTGCGTGTTGCTGACAATGTTGGTTGCCACCTGCTAGGGGACCAGGAGACGTTAGCTCGGGGTCGCTTAGTCTGTTTTGGGACCGTCAGACCAGTGAGGAATCTTGGAATTTTGAAAATCCGGCCCTGATTGCTGACGAAAGCAAGGATGCCCGAGAACGTTTGGGCGGGGGGGGGGCAATGAAGTAAAAAATAGATAGAGGGCTGGTGAGAAAAGTACGAGACGAAAAGTACTCCGTACAACAGAAAAAGGAGGATAAGGCCGGCAGAAAAAAAGTCAATTGTCCAATGAGACGTCGGCTCCCGCGCGGTCTCGCGGTCCCACGCCCGGATCTGTGGTGCCGCACCCACGGTGAACCCCACCTGCCAATTGGTGAAGGCAGCGTGGGCAGGTGGCAGGCAGAAACAAGCGTGATTGACACTCAGAGATGGAAGGATCAGAGAAGCAGAGACTCGTGCATCGATCCAGCGAGTCAGTCTCAATGCCCTCGAAACCCGCTTTCCTTCATGGGCTCCACCACCCACTTTCGCGGGGTCCGTCTCCACCGCCCTGCGCCTTGCCCGCCTGCCGTCGTTGCTGGCGCCGGCGCTGGCCTGGTGCGATTGAGGTCGGTCGGTACCTTCCACGCGTGAACGATTTTTTTTTCTTTCCTCAAGCGGCGGCCGAGTGAGAGAAACGAGGCAAGCTCTCGCTCTCGAGTCTCTGTCTGGGCTGTTTCTGTGTCTCCGAGGAAGGGCCAAGGATGTGGATGGGTCCTTCCCTCCTCGTGTCTCCACGGTATCCTACTCCGACATGCCGACTTGCCATTGATCATTGATAATGCGGCCGGATTTCCACTTATATCGATAGCTACCGAACTTACTTTGCCTCTTCTATTTCATTTCCACCCCCATTCCTCTCGGTGTGCCATTCTTCTCCTCTTCTCATCCCAAGGTCTACTCCAATCTCACCCCAAGATCGCCCGCGCGTTTCTTGGCTGTATTACCCCTCTGTACATACATTCATTCCCCGTGTGTACAAGTAGAAAAAGCCACCCCTCACCCTATTGATTGGCCAGGTGCCCCGAGATCCTTGCTGTTTGAATACCCTCATCCTCCTTATCCGTCAAAATGTCCACCACCCAGCTCCCCGTCTCCGACGTCGACCGCTACGACTATGTCATTGTCGGCGGTGGTACCGCCGGCTGCGTTATCGCCTCTCGTCTGGCCGAGTCCCTTCCCCAGAAGCGCATCCTCTTGATTGAGGCTGGCCCCAGCGACTTCATGGACGACCGCGTGCTCGACCTCCGCAAGTGGCTCAACCTTCTCGGTGGTGAGCTCGACTACGACTACGGCACCACTGAGCAGCCCATGGGTAAGCTTCTTCTGATCTCGCCAGCTCATTCATCCTCTCGAGACAGCTCACTGACCTGATCGCTTTTCACAGGCAACTCTCACATCCGCCACTCTCGCGCCAAGGTGCTCGGTGGCTGCTCATCACACAACACCCTCATCTCCTTCAGACCCTTTGAGTACGACCTGAAGATCTGGCAGTCTATGGGCGCCAAGGGATGGACTTTCCACGACTTCATGCGTATCATGGACAAGCTGCGCAACACCGTTCAGCCCGTTCACGCCCGCCACCAGAACGAGCTCTGCCTCGACTGGGTCAACTCCTGCTCCTCCGCCCTTAACATCCCCGTCCTCCACAACTTCAACAAGCACATTTCTCAGGACGGCGCCCTGCAGCAGGGTGTCGGTTTCTTCTCCATCTCTTACAACCCCGATGATGGCCGCCGGTCTAGCGCCTCGGTCGCCTACATTCACCCCTTCCTCCGCGGCGACGAGAAGCGCCCCAACCTTACCGTTCTCACCAACGCTTGGGTCTCCAAGCTCAACATCAAGGGCGACACCGTCACCGGCGTTAACCTGACCCTCCAGGATGGCTCCAAGCGCACCATCACCTCCAAGAAGGAGACCATTCTCGCCGCCGGCGCCGTCGACACCCCTCGTCTGATGATGCTGTCCGGTGTCGGTCCCAAGCAGCAGCTCAGCGACCTCGGCATCCCCGTCATCCACGACTTGCCCGGTGTCGGTGAGAACCTTCAGGACCACCCCGAGTCCATCATCATGTGGGAGCTCAAGAAGCCCGTTCCCCCAAACAAGACCACCATGGACTCCGATGCTGGTATCTTCCTCCGTCGCGAGGCCCCCAACGCCGGCTCCAAGAAGACCTTCTTCAACCCCGACGGCATCCCCGACGGCAACATTGCCGATGTCATGATGCACTGCTACCAGATCCCCTTCACCCTCAACACGGGACGCCTCGGCTACGATGAGCCCAAGGAGGGCTACGCCTTCTGCATGACCCCCAACATCCCCCGTCCCCGCTCCCGCGGTCGTCTCTACCTGACCTCGGCCGACCCCAACGTCAAGCCCGCTCTTGACTTCCGCTACTTCACCGACGAGGAGGGCTACGATGCCGCCACCCTCGTTTACGGCATGCGCGCTGCCCGCAAGGTCGCCGAGCAGGCCCCCTTCAAGGACTGGATTGCCCGTGAGGTCGCTCCCGGCCCCAAGGTCCAGACCGATGAGGAGCTCAGCTTGTATGCCCGTCGTGCCGCCCACACCGTCTACCACCCTGTCGGAACCACAAAGATGGGTGACGTCCGCAAGGACCCGCTCGCCGTTGTCGACGAGCGTCTCAACATCAAGGGCCTCAAGCGGGTCCGTATCTGCGACGCCGGCATCTTCCCCACCATCCCCACTATCAACCCCATGTTGACTGTTCTTGGTTGCGCCGAGAAGTGCGCCGAGATGATCATCGAGGAGGCACAGGAGACTGCCCGTCTGTAAAAAAAACCAAAATCTTGTCAGAACTACAAAAGAAAGCGTTTCATGTGGAGGAAATGATCTAGAAAAGCATTTCGTTGTTTATTTTTGAGAGTAGCTATCAGGCATTATACCAAATGATATCATGACTATGAACATTATTTCATCTATCTCATATTCCTGTCGCAGTCTGATCGTTTTCTGTGAAGTCGAAAAGACGCATCGTGTCCCCTTCGGTTGGTGATACCGAAATGCTCCGACACGACATCCACAAATCCACCATCCTGCATGAAGAGATTTTTGTTGAACTTGCACAGAGGCAAGGAGAACCAGGCACGCGGTGGTAAGATATGATGGCCGGGTTTTAGACTTCCCCTACACCAAAAAAGCGGCCATCATTTATTGCCACCGCGTGCCAGGCAACCGAGCAACACCGTGATCCAATTATCAGATTCCGATGCTGAACATACGATCGGAATTTTCATGCATCGAGGCTGTCCAGTGTCCACAAACTAAGGTAGCTTAGCTGTACGGATACTCGGACGGTATCCGGTAATAGGGTGTCGTCGGAGTGGAATCCGCAGGATCGATGCTTCCCCCACATAAAACCGATCGCCTCAAACCCGTCAACCGCAGATGCCGCGCCGTAAATGGGCTTCCAGTAGTGTAGGATCAGAATTCATGACTAAACCTCAACCAACACTTCGATACTCCGAATGCTCATTGCCATGATTCTCTTCCAGGTGTCGTCAAACACGAATTCCAATGGGGGGTTATCCAGTGCTTTCATGTACGGATATCCCGCAGAGAACCAGAATTCCCGGGGGTGTGGTCTAGTGTTCCCTTCCGAATCTGCAAGGGCGCGACGATCAGTATGCACAATGCCGTGGATTGCTTGCCACCAGACCCTTTTTCTGCGGTGAACTACCACCTACTTATAACGGACAGGTCGACCTCGATGATTGGTTCTCAGGCAAAAGGTGCTCTTGATCCCATCCTTTGGCATGGCTGAACCGACCGTCAAACCCCGGCTTGAAGCGAGAAGCTTGTTTTTGAGGTGGCGAATTTGGACAGAGGTATTTTGAAAAGGTTTTTGAGTTCCGAGTCGTTGATTTTGCCGCATCGTCAGGATGGCCCCGTTTGAGCGTCATGAGCCTTTTGTTAGAATACTTGGCGAACTTGGCCGAAAAGCAAATTTTCTATGTTGCAATACAGTTGATTACTGTTGTCTACATGAAGTCTTATAATATTTCATTGCCAACTTTGAACCCTCCTGGCAAATAGTTGAGTTTGGAAAGGAAGTCATTATCTACACATGAGGTACCGTCTATCGAGCCGTTTCATAGCATTCCGGTTTCTTTTGATGCCGCAACTTTCGACTGAGATAAAAAGAGAGAGTGTCGTCATCTGATTGAGAATTGTTGTGAAAGTGTTGCGTTGTCTTCGAGGGTTGTTGGAGAGGATGCTACTATTAAGTAGCCGGACGTAGAACAGCCTTTCATTTACCGTACTCTCTGCTCATCAAGGTCTACGCTCCTTGGGATACAAAGATAGTAAAGGGACTCTTGTGTCATTCTTGCTGTTGTAGCGATGCCCTCGTCCTCCTGGCTAATGCATAGTAGATAATGATCATTCTGGGACGAGAAGGCAGTATCACAACCCCCCAATTTCGTTGATGGAACACACGTTAATGTGACTGGAGCGAGGTAAATGTACTGAATAGTCACATCATCAGAGTTATCAACACCAGAGTTATGGAATCCGACTGTGTATGCTCGTAGTCAATATGAACAGATCTAGAGAGTATATGCTTCGTCAACGGCAACATGCCATCATAATACATACATAGAATTTCCAACCTCCTTTCTCACTCTCTTCCTCTTCTCCTTTTTCTGATTACGCATTCGGAAACCAGATGAGGGTTAGACATCATCCACGATCTTGTCCGCCTCCTAACATCACACTCCCACGTCACCAACCTCCGCATCAAACTCCCAATTAAGCAGCACAGATACTAGCCTGGCGCCCAGCCCCCTTTGCAACAACGCTCGGCACATCAGCCGCCGCGTCGAGGGTATACTCGTAGAAAGTCTTGGGGTCAAAGACAGTACCGGCGTTCTTGGCCGTGCTGCCCGTGGTGCTCTTGAAAACGTTGCCCGTGGCGCTGAGCTTGGCGGTGGCGTCGAGCTGGATCGGGTTCTTGACTTTTTCAAAGTAGCAGTTCTCCATGCGCATCTCGGTCTTGCCGCGGGCGTAGTGGCCGTACGAGGTCTGGCCGACGAGGTAGTTGTTGTAGAGGTGGGCGTGTTTGACGTTGTCGACGGAGGGGTTACGTTGTTTGGTCTGGTCGAAGTAGTTGTGGTGGATTGTGATTTCGGTGTTAACGTTTTCGGTCCAGCCTGGAGAGAAGAGGGGGAGAGTTTGTTAGAGAGTGTTGCTATGGGCGGGGGGTTATGGATGGTGGATGGGATACAAGGGGCGGACTTACCAATGCCAAAGGCCTTGTTGTGGTTGCGGAGGATGGTCCAGGAGACGGTGAGGAAGGTGGTGTCCTTGCGGCTGTCGATGAGGCCGTCGCCGCCCTTTTCGAGGTGGACGTGGTCGATCCAGATGTTGGTGCAGTTGTCCATCTGGATGCCGTCAAAGTCCTGGGTCTTGACCTCGTCGTCACCCTCTACGTAGGTGTTGCCTGACGCTACATGTAAGTCTTCATCCTTTCATGAAAAGATCAAGTCCTCGAAGGTAAGGCTTACCGATCTTGATGTTGCGGAAAATAATGTTCTTCTGGTTCTGGACGTTGAAGCCGTCCTGGTCGATCTCGGCAGTCGCACCGATACCGACAATGGTCTTGTCGGACGAGACCTTGACTTCCTTGCCCTTGGGCGTGATGTTGATCTTGCCAGAGACCTTGATGACGTACTTGCCAGACATGCCGGCGTACTTTTCGAGATCGGCCTGGGTCTTGACGGTGACGACCTCGCCGCCCTTGCCACCGGTGGTGCCGCCGTTCAGGGAAGCGAAACCGTCGGGGGTGCCGCTGCAGTCATCAGCCGCGGCCTGGGGAACGGGAGTGGAAGAGGCCTTGACGACGGTCTGGAGGGTGGTGGGCGTGGGGGTGGAAGCAGCGGCATCGGCGGCTACGGCGGGGGCGGAGACGGCGGCGGATGACTCCTCCGAGACGGAGCTGGCGGCGCTTCCGCTCGTGTACTTTGAGTCGATCCAGGAGGTGGAGCCAAGGACATCGGCAATCTTTACGGCGGCGCTGATCTTCTTGGAGAAGTTGGCGCGGGTACCGCTGGCGCCCTTGCCGGTGTTGGCTTACTCCTGGTAGACGACGTTGTCGGTCGGGTTAGACCCCCACTTGGACCAGCCGGCAGCGTTGACGACGGCGCCGAGGTTGGAGTTCTGGACGACGACGCGGGCGAACGTGCGCCAGGGCCGGCCGAGGAAGGTCTGGCCGTTGCTGACGCCGGAAAGGGCCTTGACGGTGGCCTTGTTGATGACGTACCAGGACGGGTTGCTCGCGGCGTCGCGGCCCGAGGCGGTGATTTAGCCCTTTCCGCTGATGGCGATGTTGCATGCCTCGAACCAGGCGACGGCCTTTTGGCCAAAGATGAAGTCGGTGGCGCCCTCGACGTACGACTTGTGGAAGTAGTGCTTGCCCTGGTTGGAGAGGATGGTGTCCTGGTATCCCTTGGCCTGGATGCCGTAGTACCCCTGCTGGTTACCGTAGGCGCTCAGGGCGATGGCCTGGACGCCCTTGCCGCGCGAGTTGACAATGTTGATGTTGTAGACTTTGAGGTTGTCGTTCTTGGCGCGGAACGTGCCGGAGGCGTCGTTGCTGCCGGCCACGTCGGCGCCGAGGCTGTTGGTGACGGTGACCTGGTTCTTGGCGTAGTTCTGGTCGTCGGCGGTGTAGCCGTAGATGGTGAGTGCGCCCTTGTTGGCCGGGATCAAGACCTTCTCGTTGTAGGTGCCCGGCTAGTTGAAGATGACGGCGCCGCTGCTGGCGGCGTCGACGGCCTTTTGGATGGAGGTGTACTTGCCCCCGGACTTTGCGACGACCAGTGTTGGTATACACGTCAGCAGGGCAACCGTACGGTTGGAACGAAGTGTCAATAATGGTCTATTATTGCTACGTCTGGAGGTGGAAGGAGGAGATTGTGGGCAGAGCCCACGATCTCCCAGAAGTGGTATATAAGTGAAAGGGCCGTTTGTAAGTGCCCATACCGCCTTCCAGATCTATCTTTTCTGCCGACTGCTCAGAGATCCAACAGAGGGTTTCTTTACAACGTAATCGTCGCGGCAACTCGTTGATTCGCTCTTTGGCTGTTGTGTGGTGAGTCTATCGTAGGTACTTGTGCATAGGTATCTCACTACCGCTGGCGGCTCTGCGTGCAATGCTGTTACAGGAACGGGGAGGGCTACAAGATAGTTGGGCTTTGACATAGAAAAGGCTTTGAGAAAAAACGTCGCATTTACGTTCTAGAGCTATGAAATATTATGGATATTCCAAATGAGGTATTCCACGGTCAATCACTTTGACCCCAAGAATCACACCGCCTCAGTGTTCCAGTCTTTCTGATTTTGACCAGCCATCCTTCCGCGGCGGTCAAGACGCTCGATGGTGAGCCCCTGTTTGCAAGAAGAAACGACAGGATGTCAGCGGGGCTGAGTTGCAACTCCGGCACGACGCTGGAAAATTGAATTGCCAGCTGCCGCACACCTGCATTGTTTTTTTCTCGGGTCTCTGCATCGGGCATCTCCTTTTCTGAGTATTCGAAAACAGTGCAAAACAACTTCCGAATCACCTCAGCATCGGCGGGGCCAAACTCGATTTTCTTGTCGACGCGGCCAGGTCGTATCAGAGCGTCGTCCAAGTGCTCAATGTGGTTTGTTGTCATGATAAGGACACGGCCATCCTGCGAAGCCACGCCGTCAAGGACGTTAAGTAGTCCGGACAATGAAAGAGTTCCATGAGGCTTTGAAGAACCCCGTGATGCGTCTGAGCCCAAATCAGACTCACCGTTATCGGCATCTCGAGCTCCTGCCGTGCCGACTGCGTCGACGTCCTCGAGCAGAACGACGCAGCGCTGGGGAAGGTCGGCGAATAAGGCACTAAGCCGCATATCGTCGATGCCGGCAAGACTGACGACATAGATATTGAGACCGAAACAGCCGGCAATAGACATACTGAAGCTCGACTTTCCGGTCCCAGGGCGGCCGTACAACGCAAGATTTAGAGGACGTTAGGAAGAGGCGTGTACTATAGAGTATATAGCTCGAGCCTACGGCCCTCCACGCCATATACCCCTCGGGAGGTCGGCCGCAAAGGCGGCAGCGCCTTTGCCGCCACGGCGTTAAACACAACAACAAAAACAACAAATCACGAAATTTCTCAACCTCTTATATATTGTCTATGAGGCAATTAGTATAATTCATAGCACTTCATTCTACACTACATCAGCTTTACCGATATCGGACTTCCTCCTTTTAGACATAGAAGAAAAGCCGCTTTCTAGGACAATATTACGGCAAGTGACGTCGGGTTATCTCAGTCGTTAGCTTATTTATAATTATATAACTAAGAAGCAATGCTATTTAAGATGTCTTGATATCTCGAGCGTAAGACTGGCCGTTCTTGCTAAAGCTAATTGTTAATACTGTATACCTACAATCCTAAACTTTACCTCTATCCGTACTTTAACTTTATACGAGCTAACTATAGGCTCTTATAAAGCGCGGCATTAACACCCCTAATATAAGATGGTTAGTTTAAACCGTAAGGCTCTAAAGGTAATAAAAATGAATTATTATATCGATATGTTGTAGGTAAGACATGAAACTCAAGGTAGCAAAATAGAAGAACTATGCATAGAATATTGTAGTGTGGAGTGGGAAGATAGATTCCGCTCTGGTTACAAGATACGCGCAATTGCTCTGTTTACATGGAAGCCTCGTGTTCTTCTGGTTGACGACGCCCTACTTAATTACTCGGCAATGAATTACGCTGTGACGCAATTGATTCCTAAGCTTCGGCACGGTCTAGCCTCATGCTCGAAGTCCTTAGTGCCATAAACTCACAACACAAGATCCGTACTGGCGGATTTATCGCCGTTTTCAAGAGCGCTGTTTCAAACACTCGGAGTGCCTCTGGCGTCAGCTAGGTCCCGTCGTCCTGGTACAGCTGCTGCAGTAGGCGGCCATGAACAAGTGAGATGGAATCATTCCATCAATAATTGAGTAAATCAAGACTTAGGCACCTTTTGATTGATTCCATAATTTGTTCATATCCTGATAATGAACTACACTCTGTAAAAGCCTGAGGACGCTTACATGTTCCTTATGGCAGTCCTCGTCTGATCATCTAACTCTTCCCTCGGTAGGCTCAAGGTGCCATTGTGTAGGCCCCTCGATGCTTCATAGTTGCCACCGCCGTTGACGAAAAAGTCCCTTGCGTAGAGCAGCTTAACTAAGCCAGTCATGTCTCCCTTTTGCATCTCTGCCTTCCCTTCGGCGTAGCGCTGCTTGACATCCTGATACTTGATCTTCCAGTCTCCCTCAGTAGCACCAGTGACACGGAGGACAGACTCAAACATGTCTTTTTGGCTCACCAGAAAGGATGAGACATAGATGGGCCGGTTCCTGAACTGCGAAAGAGTTGGGCCGTCTTTCTCGTTCCCTGCGGTATGTACATTCAAGCTGATTACTTGTGCAATGGCTCAAACACACTGTTCTAAAGTGCTGGTATTGATCTTTGTTGAGCCGTCATCGTAGAAGGTGACTGTACGATTCGGAAAATCAAAGCCAAAGCGCTCTGCGCCGCCGGCCAAGCTGAACTCATACCAAAAGCCGCAGACCAGTGAGATCCAAGAACTCTTGCCGAGACTCTCAATGTACCGGCGAGTCTTTTGCTTCATTTCACCGAGAATTGAATCCTCGGCCAGAGATTTATCGTCGGAGTCGAGTCTCATTCATTAGGAATGACCCAGGCGACGTGAGCCTCCGCTGCGGCTTCGATAAGTTTGACTTCCTGATCCGGCGGGGCATTGCCGGCGAGAGTGATGATCAGGGCATCCTTTCCGCAAAGGGCATCGACGATAGAGGATTGGTCTTCATAATCGACTCTCTTAACAAGCACCCCATCAGGAAAGGTGCTGGTGCTTTCCGCCCGATTCAAGGCAGTAATTTGGTGTTTCTTGGTTCTCAAAAGCTCTCTAGTGATGTGCGAGCCAATCTCTCCACCTGCCTATTCTGCAGTTAGAGTAAATGTGATAACCTTAAGTGTAGGTAGGCAGTATTCTTACACCAACGATGGCAATGTGCTGGGGATGATCGAGGTTCGTGGGGTTTTGTGCCATAGTGTCTAGAATAGTTCCTTTTTTTCTCCTCGCAATATTCTATGATATCACATATGAAGACAGACGGTCTTTAGTTGTGACGAAGTGGGCTCATATTATATATACGTGGTCTCCCTCAACTTCAATTTTGAAGCAATCTGGGCAAGTCCCAAAATCAAAAACATCTGCTTTTCCAAGTTTGTGGCGTCGCGGACGAACCTCAAGCCCGAGTCTCCAAACTAGCTTACAAAACGGTCGGCGATCGGACGAAAGTCGGTCGAATTGCTTGCAATCCTGGGTTTGAACAATAGATCTCGCATCGGGATGTGAAAGCAAGCCGGTGGGATGGACCCATCACGGGTTTGCCATCTCAGCTAACAGTGACAGGGCGGGAAACGGGGGCAAAGTACACCTGTTTACTGCCGTAGCGCGTGGGCGATACAATCTGTATTGACGATCCGACAAGCGAAGCGGTCTTGCGTGTGCGTCCCTCTGTTTGCAGTGGGAGGTATGCCTACCTCTTGAACTTCACTGAGACGATTATTTCCTGACTCAAGAAGACGAAATCAGCATCACTGGTGTCTCGAGGATTGCTACGTAAGATAATCGGTCGCGAGCCCCTCGCCTAGCAAATTGTACCTGGTGGCATTAATCTCTCCTGATATAGCATGTACGTGAAGTCAAACGTGGAGTTTCTATCAAGCGAACGGTATAATGACTAGAGAGACAATTGTTATTGGCCGCCATTTCCTCACTTCCCGACCATCTGCCAGTCTCTGATTCGTGTCCCAAAGAGCACACACAGCCTGGCCTTCATTTTGCTGGTGATAAGTCTTTTCATTTATTCGTAAGTTAACTCAACATCTTATGTCTGGTTCCATATCAATGCGACTGACGAAAAAGAAAAAAAAGCTAGTCAATGAGAACCAGGATGGAAGCAACATCCGGGTTATATCACATCCGTGCGCCTTACCTCGAAGGCCCCAAAGGGTCAGCATCTCAACTTTGCCCACTCCAGCTAAAATGATACAGACAGCGCGACTCTCTCCGATCCACCACATCTCCAAAAGCAAACCTGGAAGCCAAAATTGCACCGAGGTGGTCAACCATCTTAAACAGCGTCGTTGCTCATCCTCTAAGCCAGCAGCAATTAGACGACAGCCAAGATGAAGCATCATCCAGTCTGACAGATCCAGATGGCTACTCTACCCTCTGGGAACTCACCGACAAGATCATCGAATTATATGATACCCAACCCGCATCATCACCGGACAAAACATGCACAATACTCTCACCCTTCCGGCAAACGCTCTCGAAGCCTGGCGCCATGGCACTAATGACCGATATCAAGACAATCGGTAAAGATCTATCGAAGCTAAGGTCTTTCTCAAGGTATCTAATCAACACCATCCTTAAACCGAGTTAGTCATTCTTACTTCTATCTTCGACGTCCAAAATCTGGATTGTATACTAATGGGTATACACATTGTCAAGTGAAGCTTGCAAGTACCGCCAGGGCCGCCAGCCCCAGTTCTACAACAGACAGGGACCGACAACAAGACCTCAAAGAAGAATGTCTACAACGCGACGGTTTCCGATGTGCGTGTAGCCACTTCATTGACCTGACGAGTGCCGAGGAACGCCTTGTTGTGCCAGCTCCTGGCATGACTGTCAGTTTCACCCACCTCTGCTATATTTTGCCGTTTGCGCTTGGACAGCTCGCCAGCCCAGCTGGGAGAGAGGCGGTGGACAACATTTGGTCTGCTTTGTACTGGTACTTCCCCGAGCTGAACGGCAAGATTGGTCCGAACAGCCTGGACCAATACCAGAATCTCATCACCTTTGATCTCACCGTTCACAAAGCTTACAACAGCCACGACCTGGCTTTCAAACCACTTCCTGGCCAGGTTAAGCCATTTTTTGCGAGCACGCTTCACTACTTGGTTGATTCGGTCTTTCGCTAATGGAAATGCCTAGCCGAACAAGTACGAGATCGATAACATGTCAGGGTGGTCCCTTACCCCCTTGCGGGACAACCAAGATGTCATGAGCTTGGTTTCCTCAGACGACGACATTCCGCTCCCCGAGCCGGAATTCTTCATGGTTCATCGCAGGGTCGCAAAAGTTCTCAAAATAAGTGGGATTCGGGCAAGGATTGAGGCGGAGATAAAGGCTTCTTCACTTGACCCTGAGGAACTGAATCCTGATGGTTCAACGGACGTGGGCTCGATCCTACGCCGGAAGATGCTGTTGGACGTTTAGACGTTATACATTTAGGACCTAGTTTGAAGGGTTGTTCTATTAAAGGAGCGAACATGGCAACCAGCAAACCTGCCAATGGCTATTCCATTGACTGCTAGATGGCGTCAGTATAACCGTCCTCAGTCCTTCTCTAATCCTATTTTATCTCGAAATTATTCACAGACGGATATGAGGGAAACTGGGTCGGACTAATCTATAATTTGTAATTACCACTTCGGAGAGTCCGTACATAAGGTACGTATTGCCGCTATCTAATAGTTGATGGGATGCCAGAAGATGCTAATCAACGTTTAGACGAGTACGATTTCATAGCCTAGATATCTAAGTCTAAAGGGATGCAGGATCAGAATAGACTAGCGGCCTCTGTATTTAAGGAGCCGTGTGCGGGCCGAGGTCGGGGAGCATGAGCTGGACACTGGAGCTAGATTTGGAAGGCTCGGTCTCAGTCACTTTCTTTACCAGAGTTATGAGCTCAGCTCACTGAGACAATTCCGACAAATCCTGCCATGGCGAACGTGAAGATTACTACTCTACGTCTGCAGGAATTTCGACATTGGCCCCGATAGTCTGTACAGCTACGGTACCAAGTCCCTCAAAAGGACGTATCCCATCGACTTCGGACTACTGAGTAAAGTCGGTACATTGCCATTTGGTCGGCTAATATCTATTGGACATGCCTTCGATTGGAAGGTGCGAAGGCAAACGAGAACGCCATACGTGGGCGTATCCTAACATTTGACGACTTGTCTAGCTTGGTGGAAACGATGCCTGGAAGAGGTTCGATAGAGGCAGCGGAGGGTGAAGAGTCCGGCGCGTGCCATTTTCTGACTGGCCTTTCCAGAAGCAGAGTACAACTCGCCGATCTAGACATGGTATCTTGAGAGATTAACAAGCTAAACGTACGATAAGATGATAAATCTCTGGTGATTCGCACGTACTCGAGGACCTCGGAAAATCGTCACAGATTCTGCCCCAGTGCCCCGTTCCCCGACTTCTGTGTCGATCCCATAGCCTGGGACATGGCAGAAAACTTCGTCTTTTTCGCACAGATTTCGTATGGGTTGAGCGCGGGGCTTCGGAAACAAGACGCACATATAACATCAAGACATGCGGCTCGGCGGGGCATCGTCGGAAGGCATCAATGTCCAACATCCAGAAATCCGTCGACCCGCTTCGGAAGTTCTCAGGCTTTGCAGGCGAGGAATGCGGCCTGAAAACTTTCTCCCCTGCAAATCTTCTGTGCAGTCTGGCAGATGGGTCAATTCCACTTGCTGTACCACCAACGCCGATGGCCAGGCACGCGAGCACATGCCATTTGAAGCAGCCGCTGCCCCTCCGGACTCGCGTTATTGGAGTAGGATGCCTGCCGTCTCAGAGGATAGCTTTTTTGCAGATGGCCTTCGGTGACGGATGCGGCATAGACTCGCGTGACTGCCTTCGAATTGCCCTGGGAGTAGTGGGACTCGATGGCCGGCGACCCATCCAACCGCACTTGCATACCTGCTGGAATTCGGCGTGCCTGTAGTGAAAGCTGCGATGCTACCCGTTGCATGGCTTATGATTTCGCGCACATGGAACTTCTCATATGGCCGAGACCGTTCTCAGCTCCACGTAGAAAACCTTTTTGCAAGACCCAAAGCCCACATAGTCGTAATTTGGGCGCTGTTGGTCTGGATCGAATCCTCCCCATCTTGATATTGGTGCTGTAGGCCTTACGGATACCCTGGCTTTTCTCACAACGTTGCATAGCTGGGGTTTCATGGCGGGCACTGTCTAGCCAGCCTCTTGCAATCGATTATGAGGCAGTTTGCTAGATCCTTGAAAATTGCCCATCTGGAGGCACTCAGGAGGGGCAAATGGCGAGACATGCCGTTCTGTTGCCGCTCCAATCCGCATTCGAATCCTTCACCGGGTCCGTGGATAGAGTTGGGTGGATTCACTGTACGCAGTACAATGCATGAAAAAAAAACATAGCATATGTGTAGAGACACACAGAGACTGTCCTGAAGCATCTCTGGCCTTGTCTGCCACTTGAGCGTTTGATTGCATGAGGTAAACGGCTGTTGTTCCGAGCACTGAGAGGGATTACATCGAGTTGCAGCTTGGCAGCTTGCTTGTCTCTACAGCAGGAATAAAAAGTAGCCTATCGGCAACAGGCCGTGACGGTTTTGACAAAACGTCAAAATCCAATCCGCCATGCAAAGTGATGCACACTGACGGGACCTTTGCGTTGGGGAATGCGAGGGGTCAATGGTCGATGAGACCAATAGATCTCATCAGTCGAGCACGTGGGATATACGAGAGCAGGCATTTGTCGATCCACTCCAACTTCTTGGGTGGAGAGTTCAAAGGCGGCTCGCGGCGGGCCATGAGCCGCGGAACGGGACCCTGGACGGAAGAGCAAGGTGGTCAAGGCGGCATTGCGTCTGGCTGCTTCCTGCTCCATCGCAGTGCGTTTCCGGTGGAGAGAGGGAGGGACTGTTGCTGACGGACAATTGAAATGAGTTGAGATGTGATTCCTGAGTCTTCGTTAGTGGTTCAGATCTGTGGTAATATCCGTATCATGGGAAAACATTGGTGGAATCTTACTCAGCACTCAGACTCAAGTAGATCAGCAACTTACAGGCTTAGGCCTTGTAGTTGATGGCGCACATTGATTGGACCAAAGTGAGGCCCGTCACAAGAGCCTCTTTCTCTCTTAGTTTACTCGTACCCGGCTTTTGCAAAGTGGCGGACGGCCCGAAGAAGAGGCGGCACACCAATGGAGAGAAAGGTGTGGCACGGAGTCGCCAATGGGTGCTGAAACTGGCGGCAGGCGATGAATTTTTGTGATGTGGCGCGCGTGAGACATCCAGAGTAACGCGGCGTCACGGCGTGTGGTGTTGTGGCACAGACCGACAGATTTGGGCTGCCTCTGAAGGTAGGTAATACAGGAGGCCCACCATTTCAAGGCTCGCAAATGAGCCCCTGTGTCTTTCCGAACGTTGTGACTTCGTACGGTATTGTGATTTGGGAAAGTGCCATTGGCGCGGACAAGAGTCGATAGAATGGCTTTGAGAAGCTGATAGAGCCCACGGCAGTGCTCCGCAGAAGAAGATCTGTTGAAAGCGCAAGACTGGCCGTATGTCTGATCTAGGGCCCATCTCGATTTGCGCTCGTTGGTACGGCTTAGTAAGGAAGGCGTGTTGCGTGGTCAGTGGTCACTGGCATGGAGGCCTAGCCGAGACCGAGCCAGTAAAGAGGAGCAAAAGTGCAGAGCGGTGACACGAAGTCTATCTTGTCGCGATAGTGAGACGGCCAGCTGTCAAATGAAGCAAGTGAGCATGTGCTCATCATCTAAGTTAGGTTCGTCCGCTTACGGATGAGGGGGGAATTGGAGGGGAACTCCGACTGGCATGTTATCTGTGCCGAGCAACGATGCTCCCCTGCGGCGTGGATGATAGCAGCGGACAAATCCAATCATTGAACAGAGTGCTTTTTAAGGCACAAACTCAGTCATGTCGCAATGCTGGGTTGCCGTGTGCGCTGCATGCAAGCGAATGTGCAAAGTCACAGTTGCAATGGCGAAAGCACCGAGGAGCCCGGACGCGCGCTGAGCGGGAAGAACTCAATTGTTTGATTAATGGACGAGAAGTTGCAAGTTGCAAACAACCGTCTTTTTCTCCGAAGCGGTCGGTCACAGTCAAGATTCTGACTTTTTGGTAATGTTTTTTGTCAGGCACGGCCGGGTTCCAAAGGCTCAAGAGAATAGCGGGCTCCGACAGCGTTCCGAGTACGGGCGGGACGTGGCGCCGCCGGCTCTGGTGCTGCGTTTTGCCGGGTATAATTAGGCAGGGCTGATTGGGCCGAAGAGGGCAGACAACGCAGACTATCACGATCCGAGAGTAGTCATAGCGTAGTCGAGGCAATCCCTGGTTACGCTAGAGCAAAATCAGATACAAAGAGGCAGAGATTTCTTTTTGGGTTTCCACTTTCAAGGTTTTGGTCGACATGGAATAGTAGAGTCAATGGTTGAGACCTTGATGAAAAATCTGAATGAGTTGGCGCTAATGCGATATCGCGGCGTTACTTTGTTGAAGTTTTGGTACGATGTAGTCGTATGGATACGGCCAAAAAGCGAGAGGGTGTTGGAGATGGAGACAATTGAAGTTGATCCACGGCCACTTCGGTTCAAAAGTGCGTGGAGTTGGAGAGAAGACCGTAGAAGGCAGGAATGGCCGAGACAAGCAGGAATTGCCTAAGATGAGTGGGAGAGGCTTCCCACCCCGTATCGCAGGTGCAGTTGCAGTTGCAGCAACGGGGATTCGGGAACAAGGGCAGGAAGTCCACCTGGGCAGGACCGCAGTGCGGCAGGACCAGGGGTATCCGTACCTCCCCTGACAACCTGAACTTCAACTTCTTGCGACTCGACAAGGAGGGGGAAGGAAAGGAACACAGCACACAGCACACAGTGGAGGAAGGAGAGAATGGGAAAGGTGGGTCTGAGATGCGGCATGCCTGCACCTCATACAGAAACGGCAGCGAAACAGCATTTGGTGCTGCAGGAGCATCATTGGGTGGAGGGAAGGAGGGAGACAAGACTTGGCTCAATCGTCGTCGACTCGTCACACAGTACACTCACACCTAAAGGAGGGGACCCTGAAGGAAGCAACGATGGTAGCTCATCCAATTGCTCCGAGTCCCCTCCCTCCCGCAGCCGATGACTCTGCCAATGTGCTAACGATGGCCTTGCGAGCGGAGACCTGGGGAGCAAGGAGTCACGATGCCCACATCTACATTTGAGGCCCGTCATTATCACCATCGTTTCGCTAGCTTATGTAAGGAGTCTAACGTGCCATAGGTTCTTGGCAGAGGTACTGTGTACGGGTGCTCTCTCTGCAGATTGTTCCCTCGTGTGGCACCCAGCGGCCTAATAGGGACGAGGGGCTGCAGCACCAATTGATTCTGCTGCTGCTAGCCAGGAACGTGACATGGCAGCGTCCAAGGCATTGCATCTCTGAGCGAGCCTATGCCCAGGTTCATGTTCTCTCTGCCGGCCATGCAGCCAGCCGTAGCCCGGTGTCGGTGCAAAAGAACATGGAAAGTGGAAAAGGAGAATGAGCGGCGAGACAATTGAAGACGAATCACTCCGTACACGGTACCTCAATGTCGAGTTTTGCTGTTGCGGAAAAGAACCTTCCCATTCCGCGCCTACCTTTGATACGTTCACAATGGCATCTACCAGTAGGAGGGAGGCAGCCATTATCTGTGAGGTATGTTCCTTCCCAACCCAGAATCCTGGGCAACACATTCATCAACGCATCCAACCATACGTAGAAAGGGTCCATACACCACGCCTTCCCACCCATGTGCAATCCATCCACTTGGATGTGCGAATGAGGCCGAGTGCAGTCAAAAAGCCTGGACTGGCGAGAAAAGCATGCAATTGACCCGATACGCTGCACAGCGCCTCCCTCCTGCCTTCAGCAACTGTAGAATACCTACACATGTACTTGGCTACATACCTATCTCACCTTCCTCGCGTGGGATGTACCCGTTCCCGTCCCTGTTTATGTTCCTGTTCCTGATTTCTGCTCCCAAGCCAAGGAAGGTATCGCTACCGACCTAGATACCAGACCTACCTGCCCTCGTGGGCCGCAACCTCTAGACCACTGAGGTCCAGTCGACTTCCCACACGCCCAAACGCCGATGCCGTATCGCACCTATCGCAAGCCACCCCGGACCGTGAACAAGGACTCGACCTGAAAGATCCATGCAATCAGACCCTTCACTGCCTCGCGCGCCCCCCATCTTCCCAGTGCTCCCCCATCTCTCCCTCCACCACCATTCTGGCACTCCCCTCCCCTCTCAAGCCTCTCCATCTCATCGTATCCCTGTCACCCTTTTTTATCAAGGCAAGCGCCCCGGCTCTGGCCAGTGTCTTCCCAATCTCCATGTATTTAGACTTTGGTCCGTCTTTGCCCAGACAACTCATCGTTGCCCAAGTACTTCCGTAATTCTTCAGCCGCCGTCTGCCGTTGTCTACCACTTCCTCGTCTTCATCTTTTCAGGAACCGACCAAAAATCTTCTGCCCTGCACATACATCCGATAGCTCTCTGAACATATCTGTCGACGCTGGTCCATTCTTGTGCACTTGGACGAATTGACCGACCGAGTAACTGTCATTGCGTCATCCCAACCCGCCCAACTGGGCTCTTATCTCTGCCACCACACCCAAGGTCCCAAGGTCCCAAGCTGGAAATCGACTAAATACGAGAATCCGCGCCGTCGCTTCCCTACACCAACCGAGCGCACCGCACCCTCCCAATCACTTCCTCCCACGCAATTGGCGACGATCCCTTCGCAGGAGACTTCAAGGCTATGAAATACGGCGAACAGCTCGAGCAGGAATCTGTTCCAGAATGGAGTTTACGTGGGTTGCCCCGTTCCGCACATGCAGGATCCAATTGGCACGTGAAGGCAACTCCAGCTGACCGGTAACTTTCGCCAACAGATAACGTCGACTACAACTCGCTCAAGCACGAGATCAAGGTTCACACAAGCCGCGACCAGGCGACTGCAATCGCCATCCCCGGCCATCAAGATGCTGCTCTCAAGCGATTCGAAGATAACCTCTACCATGAGCTTTGCCAACAGCACGACCGGGTTGACCTTTTCGTCTCCAGCAAGGCTGACGAGCTTTCGCGCCGACTTCGTAAGTCCATATTCAACCCAAGGGCCTGTCGGTGGTACGGGACTCAATTGGCTAAACGCAACCCCTAGAATATATCGCCGATCAGCTACAAAAGTTGATTGTCAAGTGTGCCGAAGAAGGTGACCGCATTTCGATCAAGCGGCATCGCCGGTTCGCCAAGTACGAGCGGGATCTGCTTCGCTGCGGAGAAGAAACACTTGCGCTCGCTCGGTTCATCAACGCCCAGATCACGGCTTTCCGGAAGATTACGAAGAAGTACAAGGTGAGTAGCACATACAATGCGATGCAATTGAGCCATTGCTAATTTGCTGCATCAAGAAATGGACAGGGTCTTCCACGCTCGGCGCACGCTTTCGCGAGAATGTACTCGCCAACCCCAAAAGCTTCACCCGTCGCGATCTGAATAACCTCCAGACACGCTACGAGGAGTTGCTCAACACTCTCCGCACCTCTACGCCTCAATTGAGCGAGCCCAGCTCCCCCTCCTCAGACGAGCAGACACCCACGAGGCGAGGGTCCACTGCAGAGAGTTTCTTCACACCATTGCCACCTGCAGAGCGAGTTCCTCGAAGGCCTGTTCAGCAACAACAGCAACAGCACTACTGGAATGAGTATGACGATGGCAGTGAGAATGGTGGACAAGAGGAGGAATACGCCATCTATATCAACCCCGACGAAGACATGAGCTTTCCCGGTCTGGACTCGATGCGCGCAATTCTTGCCGCGCCCTTCCGTCACGCAAAGACATGGTTCTCACGACGGCAAAATCCTGAAGGGCAACGATTGCTGAGTAGCGAGCCCTTCCTGCAGAGCTACGGTGGCATTTCACCACTTGGCACGGATACCGACGACGAGTACGCGAGCTCCGACGGCATGCCTACGAACGGATACGCCACACATTATGCTACGCTGCCCAGCATCAACGAGCAGCAAGTGCGACGATACCGCGAGCGCGTTTTGTTCTGGGCCACCGTTGGCTGTTTCGGCGTATCTTTCCTACTACTTCTTGTGGCTGGCATCCTCATCTCAACGGGCCGCCACAAGCTCCGCGCCGAGGTCGACGCTGGCGTAACAGTTAGCGTCGTGGCCAGTCTCTTCAGCGCCTGCCTCGCTCTGGGCATGTCGCTCTACCGACGCGATGACTTGGGCATCTGGCAACGTGTGGCCGTGTATAGCAGCTTTTTCACAGCCTGCATGCTCAACGGTATGCTGCTCATCCTCGTTGTGGGGAATGCAGCATAGAGTCCCCTATTTTCTTTTCTTACTGTGTTGCTTAGCTGGGCTGGGTTGCCATGACCCATGTTTGGATCCTTTCCTTTGTCCATTGATTGATTGCATCGGCAACGGGGAGAATAGTGGAGGGTCAACTTGAATTTTGTGGGACTTGTTTTTCCGTCTCTGAAGCGAGGTGAGGAATTTTGACAACCTTGAGGAAAATTCCCAGGAGCGTTTGTTTTTGTCTTCCCTTTTTACTGCAACCAGAATACCGGCCGCATCACTGCACTGCCTGCGTGTCTTTTTTCGCCCCCAGATACCATAACTATATCAATACCTACTAGAATTGGGCAAAAATGCTTTCAACCATCTTGGCGCCCTCTGACGATTTGGCCATTGTCCAGATTCCCGTGAGAAATGACCGGGACCCATAGTGCCGTGCCGACCGATATTGATATTGCGGGCATCACACAGGGATGGAATTTTCCCATGATTCAGACGAATGCCATCTTTTCTTCTTCCCTCTCTTGTCCACGATGAAAAGTGATGCGTAATATTCCATAAAGATCTACGTTTGTTTCAATTTTCCCGAGAAGTGGCGGTAAGGTGGCGTTCAGTTGGCATGTGCCTCTTGGCCGTTTTCGGCCCAATCCAGTCAATTCCAGAAATAAACTGCATAGAGACATGGCAAAAAGCCAAGAGCATGCCTTCACTCGTCGGCCCCACCGCGAGTTTGAATGCGAAATGTCTCAGACAGACGGGGGGGATAAGAGCGTAGGTAGAGTAACGCAGCAGGTGAAAGACCCTGTGCGTTGCACTCGGCTGAGGGCTGCTGGAACGACGAAAGTCGCCCAGACTGGAGACGCCGCTGCCGCTTGGACGAGCAACATGTCGAAGATCCCAGCCAACTTTTCCTCTTCTCCTCGTCTCAACTACGGCCCATCTTGACTGGCAAGTTGACCCGAACGTCGCAAAAGCGCAGAAAGGGCACGTGCAAAGGAAATGCGGGGTTTGCTCTCTCTCTTCCACAACAAGAGCTGCGGACTAACAAATGACATGATGAGAGAATTGCGCGCAGCCATGGAGTGGGTTGGAGCGCTTCGTCGGATAATGGTCTGGGCTGTTTTTGACGCAAAGAGGGGTTGATTCATTGTCCTGCCCAGGCGGCCTGGGCATTTGTCGTAAGAGAAAAAGCTATACGACGGTTTGTTTGGCGCACAACTGAAATGCAGCAATTCCAAAGTTAGCCTCTCTGCCTCATCGGGGGCCTCATCGTGGAGAGTTCGATGTACGGAAACCCGTCCAGGTCTGGGGCACAGTCTAGCCCGATTACGAACAAGGGCTCGAAGTGTGCCGGCGCCAGCTTCTGCCCTCCGACATCCGCAAAGCCCTTTATCCTTCGTCCTTCAAGTCCGAGAGTCTCGAAAAAGTATTCAACATTTGGCCGGCAGAATGGCTCTTGGTGAACCCCAGCAAACTGGTGAACGATGACGTGCGACGACGCAGCTGCAAATGATCCGTTATCCCTGATAGTTGAGCATGGCGCCCTCTGCCGTTCAGACATTTATACAATAATGAGGCTGTCTGTTGCAGGAAATCGCTCAGCATCGTGTCTCGAACGGCTGGGAAGGTCTCCTTGTATTGGTTTTCCAGACAATGCAGCCACAGCCTTGCGAAACTCGTCGGGCATTCCTCAGCGCACAGGCGGCTCCTCTTTCCCCGCTATGCAGTCGCCGCAGCAGCAGCTTTTGCCGGTGTTTGACGGAAAGTAGCAATTTGAGACTCGAGTCTCGCAAATTCTTGCTGTAGACTGAGGCGAGAATAGGGTTCATCGCAAGCCTCATCCGTGGGCTCTAGACCGGTCGCATGGAGGATGACGAAGTGTTGTTATGCGATGGTGCGTGTGACCAACACAGATCACCTGGTGGCTGGCGGCGGCGGCGGAAAGGAGCTCACGGTCTCTCTTTCAAAATTTAGCCATGGGCGTAGAACTTGAGCACTCCATGTGGACAGACGAGTGGACAAAACGCATGTGCCGGTAACATTTCGGGGCAGTACGATGTGTCGTCCCCACCACCGGATACTCAGCTCGGGCGGAAATCAATTTTGTGGTCTTCCGAAGGGCCGAGATTCAACTCATCCGGGAGCCGAATAGTGTCCGCAAGTCATATTGCCGAGGGTGCATCTAGTGAAGTCAGCCTTCAAAGCTCCGGGACATGCTCGAGACTTTAGCGGTATACTCACTTTTTGCACATTTTGACGCCGGTGCTTCTCGCTTCATGGACCCTGTCGAACTCTTCCAAGAGCCATCCTAAGGCATTTGGTTAGCAAATCTTTCTGTTTTCACAGTAACAGGGATCTTACGAGAACAGGCCCATCTTTTCGCTGTGCTCTCAACGTTCTGCCTGACTTCCGCCATAAGGGTGTCTGCTCCTTCTATGAGGGAGTCATAGTGGAAAAGAAGTTGCATCGTGTGAAAGAGAGCGTATGGCCAGACCGCTGCACAGTGTTCCAGAACGTCATCCCGATTTGAGTAGGCGTTGAAGATACCGTTCGAGCCATCAATCACGAGACCAATCGTGAATTTGATACCGGCAACTGCCTTCTTCATTTCCATATCTGTCTCTGGGTCCCGGGCAGGCATCCCAGGCCTATTGGCAGTATACAGAAAAGAGTAGAACAGAAGACAAAACAAGCTATGGCGGTGTTAGCAAATTGTCAACCACATCGGCCATAATCAACACACCTAGAACAAAGAGCATATGTGTTTAGATTCTCACTCCAAGTCTCAGACCGCGTAATCAGGGCCTCGATAAGGTCCCTCGTGGCGGACTCAAGCTGAACAAACGAGTAGACAGTCGGAGGTTCTTCGATCTCGGCATTCGCGGCCTCCCAGTTGACGGCGTAGCCAAGGAGAATGGCAGCCTGGCATGATCTCTGAAAAGCACCGACGCGCACTGATGCTGGGATCGTGGTAGGGTACCGCTTGATCATCTTGATAGGCCCGTTTCTGTCATTGTCCCAAAGGATGTGCTCTGTCGGGAGAAGGTCGTCGTCGGAGGGCATATCCATCTGGAGCGGTGTCCACAGCGTTGCGGATTGCTCGTGGGAGATCCTAGGCAAGTCAGCAAAGACACTAAAGAGTGATACCAAGAAGCACTTACTTGTCCATGATCACAAGAACCCACCAAAGAGATCGAATTTGCTCTTCTTCGGGCTCGGCAGCCAGGTCCTCTTCTCCTTCGACGTATTTACCCGGTCTGAGATTCAACACCTTGCCGATGGAGGCCGCCTCGCCGAACGTGCGATAGCAGCGAGTGATGTCGCCATGACCCAACTCGTACAGCGATAACAGGACACCGCACTGAACGTGCTCAATTTTAGGCTTCGAGAAGGCTTTTCTCAATGTCCATATTCTCTTGGCTGACTGGTAGAGCGGATGATGAAGCATAGCGGTGGACGAAAATTCGTCACAATTCCAAATGGTCAATAGATGGATGCTCAAGACAACCAGAGCCAGATCAGAATCGTTGGGGTTGGAGTCGAGCTGAGCCGCAGCACATCGTGTCTGCCAGACCTCGGGGTGAATCACAAGGAGCCAGGTGTTGACAGTGTTGAAATAGGTGTTGATGGAAGCTTTCCAGTCGATGCCGTTCCCGTTCAGAAGCTGCATTATCTGACCAGCAGTGAAGTCGACCTGGTTGAGCCAGTCGAAGGCAGGCCGCGCGTCGCCGCTTGAAGGAGAAGCATTGCCAGCGGCGCCATGTGAATCAACAATGGTAAGGGATGGCGGGTTGACGACAAAATCATAGCAGCAATTGGTGGTGAGTCTAAAAGGTTAGTCAGAATACCTAGGCGTGGATAATTTTGGCAGGGACAACTCCTTTTGGGGGAAAGAAAGACTCACCTGGTGCATCTCGAGCAAGCGGGCAGACCTTTGTCGCACTTCTTCTTGGTTCTGGTGCATTTTTCGCAGGCGCGGTGGGCGCGGGGCGGGGCGTCTGCGGGAGACTGGTGACTTGAAGACGACGACAAGCGATTTGTGTAACGCGAGCTCGAATTGACATTGTCAGAATCCTCGGACGGCGGCGTCACGGCAAGCCGCTGGACCTGTCTTGCCATACTGTATGTCGTGCGTCTTTGGAGTCGCCACCTCAGATTGTGTCTGAACAGGCAGCGCAGCTCCAGTCAGATAATCGCGGGTGCCGCCAAAGGGCAAACTGCGCGAGGAGATAAATTGACGCAACAGACGATGGAAGCAGAGTTTCGGTGGTGCGAGCCGGGGAGGGTCGAAAGAAAACAGGAATTGGATCCAATGTGTCCCACCACGAATTCGGTTCTGCGGATAATAGTTGTCGGCAGGGACAACACAGCAACAGTGAAGTGGACTATCCGTAAGGTTGATTAAGCACAGCCGATCAATGCATGCAAGGCCGGCAGCGGCAACGAATGCAACGGCAACGGCAAGGCCAGACAGACGAAGGTCTTGGGAATCTTTGGATCTGTTGGATTGGAGCTGGGCTGAGGATTATTAAGGCGAGGTAGGAGCAACCACAAGCTACCTACCTACCTTACGGATACCGCAGTGCAGTGTACTTCCATTGCGTACCCGTACGGGAAAACACTAGTGTTGAAATGCTAGCCGTTCTCTCAACTGCGATGCTCCCTACTAGTGCCGCATGCTCCACAGGTCCAGACTCTCCGCGAGTGGCCTCTTGTAGCCAAGAAGGGACTCAAATGCTCAAATGGAGGGGGCCAATGGGGGGGAACAAGTCAACCCAAGCGGATCCTTCCTCGATACAGTCTTAATCCCGGCCCCGCCTACCACTCGACGGCCACTGAAGATGGGCAAATCTTCAACCATGTTCTCAATGTTGTCCATGTTGCCGCCCATGTTGCCGCCCATGTCACTCTTCTCTTTGTTCAACCCATGAATGCATGTGTAACAAGAGAACGGCGAATGGGGGACAACTTGGCAGCCTCGCTCTTTGCCATAGGTACGCAGTCACGACAGTCAAGCTCTTATTGGGGACGGTTGCAATCAACAAAGTGCCGGCTTGTTTCCATTTCCTTTCTTTCAACCCAGCAGTCCGTTCTTGTGGCGGCTACGTCGGATAATAATGTCTGACGCTGGCTCGGCCATGGTCAGGCGAGGGTCGCCAGTTTTTGACTGACACTCGCAATCAAAGACACAATGTTCTGGCCAAGGGACAAAACATTCTCTACATGTCTACCAAAGGTACATACCGAAAGCCCGGGTTCGAGACTTGTAGCCAGCATCGGCAAATTCCAGATGACACTTGAGTCCTTGACAACCTACCTACCCACTACCTAAGTAGGATAATACCTTAGGTCCTAGGTAGGTAAGGTAGGACTTAGTTAGGTACCTGGCTGACGAGATGGGAAAGATAAGCTACGGTACGTATTCTTTCTCGGCACCTGTCGTGATTCCTTCCCGAGTCTTGTCTCCTCCTTCCTCCTGATCGCTGCCCATTATTGCCTGCCATCTCCACACATGCCCCTTCCATCACAGGCGTCACTTGCTGCGCTTGGGCCCTTAATATCTTACATAATCCACAGTCGTCTGCATTCGTACTAGTGGCGCCCTCTCGCATTACCGCAACGGACATGACCTCCGTCAACCAACAAGGACACACTCAACATCCACCACCGATTGCAGCCAGAGGATATCGACATCTTTTGTGCACCATGTCTCGGTGTGAGACAGGCCAACAACGAAAATAGACAAAATAGTTCCATGCAGTCTGACAACCTGGACACCTCGCAATCTTCCAGAACCAATCGAAACATGCTAGAATCATCGCAACATACCGCATGCGCGACCGCGACCATCGTTAATCTCCGAATCCGATTCGGAATCATTGAGCAATGACGTGACGCATGGCCTTGAGTCGTCAGCAAGCCCCATGTGCCTTCACTGCAGTCCCCTCACGTAGGGCTGACATGATGGATCACGGCGTCCAGGAAAAGGCGCCCATGCCTTTCTTCATTTAGACGCCCCATGGCCAGAGTGGCCATTCAAGCCAATGACGGCTCCTCAATCCTCATCCGACGTTACACAGCATTTCCCGTACCTATTCTCTCGGAACTTTCGAACCCATGGCCAACCTTCCACCGTTACCGCTCTTTGTCGTGAACAGATCCCTCTCGACGTCGACGATTGGTCGCGCGGACGAACTCGAGCCCGCCTTACGGCTTACGGGAACGGACTAGAGGCAACAAAACGGTTGAATCCAAGTCTCTGGGAGCCGGCCGTGACGGAGTCGGGCATCTTCTCTGCAACCGTCCCGTCTCCAACCGTCCCGTCTCTTGCCCTCCCTCCCACCATAGGGACCGTAGGACGGGAGCCACGGCTTGTTCCGTGTGGATTCTGCAAGGTTGGGGTCGGTCAGCTTCGCGGCCGCAGATTTCCATGCCGCACCGCTTCCACGTCGATGGAACATAAGCCTTTCATCAGGGATCTGAATCCTGCCCCAAACCTCTTTAGCGACGTGCAGCTCTTCGGGGGCCAAAAATTCTAAACATGGCGTCCGGTACATAACAAGTTGGTGTTGAAGGGCAAGCTCCACTTGTAGCCGATGACCTCCGCGATCCTCGGCCCGGGGCAACACTCTGTAAGGTGGGAATTCGCCCGACAGGCGCGTGGCCTGCTTCGGCCGTATCCTCGGCCGACCGGTCTCCGCATCGGGATGTTGGTGGTCGAGCCGGCGCGTTATGTCGGACCAGCTCCGAAACACCATGACTGGGATCAAACATGCAATGCTCCAAGGCTATTCCCCTGCAGATGCAGGGACTTTTGGAGCAGTTCCCCCGCGTCGCGTGCTCCCCGGTTGAGTCATTCGGTTTAGTGCCAACAAGCCAAGGGACCAACTTTCTCGCCCTTGAGATGACACACCGAAGACCTTCAAATCGAGACGTTTCCTGTGAAGGTGCCTGCAGGCCATGTCGACTTATCCTGACTCATTCTAATTTCAGAAGACTTGTACAAACAGAACAGGGCATAGGACATTTCTCACTCTCGCTCATCAACCCATCTAGCTACCGGATTGTGTCATTGTTTCCGGCTCTCATTGGTCAATTAGATGATAGTATCGCATCGTCTGTAAGTCCTGTCTCCACTTTTATCCGAATCGGCTTCGGCTTCGGCCTCCCGCCGGACTTTCAAAACCACCCGCTCGACTCTACATGTACATTCCCAGGATCTTATCAAAGACTTGACTGACAAATTTGGAGGTTCTCAACAACTCTCACGATACCGCAACAATGTCTAAGCCACAATTCCGCATCCGCCCAGGAACCTCTGCCGACACGGCTGCCATCGTAGACGTCTACATGGCCGCCTTCGGCGACGACTGGGCCGTTGACAAAATGCACCCCCGACGCCGTGAGTTCCCCGAGGACTGGCGCGCCGCCGCCCACCGCTACTTCTATGCCCGCTACTGGGGCCCCGAGCAGCAGCTATTCCACGTCCTCACCGTCCCGGACCCCAACTCGGCCTCGGGCGAGCGTGTCGCCGCGTTCAGCTGGTGGCGCCGGTCCTACCCCACCCCGGCCGAGAAGTCCGCCACCGAAGGTCTATTCACCCTCCGCGGCTGGCTGAAGCCTATCTTGCTAGGTATCAACTCTTTGACGGACTACCTCTGGCCCGCGAGGTCTCTTGACCCGGAGATGCGCACCATCTTTGACGACACGCATATTGCCTCGGACGTGCTGACGCAGGACCCGGGACACCCGGCGCGTAAGACGGCGTGGTACCTCTCGACGCTGGCGGTGGCGCCCGGAGACCAGGGGAACGGGTTCGGGTCGCTGCTTGTGCGGGAGGGATTGGCGCAGGTGGACAGGGAGGGCGTGCCGGCGTGGCTTATTGGGCTTGTCGGGGTTGAGCCGTTTTATGAGAGGCTTGGGTTTGTCGTCAAGGGGCGGGCGAATGTGGGGAGGCTTGCGGAGTGGGATGGCGGGTCGATTATGTTTAGGGAGTAGAGAGGGAGATTCTATACATTTTTGGGAGAGACGGGATATGGGCTCTGGAGGCTAGAGGTCGGAGGCTTGTACGGCTACTTCCGGTCAGTGGGATATGAAGATGAGATACGTAGAGATAAACGTACGTATTGGGGGTACTGCCTTTCTCATATCCAAAGAGGACTGAGAATTGCTCTCGTATCAGGTACGGAATCATAGAGATGCCAGAAGGGAAAAAGTAGATGACCACACTGGTTGGCAATACATGGGCGTTTACCTACGCTACATTAGAAGTCGCAAGAGAGACCACGTTGAAGATGAAACTATGCCTGACCTCTTCTTGTCCACAACGCCATTTCTGGGGCCGAGTTATCTTGCGTGGCACTATATCTCCCAAACCAGACGCACTGTTCAATGAGCGGAAATCCCAGTGTTTTTATGTGGCGATGGTATGCCGAGACTGCAAAAGTCAAGACTCTTGGGGACCTCGAATCCATCGAGTCTTTACTGTGAATACGGGGCCCCCAGTAGTCGCCTTCCAACACTCTACTTCTTCCAAATGATGACTAGTGTTTTGAGTTTCTGTGAGTTTCTTTGGGTACTTTGCCCTCTTGAGGTCCCTAGAGGCTTAGTTGCATTTCCTTGATTGTGGGATTGTGAACCTGCTGACGTGAGTCTCGAAGAGTCCATGTAAAGCAAGCAATAGTAAAAGAATAAGGGAACTCCTGACAAGAACTAGTCAAGGCAAGCTTTTAAGAACGGGGGGTTATCATAGTACCTTGCCAAAAGTTCAAGTTTCCAAATGGTCAATACTTAAAATCTACTAATAGTTATTTCATCATCAGCAATTACGCGTCATGGAGTACGGCACCAATGACTACAACTTGTCCAAAGTCGTTGTTCTACCCTTGGCGGTCACGTCACTTCACAAAGCCATAGAGAGATCTTTTTTAGCTTAACTGCGTATTTCATTAGGCTGAGCTATCTAAGCGTTCAAAGCCCTTGCAAGACGAAGCGTTATCAACAAGTTCAAGGAAAGTTTTTGGTTGCGCGTCGCTCATTCCAGCCTCCTCTCCATCATCTCCAACTCCTCTTCAGATCTTAATCCCTCACTACCAACGACTCTCGGTGCCCCCGTGACTAAGCCGATCTTGAGTTGAAAGGCGGTTGTCACAAGGCGTGAGATGAAGTCAGGTAAAGAGAAAAGAAGAAAGGGGAAACTTTTCCGCAAGAATGACCAAAGATGAAAGTCAAAGATGCAGGAAAGCTAGGAGGCGGGTGTAGAAGCGCAGAGAAAACGCGTCTGGGGAAGAAAAAAAGAGAATAAGAAAAAGCCAAGAACCGGAAAAGCCAACGCCATTTTTCAGGTCCGTAATGAGTCCCAAACCAAGTCCCTCCCATCCGTCCATCCGCCAGAGAACCCCCAGGCCGCCGACAGCCTCCGTCCGTATTCTTACAAATGCCAGTTCCACCCCCTAATGCCACCCAAGTCGTCTCGTTTGCTTCCGAGTCGACCCTGCCAGAGAAGCAAAGTCGAGGATAGTGAAAGTTGCCCTCCCATCTAGGACTTTCTAAAAAAGAAACCCAAAACCGACCCCCGAATTTGCTTGTGTCAAGCGTGTGCCGTTGATCCGTGCGATGTCCAGTCATCCATCATTCCATCGTTGCCAGGGCGGCAGGCACGTGGCCAAGCCCTTGCCGAGAGAGAGAGAGATAAAAGAAAGTCCGTGGTGTACAATGTGAATTTTGTTTTCCGCTATTCCTCATGCAAAAATTGGCCGTGCAACGAGAGAAGGAAAAGAGAGAAAGATAATTAAAGAGAGAGAGAGGTGTAGTAGGAAAACCAATTGACCGCTTGCCGTCCCCCAATATTGACTCCGATTTTGATGCCGTGTCGACGTGACATTAATGCGGGTATAAGGAAGGCCGTTTCAAAAGAATGCTTGTTTCTTGTCTCGATCTCGGATTGCCCCAATCAGTGACGGGTGCCGTCATTCATGGGCTGCATGGGTTGCATAGGCTGCATGGGCGGGGTGGCGTAGGAGGAATGGCGCGAGTGCTCGAGAGTCCGATCATAGCCCTGCTGGTTCGGGGCAACCGCGAAGCCGTGCGCAGAGGGAGCGCGGTGCATGGCATGGGGTGCGTTCGGAGTGCTCTGGTGACGGGTGTGTCTGTTGGCGCCGACAGGACCCAGGCGAGACGCATGATTGGGCTGGAACGGAGAAGCGCCGTAGGCGTACTGCCGCTGAGGATCCTCATAGTAGTTGGGCTGAGCGGCCTGGGCGAACGGGTTGTCGTGAGGACGAGGGTAGGTGCCATCGTACTGGTCTTGCGGCTGCTGTTGCTGCTGCTGCTGGTCAACCGGGTTGGGAGCGTATCCGTAAGGAGCGAAGCCCGAGGACGAGTTGGGTCGGTAGGTAGGAGCCTGTCCCTGGTGGAAACCTCCTCCAATCTCGCTCTGAGATCGCTGGTGGAATGCCCGGCGAGGGTCAGGATAGGCAGGCATGGTAGTCGAGGTCTCGAGGTGAGAAGCCATGGACTTGCTGCCGCGACGCTGGGGAGTCGGGGCGGGAAGAGGTCCGCCTTGAGGGCCACCGGCACCAAAGATGAAAGGACCGGAACCCATCTGAGGCTGGCGATAGTAATCCTCCTCAGGGTGGTTCTCACGGATGTTGCCAAAGGCGGGACGGTGCGGGATGTTCATGCGACGCATGCCAGACGAAACTCGGGGCATGCCAGGAATCGCGTTGCGATCCTCATAGAAGCCGGCTAGAGAGATGTCAGTATTCTGGACCCAATTTGCGAGCGAGAAGGTGTTGTTACTGTCATGGCCCCAGTAGGCGTTGGGTTGGCTGACACGTCTGGCCATAGGCATCGTCTCGGGTCTCAGAGCGACACCCATCGACTGAGAACGCTTGTGAGCAGCGCCGCCGCTCGTCTTGCGCTTGAGGTAGGTCTTGGGCTTCTCATCGGGGCCGTCGCTGCTGATAGTGGGGAGAATCTCGATATCGGGGATTTGGCTCAGGCTGCCTCCGTCGATCTCGGTCTTCAGCTGCGCTACAATCTCCTGAATAGCAACAGTGGTGTATCCAGCACCGCACTTGCTGAGGAGCCATTCGGGGACGGCAGTGCCGTTGAGCATAGCACCGTCGAGCTGCTCGTCCTCGGACTCATCCTGGTAGGCGCGCTTCTTCGACTCCTTCTTGTCTTCCAGTCGCTTCTGCTCTCGCTTGCGAATTGCAAGAGACCAGCTGTTCACCACGCCTGCCTTGCCGGCTCTCTCATTCTCATCGCTCCACTGCTGAACTCTGGCGATTTGCTTCTGGACGAGATCGACCTGGAGCTTCGAGTACTCATGGGCGTTGCGGTAACGGCTTCGCTGGTAGTGCTTGCGGCAGAAGTGAACCCAGACGTGGGCGGGGATCATGCGGGTGCAGAGCTTGTTGCGACCAAAGATGTGCGAGATGGCCTTGCGAGGCTGAGATCCAGTGTCGCAGTTCTCGATGTACATACACTTGATCTCGTCGCTGCCGGAGACGGCAGGGGGAGAATCGGGAGGCGACATACCGTAAGGTTGCTGCTGTTGCGGTGGGAAAGGCGCTGTTTCTGATACTGAAGGGAAAGGTTGGAAGGTAGGCGCAGAAACAGCGGCAAAGTCGGGCGCAGAGACAGCTCGCTTATGGGTTCTTGACGATTGATCTTGCGGTAATGATAGGTAATTAAGGTTGTCTTGTTGTTGTTTTGAGTGAGGGCTATTGCTCGATGTGATCAGTAAAGAGTCCAGCTCGCAAGGGAATTTAATTAATGTTGGGCGGTCTGAATTGTTTGGAGAAAATAGAAGGAACGAAAGATCGTTTGTTTGGAGGAAGAATAGAGGAGTTGTGTAGTGGAGGGAACGGAGGAAGAATAGAGGAGTTGTGTAGTGGAGGGAACGGAGGAAGAAGGATGGAGTCTGCGAACGGTGACCTAAATAAGCTGGGGAAAGGAGGAGTATCGTGACCCTCTCAAGGCGGTGAAAGGGAATTTCGATGTGAATCACAAGGCCTCCCTTCAGACCGCAGATTCGATTCACACCCAGATGAAAGGGAAGGAGCGGTCGGTCTGGTCACGTGTGGGATCGCTATTCACGTGAAATTTATTCACGTGAAGTTGAAGCTGTCGTGAAGTGAAAGACGAGGGTGAAGTGAAGCCAAGAGAGGTGAAGTGAAATAAAAACAGCGCAGTGATTTCAAAGGGAAGGTGCGATCGAGCTGAGAGAGATGCTGGGAAAGAGCGTTCGGTATAATTCGACCCAAACAAATCTTTCTCGACATCTCCTCCCAGACCCAATGTTGATGAGATCAAGAGCACTTTTGGCAGGGAGTAAGTCACGAAGCGCATATCACGTACCTCAAACCATCAGTTGGACTTGATCGGTTGCTGCCACCCATACCTCGGGTGATCAGAATCGCATCCGACGGACTACCCGGTCTCCCAGTTCCCTTCATCGCAGGATCCAAGGCCACTTGATCATGTTGACCCATCGTTCGCGGTGACGGGGGCTGAACATCAATCATGCCCGGGCCGCCCATTCCCTGCTGATGATCGAGTTTGGTGTCGAAGGCCGGTACATCATTCAACAGAGACGTAAACGGCTGAATGCCGCTTACAGTAGATAATGAGGATATCCTCGAGTGCCCTCCGGATTGATTTGATGAAGTATACGATGACAAACTGCTGTGGCTGTCGGAGAACTTGTGTTTCGGGGACTTGGGAAACCCTCCCGTAACGTGGTGTCCGTCATCTTCGCGAGGGAGGTTGGGCCTGAACGAAATCAGAATCTACAGACATACGAGGGAGCGTCGTTCGGCTAGATCGTAACGCTTGTACTTCAAGCGAGAGGGTCTCGGGGAAAGACATCGATTTCAGTTACTTACCGTGCCGTTAATTGAGCATCCGAATCACCGGAAATGCTAGGCCTTGGGAACGTTAGCCAAGGACTCGGACTCGTACGAATGATGGTGGGCAAGTGCATATCAGGGGCGTCAACAGCCTCCCAAGCTGGCTCACCTTCGGCTAGTCGCAACATGTAGTTGCGACTCTGGTTCGCCTAGGTATGCCAGGCTTCGTGAGGGAGTCAGTCTACGGGATCGTCCAAATACACAAGTGCTCCAGTGTTGCGCCGCCAAGAATGGAACCGCCAAATACGTACCGGCCAGGGTGTGTAGTCGTCATTGGAGTGATGTTGGCGGAATGCGCCATCTCGTGTGCCAGAGAACTGAGAGAGCTGGCCCTAGAATGGCAGCTCGATGAAGGGACGTCGTAAGAACTCGTCGAGGCCGACTGATCTACGTCGGATTCGCTGTAGTAGGTAGGCTTGGTGTGGGAGGCAGGAAACTTGTTGTCAAGAGCTAGATGAAGAGAGTAACCGCCCGCATCCCATGGCGTGCGGTTCCGCGGTGCTCCAACGTCGCTTGTCCGCCTAGAAGAAAGTGTCTTCTCCGGGGACGATGTCGTGTTTTGTCTTTGGAAGATTGGTACAGAGGTGGTTTCGAGTGAGTTGTCCCGAATAAATGGCTTTTTTCCCGCCGCTACGTTCAGTAGTGATGTCACGTCCATCGCTCAAGCGCGGACAACGTGGGAGAAGTTTTGTCGCCGAAACGAATCCAGCTTGGCGGTCCCTCGCGGTGATGTCGTTGTATATGTCCTTGAATGCTCCTTCTTCTGCGTCCACTGGATATCTTAATATTCAGTTCGTAATAGTCCAACTTGTAATCCCCAGTCCAGTTGTCGAGAACCTGTCTCTTGTTGTTGATGATAGTTGTTGGTGAGAAGATAATGTCCGATCTCTAGGATCCAGTCCGATAAATCGGATACTCGTCGTCTGTTAAACCCAGGTTGCGAAGGTCGCACAACTAGGGGGACAGGTAGGTAAGGTGACAGTGGTGAGAGGAAGCGTAGGGAAGCGATAAGGTTGATGGGAGATCCCAAAGCTTTTGTGTGTGGCGCCCGGGAGGCGGGGAGGCAACGAGGGAAGGGCAAGGGGTAGTACAGGAGGCGATGACAAGTTAAGAAGCAAACGATAAGAATATCAGACCTATCGTTGGGATCGCCGTTTCAGAGTCGCACTGACAGTTCCAAAAGCGGATTGAAACAGCCGAAACACCTTCAAGTTGCCCAGTGGTGTACTTGAAGGGTCATCCGAAAGGGTTTTAACACCTCTTAGCTTGAACACGCCCTGGCAGTTCGCAGATGTCGGATCGACCTCGAACCGAGAGAAACAGAGCAGAGGAAACAGTGACTTCCTCGTGCCGTAGCTGAGGTCCCAAGGCTGTACGATCAAGGGGTTGACGGGTGGCAGTGTCAAAGAAGGAGACGTCGTGCAGACACGCGAGAGTGGCTTGCCGAACGCTGGTGCAGTTTTCCTAGATTCCTGATACTCCGAATGCGAGGCTCTTTCTCAAACGTCGTGATCTTGTGCTTCGAGAAGAGTGAGAAGAGAATTCCAGTCCCAAGGTTGACTGTGAATCGAGGTTCGTTTCCTCGGGGAGTACTTGTCAACAACGGCCAGAGGCTCGGCGAAGTTCGTCAAAGTTTCGTTTCGGGAGCGCAAGCACTATCATGCCATGGATGAGGCACACGCCAACCTCGACATAAACCAAATAGTGACAGATTTTGGCAGGCTTCAGACAGATACGGATGATGTTGAAATGAGAAGGGGAGTTCAAGGCCAGTGTTCGGAAAGACCAAGAAAGAAGAAACAAAAGATAGGACGAATGGTCAGCGAGAGACGGGGACGAGCCCGGGGGGTCAGGGACACAAGTGAAGTAGGGCTGTGCTGAGAACGCATGAAGGGACGGTAGGGGTTGAAGACGGTAGCTGTTTAGGAATCCGGGCGGAGGGTGTAGAGACGGTCACAACAGAAGCAGCAGCAGCTTCGAATGTCATGACTAGGTCCAATACGCTTGAGATGGGTACATGGAAGAAGAAGCAGACGACGACGAGGACGACGACGGATGGCTGGACCGAGCCCAGGTGCAGTCTGTCAGGTCAGGGCCCCCAAGTCCAACAACCACGACCGACGACTAGGCTAGGGGCAAGGCCCGAAAGCCGCGAGCAAGCATCGGAGGAAAAGATGGGGACAGAGAGGAGGCTCGCAACGGGAGCCAGCATGATCACTGTGCAAGAGAAGAGTGGGAGAGCTAGTGAATCTGATCAGAGTTTCCACTTGCGGCAACGCAAGGATGCTGGGCATTATGCATTGAAGGGGAAGGGATGTCGTCGTTGTTTAGACTTCCCCACAGTAGGTTTGGGCGCGCCGGTGGGAAGAAAAGCCCCCGACTGGCCACTGGTCCCGACGAGGGTCCATGTCCACTTCCAGGGACAGGGGGGCCATTGTCTTGGGTTGAGGTGATTTGTGTAACTGGCTTGAGAAGCGGCAGCTTTCATATTTGCTGCTCGGGGCTCTATTATGCTGTGCTGTGCTAGTGCGGGTGCACTGCCTGTAGCTTGTCCGTCGTCGGGGGGCCCATCATCCTACTATCGTCCTGCTACCGCAGAGTGCACAGGTGAGAACGGTACTAAGAGGTGGTTTGCATGCTTTTCTGAAGAGGAGGAATGGTTGCCGTGGGAGCTTGGCGTGCTGGTTGTTGCCGGTGGACTAGGGCGACTCCCCGTGGCCTTGTGCTAGTTGCGTGTGCATCAGATTGGACAGTAGTAGATCATGGCGTCAGATACTCCGTCTGAACCATGATCTCCGCAGGGGAAACGTCCGGGCTGGGCTTAGATTTCCAAATAGTTAAGCCGACTGATATAATGGACGTGATATAGGCATGGCAGGGCGGACGGGATCTATCTCAAGTTTGTCGTTCCATTGGCACACTTCAAGGTCGACAGAGACGCCGTAAACAAGCGCGGATGTGTGATGGCTCCTTGCCTGTCTTCCAGGTCGCTTTTCGGTGGATGTGCTGCGGCTGCTCGGTTGATGCAAATGGGAGGCCCTGAGGCGCAGATTATCCATCGATCTGCAAGCTGAGACCCGGGATTGGGCGTGAAACTTGTCAAGGAAGTGCTTCGTTTGACGAGACTGGGATCCGTGATGGGGTGGACCGTGGATGGGGACAAGGGCTCAGGTATGCCATCTCTGACCGGATTGGTATCTGACCGTGGGCTAGAGAGGTGAGAGTGAGAGGGAGGAAGGGGCCGAATTCCCTGAGCACGCACGCACCAGAACTCGGGCATGTGCAGGTGAAATGTTCAGTCGGTCGGGAGAAGCCGAAGCGAGTGCCGGGGCGCAATTGTTTTGCCCATGTCGCTTGGTGGCCACCGCATGGAGCGTGTTTTGGCTGTCATGACCCCCCTTGGCAATGAGATGTATGTCGATTGGGCGGCCATTGAGTGATACCGTCAAGACGGGTTGGATAGATGCAAGCGACCAGATGAGGCCAGCAAAACCACATGGCTGGGCGCACCAAAAGAAGCCACAGGGCGGCCGGGAGGGAGAGGCGATAGGCGGTAGACGGTAGACCGCGCCAACGGCCTAGTGCTTCCTTTGTCACCATTGTGTTGTGTGCTTTGTGCATGTGTTGCGGTTGCAATATCCAACGGCGCTGCAGCCACGCGGTGCCTTGGTTGCTTGGGACAGAGAGAAGAGACCGACTCTAATCTGACGGGGATTCGGGGGCTGGGTGGTGCCAGTCCAGTCCAAGGGGGGGAGGAGGAGGGTGCGAGCCTTGGAGCTGAGCTTCCAGGTTGACTTTTGCGGCAATCTGTTTGGCAAATGGCAACCCTTGGGCCTGTCTCAACTTCTTGACTGCCACTAAATGTGACGCCAGCCCGTGCTTCCGCCGTAGAAAACGTCTCTGCTGTCTGTGACCTTCCATCCATCTCACTTCACAACACGAGGTGATGAGGTCCGTGTGCTGTAATGGCTGATTGCTCGAGTGTTCGCGGTGATTCTGTTTCTCTTCTTTCTCTTGCTGCTTCTTCTGAAGCCATTTCGAGTACTACTTTGCTCTGTGCTGCTGACACTTCCGAGGCTTAGAACGTGGAGCCGGTCCTTGACAACAGACAATGCATCTTAGCGCATCGCATCGGCGGATGAGGTGTACGAACTGGCGGGAGACGGACAACTCCCATTTGCTTCACCATCCAATCCAGCACGAACCACAGGCACGTTGCTGCTCTAGGCGGCCGCTTGTTGACTGCAGGTGATGGATGTCTGGTTCTCGTCACAGTTGCACATCGGGACGCATGTGCATATGCCTCGTTTTGCTAACGTCCAGGATCAGTACCCAAGATGGCGCGGCTGTTCAAAGACCCCCCCTTCCGCTTCGCATGGGATTCTTAATTATGAGCATAGCCCTGAATGGCTGTGATGTCGTCGTCTTTTTTGGCAGCTCTAAGCTCCATGGGACGGCATCTCTCAGTCGCGTGCTGCCAAACTGCCATTGGCCTTCGGACAGCAAGGATCATGGCCCCTGCGCCAACGTAGTGCAGCCAACTAGACACTACGCAAGACGAGACGAAGCGTTGGGTCACCCACCCTTCTACTCCGTAGCAGCATATGGCGTGAGAGCTTGCGAGAATCGTCAGCTCGTCCGTAACGACAAGACTCTGACGACGACCGATCAGTGCAATAGGATGCCGTACCGTTTCTGCAGGCTATTCCGTCAAGTACAGTAGGCTACTAAGCAGAGGCAGGCGCGTCAGATATTAGGGACTAATGGTACCCGTATCGGTACGTGGCAGTATATGAAAGATAGGGCGACATGAAGACGAGCGGGTTGGAAGCCGTCGTCAGCGCGATGCGGGCTGATGTGCTGCAGGGTATCGCATAGTGTGGCAGTCGCGAGGCCAGGTGCCGCATAGAGGTGTATAGTAGGACGGCGGCGACATGGGACAAGTTTGGCCATCTCGATACGTAGTCGGCGGACGATCCGTGGTGGGCATACCGGGGGTGCGAATGTGCGATTTGCGATTGGCCCATGGGAATCTGCCTCCACGTTTCAAGACGGGGCTGCTGCAAGCCGAGATATCGAGATGCGTCGAAGGAGTGACGGGCAGCATGGGATGGGATAGGGTAGCCCGGATGCTGGATGGCGTCGTACCGCAGCGGCAGTGATGGATCATGGTTGCGGTGGCATGTAGTCAGCTTTCCATAGAGGAGGGGATGAAGGGACGGAAGGGAGGGAGGGAGGGGGCCGGGCAAAGGAGGAGGCTCCGATGCACTGCCAGAGTCCAGAGTCTCGAGATGAGCAGAGATGGGCTTGGATCGATCCGGGATATGTCGACGGTCGAGGGAACCCAAAGACGCTAGTGTAGTCGGACTTGAAGGGTGCCTGGTGCTTCATGGATTGATGGGAAGGGTGTGTGTCGTAAGTAGATGGTTTTGCTGCGTATCCGCACAAAAGTACTCTGTAAGGTACGAATGTTGTAAGTAGATGAGTTTACGGACGGCGGGGGGATGGAGGATGGGGAGGGCGGCCACCAGAGAATCAGATAGGATCCGTTGTGCTGCATGAGGTGAAGTTCAGACTCCGATCCAGCTCCTTTACCAACTCAAAGTTGTATGTGGCGGATACTAGGCCAAGGAGTCCAGGTCGAAGTCGAGGTTGAGGTCCATGGGCATGGCATGGCATGTTCATGTTGAGGCCCCGGCTCAAATGCTGGTTCTAACTTCCTCGTCGAAGCTTCGAAGGGGGGTTGGCGCGCTGGTCCATGTCGAAGTGGCGCCGTGGCTTGGCTGATGGGTCGAAGATTGAGTTGGGGGTCACAACCTTACAAGTGACAAAAATGACTGGGTAAAATGGAAAGTACGGATACTGCGTACGGATATTCGTCAGAATCCGTTCGGATACATAATTAACACATAACGTACAGATAGATGAGGTCAAGTCAAAGTCGGGCTACGAGGGTCGAACCGGGTGGAAGAGGCTACTCTCTCCCGCAGCATTCCCGCGGCGACCTGCCAAGTCCAGCCCCTCTACTCCGTACGTACTGGGTAGGTAGGTAGGGTGGTAGGTTCTTTCCTTCCATCCTTTTGGGGGCCGGGCAGTGGTGGGACGACAAGACGTGGGACGTCTCCTTCCGTGGGCCGGCGCCCGCCGTCCGTCATCCGTCGTCTCCATGTCTAAGGTAGCGATACGTCGCATCCACATCAGGGAGGCACCCGTGGGCCTTGGAGTTTTGGTGCCTGAGGAAGTGACGTCTCTTCTCTCTGGACCTTCCCAAGCGTCCATAAGGTAGCTGAAAAGACTGACGAGGGTCACGAAACGGAGTTGGGCCGGGCGAGGTTCCCTTTCCTGCCAAGCTCCTTGAGCACCGTTTGTCCAGTGGACAATACCTCAGTACGGATACCTCTTTCTGGCATTCTCTACGGAGTACATATAGTAAATCGAGGGGCAAAGTGGTGCAGGGGTGGTGACTATACTTGGACGTGTCTCCTGAGTCCTGAACAAGGTGGGACGGACCAAGAAGCTCAGAATAACTCACCTGGTAATACGACATTTACCACGGACTCTAGAGTCTAAGTGATTATGTTGTTTCCAAGAAAAGCCCATTGTGAATAATCGCAGTCTCGCGGCATAAAAGGCCATTACGACTTACAGCAGCCACAGTGGCAAAAGCTAGCATCTTCCTCCCAACAAGATGCATCGATATAGGGCATTTCCCTCTCTATAGAATCAAACAGTATGTCATCTGTCCCATCTTTGACCATCCCATCCGCACATCGGTCGATTGATTCCTTCATTCCACCCACCTGTCCGTACACTAGAGACTACGCAAGCATGCACAGGACACAAGGCACACACGAACACACACACACACACTCTCTCTCTCTCTCTCTCTCTCTCTCTCTCTTTCCCCTACGGATACTTTCGCCATAATAGACATGACACACATGTCTTGCCGTTAGTCCAGCCCAGTCAGTCAGCCCACGGAGCTAGTGCCATCGTGAAGGGGAACCAACCTGGACAAAAATGTAAAGGAAACTTACAAGACGAGAAGCATGGCAAAGTACCTTACTATCCTATCCGTCCTCTGTAAGGCAGGTGCAAATAGAAACCCGAGGAAGGAGAATCTTCAGTTAACTGAAGGACCTGGGTACGTCCCCTGCCCCTCCTTCTCCTGCCCGTGCTCCTTCCCTCACATTCGTGATGACAGAGCAAAGGTACGTACCTGTCGACTTGGGTGTGAAGGAGGAAGGTGTGGATTTTCTGGGTTTGAATGTGGGTCCAGCGTCTCCACCCAAGAAGCTGCAGATGTTTCAGCTGATGTCCACTCCTCTTGTCATTGGAGACAGCAATGGAACGTTGGGCGAAAAGACTCAGGAACACCTTCAACGGTCACCCCAGCTTCCGCCGACCTACTCACGCCTCTCTACCACCCCCGGTCATCATCTTTCACACTTCACCGTGAAGGGTTGTCTCGGTTTGCCCAATCTTGTCCAACTTGCAGCGGATAACCTCAACTTCCGGCCACCGCACACGGGACGAAAGATCCAAAATCTGCGAGGTCAAGGGACGGAGGCTAAGATTCCACACGCCTCCAGCTATGGCACTCCGGGTCTTTTCAGTTTTACTCAGCACAAAACGGCAATCGCAAAACGTCCAAAGGGAAACAAAGCTTGCGTCGGGGCCATGGACGCCAGAACAATATCGGCGTGCGATGCGAGATTGTCAGAAGACCAGACGCTGGCTTGACACGCCGAAGCACCCGCAGATGCAGAGTCTCGAGCTTCTTTCTCTCCCTTCAGAGGCTCAGAGCTAGCTTGACGGAAGGCGGCATGCTCCAGAAGTGTTTCTACTCGTTCCGCTACCGTCTCTAATCCTGCCCGTTGCTGGCGGAAGCATCAGCAGCAGCAGAAGCAGCAGCTGACAAGTGTCATCGCATCGCCCATCATCACCGATCACCGTCTTGAGCGACCAACAGCCCACCCACACTAGCCAGCTGTTTGCTGACCGACCAAAGTCTGGACCTGCTCCAATGACTAGCTCTCCCGCTCTCTCGCCCTCGCTCTTCCTCACTCTTTTGCGTCCTCCCAAGTTTGCTTCACGCTCCGTTGACGAAAGTCGGTGAGCACAGGCATCCATCGCACACGTTGTGAGATGCGCCAGATCATGGCCAGTCCACCCACTAAAGACGATGGGTGTTACCTAGCGCCTTATCCATGGCCTCAAGTAAGTTGTCTTGGTAGCAGCTAAGGTGCCTCAAGCTTGGCTTCCGCGAAGAAGATGAGTTGACGGAGAGGGATGCGACGCAAACTCGGCCCACGGAAGCTTGGGTCGACAAGGTCTAGCTCCAGGGCGCACCCGAATACCATGAGCACCACCACCGGCACCAGCTTCATCTAGTTTTTTTACCCTCATTCCTACGACACAGGAAAAGTTTAAGCGCTTGCCCGCCCTACGACGCTATCAAGCTACGGACGACACGTCTTCGTCTGAGAGGCTTGATTAGTGGGTGCTGTTCCTAGCCCTTCGCCTTCGACACCTTACCCTCGGTCTCGGGTCCGAAGCCTCTGAGCAAAGATACCCGGGGACGGACGAGACAAGACTCAGCTGTCTCCAGGCCCTCTGTGGCCGCCGGCAGACCAGCCCGCCAAACTCCAAAGCCAGCCCAGGGCAACATCCTCTGACAAGGACTGCTGCAGGGAGATATCCCTGCGCCGATCATCTCGAAGCGACAACCTCTCAAGCTTGCACTCTCGGACCCCGGTCTCGAGTGATTTACAATGGTTTCATCTCAACTTTTATCCTCTGCACTAACGCCATCATGATACGAAGAAAGACTCGGGACCTACTCCAGTGCCACTCATCCAAGCCACTGCCACTTGTCGCTGTCATTTGCCAGCATGAGCTTTACACCATCTCCAATTTTGGTGTCCCTCCCTTCTTCGCGGATCTTTCTGGTGGCCCCAAGAGTTCGAACGACGAGGGGACGAGGAGTATTCTTCAGCGGCCTGTTCCTTGCGACTACGACGCTGGAAGTAATGTGGACCGACGCCGTCCCAAATTTTGCTTACGGCCATGCGCCATTACACACACGTTGCAGAGGCGGCGCCTTGCTAATCCCCGTCGGTGCCCGAATCACAAAATATTCCGCGAGACCAACATGGCCCGTATGCGCCAGTACGTGCGAGCGGTCGGCAGAGGCGTGTCAGGTGCCTGCAGTGGAAGGCCGCTAACGTTAAGGTTAACCAACCTTGGTCTGGTTGCGCCTGGCCTACTGCGTGCTCTTTACGTACTTGGCTCGACACAATGCAAATGCCTTGATCAATAGTAGCGCGGCAGCATGCGGTGTTCCTTGAAGGCTTTGAAGCGTGTCTCAAAGCCATTGTGCACACAAAAAAGTGTTTGAAGGTCTCAGATGCCAAATGAGGCTTATAGCCATGGCTATGGCGGCATGCACGACACGACAAGTCAACTCATGTTTTCTTGCGGTCCGCTCACCATCGACTGTGACCATCGGCCACCAGCATGGTCGCAGATTAGCGAGTCAGGCAGGCAGACAGTCGTCCGTGATGTTGAGCCGAATGCTTGAGCAAGCGAACTCGATCTACCGGACCGCCATCGGTCGGTTCAGCCGCTATCTCATCCCCCACAAGATCCTCCAATTTCCATCCGCGCCTTGAGACAAACGCCGCTGCCGAATATAGAAGACTGAGAGCTTCCATCGAAGGGCCCGTGGGCACAACAAGCCGCAAGACACCTGTCTGGCCCCCGGTGCCTCTGGGCAACGGTGTTTGTTTCATTCTTTTCGTATTCTGGAAGCCGAGGAGTGCCCTTCGCTAAGCCCTTTGAACGAAATTGCGACCGCTTGAGACAAGAACAACATTGGGTTTCCCTTTCGAGTCAGTCGGTCGTAACGTCGTAGCGTTGCTGTGCGTCTCACAGCAACGGTTTGAGAGAAGAGCCTGTCCATTCGACCATCAGACCTTTCTTCTCTTTCTCTCCATTGTCATTTGCCCCTTGCGTCGACCGGCCGAGGAAACCTCAGACGGGGTGGACAGATGTAACTCCAATTTTTTCCCCGTCGGTCTTTCTCAACTTTCCCATCCGGCGTTAAGGTCTCACATGTGTCATCGTCTGATGGCGAAACCGAAAAGTTGGGAGTTGGGCCACAAGAGACAAGAGGAAGAAAGAGAGAGAAAGCAAAAGGAGGGCACGTCCGATCGCGCACCTACCTGTGCTCTCCTCTACCTCACCTTTTTCTTCTTCTCTTTACCTTCGCATCGGCGGCCTGAAGAGGCCGGGGATCAGGGCACCTTTCGGCGTGCGGTCTGAACTTTGAATCTGTCCAGTATGGCGAAAATAACAAAACGGACCATAGAAAATATGCCTTGAATGACCTGTGACAACCACACACACACACACACACGCGCGCACACATCCTTTTTTGAAGAGATGACGAGGGCGGGTTGGTCCGTGAGTGAAGATGAAGGTGGCGAATCCGAATAAGAGACGACATGTGCAACTCTTTTTGGTTTTCTCCTGGCCCCCATGGGACGCCGAGAGCTCCCCGAACACAACTCGGAGTATCCGTAGGGCCCCCCACCCCTTCCGGAAGCAAAGGCCCGGGTTGTGTCCAGCGACCACCCGCACTACCATCGCGGGGCCGGCCACCCCGTGGAATTTGCGGGTCACGGGCTGCTGGATTGACATGAACACGGGAAGTCGAGATTGTTTCCTCCGGACGGTTGTTGTTGATTTGACTACAACTTCGGAGTTTTTCTTTGTCCAGCCTGGGTGCCTAAATATTTCCGAGCCTGGGCAATCGTGTATTGAGGCTTCTTATTGGTCTGCGCCATTGTAATAGAGAACCTAGGTTTAATTAGCGCCTCACGTAAGATTTCGGAGGAATAGGAGAAGCAATCACCGAGCAGAGACCGTAGGCCGTACAACGTGAAGACCCGCGTCACTTATTATTACTATGCCTTTTGAATTTTTTAATATTGTAATTGATGGATAGATGTAGGTGAGCTTGCTTCAACTGCGACGCGATCATTGTCAATCGTGGGGTTTGTTTCTAGGTCATCATGTCCCTCGGAGAGCAAAGCCTGAACCAAGGAGCTTACTAAAGCGCCGCGGCATCAACATCCAACAACATGCCGACGTCAACGCCAGATCCGGGTCCTCCGCCGGGCAAGATGCGCCTCAACATCGTCATCCTCTTCATGGGCTCACGCGGCGACCTCCAACCTTCTTTAGCCGTCGCAAAACTCCTACAGCGCCGCCACGGCCACCGCGTCCGCATCGCGAGCCACCCGCCGTACCGCGCCGCCGTCAAGGCCGAAGGTGTGGGGTTTTACGGGATCGGCAGGACGGACATCAAGACCATGATGGAGAGGAGGCTTCTTCCGCAAAAGGAGCTGGGGGAGCTTGTGCCGGTTATTCGGGAGGAGTTTCGGGAGATGGGGGAGCGGTGGTGGGGGGCTTGTGTTGATGGGTTTGGGTTTGATCATGGGGAGGAGAGCGAGGGTGCAAGGGGAGAAGTAGGAGGAGGAGGAGGAGGGGAGAAGGGAGCGTTTGTGGCGGATTTGATCATGTCTACGATGCACGTGTATAACCAGACCTCTGCGGCGGCGAGGCTTGGTGTGCCGTTGCATTTGTTTGGGATGAATCCGAGGATCTTTTCGAAGGAGGTGCCGCATTCGCAGGCTGAGTGGGCTTTGAAGGGCCCGAGTGAGGGGAAGAATGTTTTGTCTTGGTGGGTTCAGGATTTTATGTGAGTCTTTTCTTTCCCCTCTTCTCATGATAATTTGTTTTACACGATCTGTTTTCGATCGTTCCCCCTTGGGTTGGACATATTAGCCCATTCTCAGAGTTACTGAGGGGGGGAGGGGGGCTGGTAGCTCTGAAAGGGGGGTTGATATTTGATAACCTTCAGCTAACCACTTACGACAGGTTCCTCGAGACGATGAAATCCGTCATCAACGACGTCCGCGTCAACGTAATGGGCTTGGAGAGCATGTCCCCCGCCTGGTGGCTGAGCCAGTACAACAGGATGAATGTCCCCTGCACATACCTCTGGTCGCCGAGACTCCTCTTGAAGCCGAGGGACTGGGCGGATAACATCGACGTTGCGGGCTTCGTATTCGAGGATGTGCCTTCGGATTATACCCCGTCTCCAGAGTTGGCTGCGTTCCTGGAGGCTGACCCGGAGATGCCGCCGGTGTATATCGGTTTTGGGAGCATGTCGTTTGCGAATGCGCAGGATGTGTTCGAGGGAATATTTGAGGCGACAAGGAGGGTTGGTGTTAGGGCCGTTGTTGGGAAGGGGTGGTCTAATTTGGTCAAGGAGGAGGTTGGGCGGGATGGGAAGGGGGATGATGGTGATGGTGAGAGTCAAACGGACGGCGGGAAAGGTGGGAACAGAGACATGTCGCATATATTCATCGTCGACGAGGCGCCGCACGCGTGGCTGTTTCCTCGGGTCAGGGCCGTGGTGTGTCACGGGGGAAGCGGGACGACGGCCATGGCGCTTCGGAGCGGGCGGCCTACGCTCGTTGTGCCTGTTGCCGGGGACCAGCCTTTCTGGGGCACGAGGGTCCACGCTGTCGGGTGTGGGCCTGAAGCCAAGTATGGTTTGGCGGAGATGAATTGCGAGAGGTTCGAGGAAGGGCTGAGGGAGCTTTTGAAACCTGGCTACGCTGCTGCCGCGGAGAGGTTTGCGGTTCAGGTGAAGGGGGAGAGGCCTGGGGAGGAGGTTTGTGTTGAGAGGGTGCTTGAGACGGTTGGGGTTTATGAGAGGGTGGGGAGGTGTGTTGTTTATGATGGACGGCCTGCTGTTTGGAAGGTAGCAGCGAGGGCGGAGGGAGGACAAGGAGAGAGGAAGTTGTCTGCTGTTGCTGCGCATGTTCTTGTTGAGAGTGGAAGGGTGAGGAGGGAGGATTTGAGGGTGTTGGAGGTGGTTAAGTGGCCTGATTTGACGGGGCCTGGGGACCCGGTGACGGGGTTGATTCTTGGGGTGCAAAAGGCGTTTGGGAATGTTACTGCGGATGGGAGGACTGGCAGATGGGGGAGGTTGGGGCTTCATGTTTTGAGAGGTGAGTTTTGCTGCTTTCTCGTGGTCCTGGTGATATTGTTTCTTGTCACTTTTGTGGATGATGTTCCGACTGACTATTGGTATCTAAAGCTCCCCTCACGATCCTGGCCGCCGTGGCGTTCGGCCTCTTCAACCTACTCGACTTCATCCTCTACGAACTCGCCTCGTCTTTCGAGCCGAAGCTCTACGCGAGTAACCCGCGGCTATACTCCTACCTGCGGATGCTTCTCTTCCTCCTATCCGCGCCTTTTGTCGAGCTCGCTTCCGTTATGACGCAGCCGGCGCGCTTTCTAGCGGCGAGAAGACAAGGAGGAAAGGGGGGAAGAAGGAAAAGCTTGCTGAGGGTGATCCTCCAGGTGCCGCTTGCACTTCTGAGAGTGGTTTTGGCGCTGGTTAATGTCCTGGTTGGCGGGCTTGGTATTACGCTTCGGCAGCTGGAGCTTTCTTGTGCGAGGGCTATGGGGGAGAGGCCTGTGGGAGATGTTGTTGCCGAAGCGAGGATTCTGCAGGGGAGGGTTGAGGCGGAGGGGTTGAGGGTTGAAGGGGTTGAGAGTGGGAGGGATTTGGTGGGGGATATTGTTCGGAGGTGGGATGAGCGGAAGAAGGCTTGAGTACGTAGCTAGTTGTCAATACTACATAATAAGATGGTCACTTTGTAATCGAAGATTGTATTGAGCGGACAGTGCTTTGGGCTAGCAATATGGGCATCAAGACCTCTTCCGGCGGTTAGAGTCGAATTACAGTGGTGAGGTATCTAGTTAAAAGTGACTTCGGGTGGATGTAAACCCGTGGCGTATATGACCAGCCCGTTCCGTTACACAGCAGCCCTCTCATCCCATAAAGAAGGGGCGTGTGAGTATAGAACATGATACGAATATTCTCCGATACATGTTATGTCGTGATACAGGACATACAGCTGCCGTACTGCGGGCAGCCGGCGCCCCGGGCCACGTCAACTTCTTGTGTTGCAGTGATGGGATAAGGCAAGGCAAGGTTTGGTAGGTTGGTAGGATACTTGCGTGCCGCGTACGGGTTCGGGATGTTTCTCGCATCTTGGCCATGCGCGCGGCTTGCGACGTGCGGTTGTGGTATGCGATCTGCGTTGGTATCAGGTTGATATGGGGAGCGTTTGATCGTATCTGTAGGTGGGCATGTCCTAGTTCCCGCTGGGCATTTGATGTTGGGTCGGCAGGTCCTGGCCGGCGTGAGACTCTCTGGTGGTGTATTATTCACGAAATGTTGCTACTTACGCAAGAGGGTTCGATTGATCTCGACGTTGAGGATGAAGTCTTTGTCTTTTTATCTCAAGGTGGTTACGGCGGGGTTTCTGTGATACCTAGATGGCTTCTGGTAGAGTTAAAATCGCATTGAAGTCGGGAGGGGGACTGTCATCCAATGGGTTGGGAAAGGTGTCTTGTGAAACTTGAGCTGACCCAATTGACAGCTTGACCTTTTTGAGTGAGGAAGCGTTCCGCATATCTAGTTCTTTAGCTAAATATCGTACATATCAGTATACTGGTTCGAAGTCTTCCTCTGTCTTTGTTGCAAAACACCAACAGAAATGCACGGGACTGTGGTTTACACCAAATGAATCGCGGGAAACTTGCATCTGGAGGAACATTTATTTCGAGTTGATCTACTTTAAATCCCTCCAGTAAGATAGCTAGGTCAAAGTCTCACGTGAAATCAGATCACTTCGAAGAGAGATCGTTGTGAGACCAGAACCGTTCTTGAATGGATGAAGTCCTTGGTATTATAATCATGTCCTCGACTATTTGAATACTATACGCCCGCCCCATTAATGAGGATAGGCCATAACGTAACCCAAGTTGATCATCAAATTGAAACATTCCAATTTCTGAAGCAATCCGATTCTGTACATCTTTCAAATTTGAAAAGTTGTCAAAAGTTGTCAAAAGTTGTCGTGATGAGGTGTTCAGGTGATCGCATAGTGGGGTTATGCACGTAGGAGATGTTAATCGCCTCCCACCCACCATGTTCAGCGTACAGTGCTCAACGCGACTCCATGCGCTCCACGCGACCATCCACGGAGCTTCCACGGCCAGCTTATTCCTACACATCAACTCAATCAGCGTCAATATTCCCTGCCCAACCCGCTTGACAATACACATCTCCAGAGAGAAGACCTACGCGATGACCGCGCCTCTTCTCGCCTCTGAATTTCCAAGACGAAGACGCGGTCCATTTGGCTGACCCCAATGACGCAACCACCGCCATCAGTCAGTCCTCCAACACCTTCGTCGCGATCTGTCGTCACTGACCTTCTCGTTTGCAGACACCTACACCTCGTCGATTTCTGCTTTCCAAAAGACCTCCAGCGTCGCAGCAGCACACACCAGGAAGCGGCCCACCCGTCTTCGCCGGCAGCCAGCGCTTTCAACCCACGCCCCGATTCGCCCCTGCGTCGTCGACCCAGCGACCTCCCGCAACACCTGTCTTCCCTGGTTCACTCCGACCGTCAAGACACCGAGACCCGATCCACGATGTTCTGGATAGTTCCTCGACAGGTGCGCCCGTCTCGGCGACACGACCGACGCTAGGGACTGGGACGCAGAGGCAGAATCACAGGATTGATATCGACTCTGACGTCGGTAGCGATTCGCCTTCGGAGGAAGACCAGGATGAACTTCCGCCGATGGTTGTCGCGGTGAACGATTCAATTGAGATTGAGTCAGAGACGCCTAGTCTTCTATACAGCGAGACGGAGGAGAGGACACCAAAGAGGAGAAGGATTTCGGTCTCGCCAGCTTTGAGCTGGCATGAGGAGCCCAAGGAAGATGTGGCCATGGGGTATCAAGAGGAAGAACCTCTCTCCGGAGAAAGCGAATCCGGGGACGAGCAGCTGCCAGATGCCGACGATGAGCTTCCACTCGACAGGGGCACGCCCGATATGGACGACGACTTGGTCGTCCCTCAGCACACTACAGTGGACCCGGTCAAGACTCAGCCGACCTTTCATCGCCCCCCCCGCTTCAAGGTGTCTGAATCCGAAGTTATTCGACAAGAAGGCCTACCGGAGGCTTTCTCACCGCAGCGACGAGGCGCGAAATATGTCTCGGGGGGACTCGCGGCAGAGCTGCAGACATGGCTGGCAGAGGTCAAGGGATGGACGGGCGGCGACCGCCCGGCGGACCTGGTCATGAGTATCGCCGTTGACGAAGTACGTCATGGGAACAGAATGTATCTCATCCGAGGTCGCAGGATTGTGGGCGACGGGGACGCAAGAGAGGAGATTGCGGCGCGACTTATGCTGGCTGGGGAAGGACGCTTGACGGGCTTGGGACAAAAGGCTCCTGTCACTGTTGGCAGCGTCGTTGCAATCTCGCAACCTGCATGGGAGATTGAGCTGCAGGATGGTAGATGGATCGTCGCGTGCGACTGGGCGGTTTCGTAGGAGAGTTGATGCAATGATGAATCTAGAGTAGCAATCTTGAATAGTAACATCTCTGCAAATGGACTTGGTGAAATCATGTTGTGCAATACAACATGGAACTAATCTTGTACCTACGAGAGTGGTCCATAAGATGTTGCAGTCTATAACTTCAGCCAAGTCAAATCATTCTTTCTCAATTTGAAATGCATTACTCCCTTTCGTTCTTTCTGGCTATCGGTGCGTTCACCAAGGTCTATTTCCAATCATCAGCCTGGAATTGTTGTAGTACTTCCAATAGTTATCCCTTGGAAGTTCACCCCGCCGAATGCATAAATTGTTCAAATGCATGTACACCCTAAACCTACATACCAGCAAAGTCATTCGCCAACCCGGATTTGAGCCCCACTTTTACTCAGCAGCTCAGGAGACATCGAAGGCCATCAAAAAAGGAAGAAAAGATGCGCCGATTGAAGCGAGAAACCTCACACGAGTTACAATGATTTTTCAATAACTGGAACAATCCTTCGACATAATGACGTGGCTGGCCCTCCGACCAGCCGCCTTTGCGCGGGTGCCAGCTGCAGCGACGTGCCGGCCAGGTCCACGATTCTATTCCGGCGCAACGACCGGCGCCGGGCGCGTCTCGGACCCGCTCCGGATCCTCTTCTGCGGCTCGGACGACTTCAGCTGCGCGGCGCTGACCGCGCTAACCGCGGAAAGGAAGCGGAACCCGAGACTGATCGAGTCGCTGGAAGTCGTTGTTCGGCCGAGCAAGCCGTCGGGGAGAGGGATGAAGAATGTTCGTGAGGGTATGTGGGCGCCGTCTCGACTCTCATGAGGTTGGTGAGATCAGGGTTAGTGAGCTGACAACTGGTGATAGTTCCGTTGAAGACGCTCGCTCAGCAGCTCAAGTTACCAATTCACGTGAGAGACACGTTTACCAAGTGGCAGGTAATGGGCCTCCTTTTTTCCCATCACCCAAGTGCCATGAAACTGACATGCGCAGCCACCCAGAGATTTCAACCTCATCATTGCCGTCTCTTTTGGCCTCTTCGTGCCACCGAGATTACTCAAGATGGCAAAGTATGGAGGACTGAACGTTCACCCATCACTCCTCCCAGAGTAAGTTCATCCACGTTGCCTCCATCTCGTCACACAGCCTCACACCACCAAACCCTCAGCTTCCGCGGCCCCGCGCCCCTCCAACATACCCTCCTACAAGGGCGCACTCACACAGGCATCACGCTTCAAACCCTGGACCACAGGAACTTTGATCACGGCGACATCCTCGCCCAGACACCGTTGCCAGGCTTCCCGATCCCGGAGAACTGCAGCACGCAGAAGCTGCTCGACATTGTCACGCCGCAGGCTGCCGAGATGCTCGTCGACGGCCTACGTCGAGGTCTCCACGTCCCTCCGCACGTGAACGTCGGTCGGAAAACTTCCCTCCAGGACTCCCGGAACATATTCAAAGCACCTCCGCACGCGCCCAAGATCACAAACCAAGACCGCAAGATTTCTTGGTCGAAGTGGACCGCCGACGAAATCGCGACGCGGCAGCGCGTGCTGGGCGGCGTGTGGTCCTCTGCGATTTACCACACCAGGGAGAAAGAACAGAGGATCAAGTTGGGACGGGTAGACGCCGTGCCCCTCGAGGATATGCCTGAGCACATCAAGCAGTTTACCAGACGACTGAGAATGTATAAAAAAGCCAGAAGAATTGCTGACAGTAGGATACCGAAGGACGATAAAAAAGTGAAGCTCATTAATTGGGTTGTAGGGGTAAAAGAAGGGAGTTGGGAAGTGCTTCGGACTCCCTTCTTTGAGCATGAGGACCGGAAAAGCATTTTGATTCCCATTATTGAGGGCGATAAGTTACTCAAGGTGGAGACCATGATTGTTGAGGGCTCCGCGGAACGCCCTGCTGCGAGCGCGATCAAGAGTTTTGCCGTAGAAGGAGAGAATTACGATGACGGCTCTTCGGGAGGAGGGCGCTGGGATTGGGTTATTTTACCCTTTTAGATTTCAGTGCTTTAGGTGTATGATATGCGCATATAATGGTGAGGTTGGTCATTGTTCACTGCCGAGTATCACAAACTACTCGTCTATTCATGTGTTTAACGAGATTTCTGGTTCGTTCAGTGGTCGAGAAATCGCCGTAGCATGTTCTTACGGGTTTTGAGACCGTTCCACGGAGGACGCTCTAGATGTGGTATCTGTTTCTAATGCCTTAAAAATGTCGAGGTTGGAATTTGCTCGGTGAAATACTCCCTACGGCACGCATGAGGACCTCTTAGATCGCGCGAAGACATGCTCTCAAGACTATCATAGAGTGATTTTAGAATCTCCTATTCCCTGGCACAACTTTTTCATACTCTGCATCAGATATTTCCTTGTAGGCAGTTTCTCTCGAAGCTAGGGAGGTCGGTCGAGTGATTCGAGATAGAGGAAGGAGCCCCGGAGTTGTTCGAAACGGCCGCTCCTTCCTAAATTATGTATCTGATGGCTCAGTTCCCACTTCAACGACGACTGAAATGGCAGTCTCGCAGTTGTAATTACTTCCCATCTTGAAGTGTTATCCTTCTTCATCTTCTTTCCCCCATCCCTTCCGTCCGCTGCCTTCTCACACCAGCCTTTCCCTCCACATCGTCCCCCAGAGCCAACTTACCAACAGTCACATCGTCTTTACTTCTCCTCTCGCGATTCTCCGACTTCCTACAGGTAATCTCTACTATTTCTAGCACATTCAGTACTCCAAAATCCTCGGCATCACCGTCACAGCCATCAACGCATTCAACATGCCCGCCGGAGTTGGCTCGGACGACGACCAACGTCGCTTCTCTACACCTCAACCAGCCCAGAGAAGCTCGCCGCGGTCCCAGAGATCTTCTACCTTCTCCTCTGCAATTTCCATAGGCTCATGCCAAAGCTCAACATCCGTCGGTACCGCTGTCGAAGCTTCCCCATTCCGCAGATCCCTGGCACCGACGCCAAAGCCAAATACTGGAACGGGGCGACTATATAACACCTACTCGGAATACCGTCCCGCAACACCGCTACCTCAATTTATTCGCTCGGCTGCCCCAAGTCTGAGCGACTATGCTGAGACCCTGAGATCTCAATTGCATGACATCCAGACTTCATTTCATCACAGCAATGGCATCACTGCTGAGGAGGCCTCGCGCGAAGCAACGGCGGGAACGGCTGATCTTGCGAAGGAGATCGACCGACAGATTCTCGACGAGCACGCAGCTTTCGAGATAGACAACTCTTTCCCGACAGGTGTGCGAAGTCCCACGTGGAGTCTGCTAACCGCATCTCCTGTCACTCGGCCCCCTACCGTCGCCGAGATCAACGACGAGGATGTCTGTCCTGCCCCCGGTCCGTCTCCTTCCGGAAACTACAACGCGGCGCACGCCTTCCAAAAAGGCCTGAATTTCGGAGCGGAGATACAGGAGAATAACCATCATGAAAACGTTCCAAAAATTCCGAATCTCAGGAAGACCCGAGCAACCGAGTCTAGACCAAGTGCCAGGGGCGGCCGGATCGGCAGTCGCCGGGTACGTGCTAGAGCTCCTACTCGGTGGTCGCCAATTTCGCCTTGGACTTCAGCCGAGAAAGCAGCTTTCCACAAAGAGCTGCAGCAGAGAATCGCAGCCGTCACGTGCGGTACAGACATTGACAGCGGCCTTCTGGACGTGCCTGTCGACTACTTCGACATATAGAGCAGCCGTTTTCTTCTTCTTCTAATTGAATGGGGCAAAGGCTTTTAGACTGTTTCTACGGAGCCAAATTATTGCACAGGTGTGTGGTAGATCAAACAATGTCATGGAGGCATAGACTAACTCGGGTAGGCGTTATGATCCTCAATTCTGAAACGCCTACAGAAGCTTTTGACGGCTGCTCGCCACCTATTTTGCCGCTACTCTAAGCACTCAGCCACTTGTTTCCCAAATTTCCTCTGATTTTCTTTTTGCAAAGTAGGAAGATCAGCTCATTCCTATTCCAGTTACCATGCTAATGTTTACTCAGGGCGTTTTGAAATTACATAGACTAATAGGATGCCCATCATGTGGTTCCCCATCCCTGAGCATGCGAATCTCCGACTTGGTCACTCTTTAGGAACCTCCACCGACCTCTCAATTACGATGGACAGCCTGATATAGAAATCGGGCAAATTGACTCGGCAAACAGGAGTCCTTTGGACTTCAATTACCGAAAATTGGGAATAGACGAATCACACATTGGTCACAACTCGACAACCTGGTAACGACTGTAACTTTCCAATTTTCTCTTTGCTCTACCAACACATTACCCTTGAGCCACTCATTACATATGAATATAATCATAGCTTGGAGCCCATCTAACGTCAGACTGACCAAGTCAGGTCTACGTCGAGCCATCCGAATGAGTGAAACACTAAGATGTATCCCCAGCTAATCGATAGCGGTTTTGTACAAGACGCGCGCATGCATCAAGGTCGTGGCGAATGGCGTCGGCCTCCCCCACGTTGTTGCTCGAGACCGACGGCCACGTTTAGGCCCCGCGAACAAGTTCCAACTCACACCGATCCGATAATTTACATCATCAGGCCGACGACAACACTGACGACAGCAGCGAAGCTGAGGGCACCAACGGCTCTGACACCGGCTGCGCCGCTGTCGATACCGTTCTGGCTGTTGTTGGATCCGCCCTTGCCACCCTTGCCGGCCTTGAGCTGCTGGCAGACACCCATGAGCGTTGAGTTGTTCATCATGGCGTTGAGCTTGGCCTCCTTCTTGGCAGCCTTGGCCTTGAACTTCTCGATCTCGGTGGTGTTGCCCTTGAACTTGTCGTTCAGGGCGGTGTCGTTCTTGGAAAGAGCAACAAGCTTGCTGTAGTACCGGCGTGTTTAGTACGTTTCACATCGGTTCGCACTGAGAGGTATCACTTACTTCAACTTGTTCATCTGCTTGCACTCTCCCTTGGTGGTTTGCATGGAGCAGTACGAGAGAAGAGTGGTGTTCTTCTGCAGGTCGGTGAGCTTGGCCTGGCCCTTCTGGGCGAAAGCCTTGAGCTTGTCGGCCTTGGTGGCGTTGTTCTTGGTGACAGCGTTCAGGGCAGTCTCGTTGGCAACCAGCTTTTCCAACTTGTCCATGCGCTTCATGAAGCGGCACTGTCCGTTCTCCTGCTGAACAGCGCGAACCTGGTCGCAAGTCGTCATCAAGGTGGAGTTCTTCTTGGCCTCGTCGAGCTTGGGCTGGACCTCGGCGGCCTTCTTCTTGATGAAGTCGATCTTTGTTGCGTTGTTGTGGGTGATCTCGGTGAGGAGAGTATCGTTGCCGGCGATCTTGACCAACTTCTCACCCTTCAGAAAGCGCTTGCACTGGGCCTCTGTCGAGTTCTTGTCGCCAACGCCATTGTGATCCTTGGCCAAGGCCGTGATGGACAGAAGGGGAACGAGGAGGAATGAAAGCTGCATATTGACGGCTGATGGAGTGGAACGGTTATTCGCTTGGGGTGTTTAAAAAAAGGCGGTCCGGCCGCAATAAAAGAAAGGCGAGTGTGAAGAAGTGAAGGGATCGGGAGGATGAGATGACCGCAGGTGACAGGACCGTTGGGAGGAGGCTTTTGGGGAAGACGTGGCCAAGTCTTATACCAAACCCTCTCCTACACCCCTCGCGGACTCCCATCCACCGACCCCTGCCGGCTCACAACCGTCCGTGGATATTCATCCCATCTCCAGCGTCCCCTCTCTTTTACGGCACTCGCACGAAACCGACATACCAAACGCACTCTGGACACCAGAGTAGTCACTCGCCCGTCCAACGAATCGTCCTTCAGATGGCATGTCTCAACCCCCTCTTCCGCTACGCAGTGCCTGGCCGGCTGTGCCTACTCACACCCGGTTTCGCTCTCTTTCGCTCTCTACTCTTTCTACAGTAAGCGCATGGTCCCGAATGGGATGGCGAAAGCAAGCAAAAAACCCAAATGTCAAATGTCCTGCTTGCTAACCTGGATATCCCTCGGCGCGTGGTATTGCTAGTTAGTGGTCATGGCCCGAGCGCCGTTTCTCTGGCGTATTCTTCTGTTTGACCTCGCGGCAAAGCCTGCCGTCGACAGGCCAGATTGCCCTGGTTTGAGCCTCAATCATGTGTTACAAACTCTGTGATCATTGACATTCACAGTTGTTACACGCTATAAACCTGACGTGTCCCCCCCTCCTCGGAAAGTGGGAGGGCGCTAATGGGCGAAAGAAGAAACATCACGGACTCTTTTCCCATGAACGACGTTTTCGAAAACCAGAAGAATTGCCCACGGCACATGGAGGATGCGGCATGTAGATGCCGCCATTGCTACGATATCCTCCCCCGCCAGCACTTTTAGAGCCTCAGATGCGGCTCAAACGGCATGTTTTGGCAGGCCCCTCTCTCTCCAACGTCCATCCCAGCGCCCACGCATTGTCCGTTTCAGACACCCCAGCCCGGACGCGACGAAACACTGCTGATCGATCGACAGCGCTACCAAACCATGGAGAAAAGCAGGGTCGGCCTGCTCTGAGTCGTCTCGGCCTCATGGTGTCGCCCCAAGATTAGGACCAATTTGTGTCTACGTGTGTGTGAGTGGTCGGTTCGGTTGGGTAGGGGGGAGGGATGGGGGTGGAGGCGAGAGGTAGGGAATCCGCCGCCGTACGATGCCAACCACTCAACACCAGCCCCAGAAACCAAAGAGTCCATTTTTGGACTACGGGCCCTGCGAGCCTACGAGCCTATATCCCAATCCAAAACCTTGCAGAGACCAAGCTCTGGCAGCAGAATGTCAATCAAGTGTGCCAAGAGGACGAAAGCGCGATGTAACAGAGCAAGCAGATCCAAACGCACATCCCGCATACGCTACCAAGTCATTCTCGCACCATTCCAGATCAACTGACTAGCCCAGTGTAGATCAGCAAAGACATCTTGGCGATTGCGGCTCAATGCAGTACCGTGTCTTGAAGTCTCGAGTTGATATCTTGATAGCTCAACCTACGATTTACACTTTATCGAATAGAATGTTGTGTGGAAAGGTCGCCTCGTATATACGAACCCTTTGTTCCGGTGTCTTTCCTTTATCAACTCTAGTGTTCTTTGGCTTGGCTGGAGCGTCGAAAAGGGGTCCTTCGCGGCCGCAGACGATCTTTGGGCGAGAATGGACTAGACGGTGAGCATTCAACGAGCTTCGTCATCTTGTGGCCTCGTCATCTCGTCGCCGGACCAAGCAACGGTTGGCTTGTTCTCAGAATTTCATCTCGAGCGTCCCGGCGGGGTCTGTTGTCGTCTGGAAAACTCTGTGTGTCATCCATTCGTCGTTCTTGGCCCCTTCTCACAGTCTCTCATGCCGTTCGCCTGCAGTAGTGACGACGGGAAGAGGTGGGTGAAGTGAACGATGCAAAGTGGCAGTGGCATTTGTTACCGTTGCTCGCGACCGTGTCGGCGACATGGGTGCCGTTCTGGCATATGGCGTCTGGCATACGGAGGAAAAGCCAAGAATGGCCAGATTTTCCTATCCATTGTGGAATCTGTAGGGCTTTTTCTCGGTCGAAAGCTTGAGCGTGCTTCCGTCTGCTGCATGCTGCGGTTACTGATGCCCGTGATCGACGTCCCCGCAACGTTTCTTCTTGGCTCCTGGCCTCCTTCACGTTGTCTCCTCTGCCTGTCAGAGTTGGCCCCCCCCCCTCCCCCATATCCCTTGGCACACTAGGCCCTAGGGGAAAAAAGGTCCAACACTGACAATGTAACACTGCATCGAAAACCAGGCACACACTCACACACAATGGTCGGATTTAGACCATGGTAGAGTGGGGTAAAAGGCCGAGGATGGAGAGGAGGGTAGGGGAGATCTGGCGCGTAAAGGCGAGACCAAGACAAGACGTGTGTCAAGTGGGAACCGGAGGACGAGCGAGTCGCGCAACATACACCTCACCGCAGAGACGACTGGGCATCAAAACCCCGGGACCCTTGTCCAGGGACTCTCGTCGGAAAAATAAAAATTGGCCAACCAGAAACACTTTGCGGTGCGGGCAAAAAAAAGAGAAAGTCCAGGTTCATGGACCCATCGGCAAAAAAGGCCGACCTGGACCTACAACGAGGGATGATGGTTGGAGAGAGAGGGAGGAGAAAGGAGCCCGACGCGGGGAGACAACGTTTTTTTCCCCTTTCCCTGTGCAGGTTCCTGCGAGTTTTCCCTACGACAGACACCTAGACGATGGTGCGCGTCCGTCTGTTGAGACGGGCCTGAACCCGACTCGATATCCTCGTTCACGCAGGGCGAGAGTTCCGACGGCCGCGCGCGCGCGCGTGCACGTTCTGGACGAAAACTACGACGACGACGACGACAGAAAGGCATTGTAGTGAGACTGGGAACGCAGCTTGTCCCATACAATTAACTCGTGGCCTGCCTGAATAGGATTCGTCGCCCATCCACGTCAGCCTGTCGGGGAGACAGGAAACGTGGTGATCTCTAGGAAAATCCCGAACTCACGAGCGGTTCCCAAGCGGTTTCTGTTCTGTGCCTCAATGGTTCTTCTCATTAATATTTTGTGTTTGGTCTTACTCAGAACCAACTCAGACCACTGGCTAACACCGACGCCCGCCAGTGCGGCCAACGAACTATCTCTAGTTGTTGCTCATCCAACCATTCCGCAAGGGCCAAGCCATCGGGAAAAGCTACAGAGCGCGGGGAGCAGAAAAATCCATTACCCAAAGACTTCAATCATGAAGTGATACTCAATCTTGCTGCCGTCGTGCCGCCCCCGCACCGTGAGCTGCCGGCACTTGTCTGCCAGGATCTCCCCGACCACCGGCGCTCCGCAGTAAAAGACTCCGATCTTTAGCTCCTCGTCCTCCTCCTCCACGTCCCGCCGCTCGCCGCTAGCGCCTCGGGTACTACCGCCGCCGTCGGCTCTAGCGTCCCTATTTTCGCTGCGGGTGGTTCTGTCTGTTCCCTTCCCTGCGTCTATGCTGTCGGCTGCGGCCGCCCCGCCGCTGGCATTCGCTTTCATCCTCTTGCTGGCACGGAACCTCCGCATATCCTCATAGTGCCTGTCTAGAATGGCATCAAAGTCGGGCCGGCCAAAGTGCGTCGGGTTCAGCAGGCCTGTGAGCGGGCTCTCTGGGTGCTCCTCGGTGCGGTGCATCTCGAGGAGCCAGCGGTACACGTGCGTGACAATGTCCCTGCGTTTCTGGGTGACGTGCGTGGCGATGCGGATGTCGAGGTGTTGGGAGGGGCCCTCGTGGCGGCGGTGCCAGTCCTGGCTTCGCGAGACCGAGTTGAGGAGGTCGGCGATCCAGAGGAGGTAGTTGCGGTCGCGGACTGTCCAGTGGAAGTCTACGCGGCGGTAGTCGGGTGCGAAGGTGAAGGCTTCTGACGGGTTTGGGGGTTTCGTTGGGTCGTTTCCGTCCGGGGCCTCCGTTGCTGCCGCGGTTGCCGTTGTCGATTCCGAGTCCTTACTTCCGTTGGCATCTTTTTTCTCCGTCACGACGGTCGTCTTCGAGTCGTGGTGGTGTTGGTGGTTGCGGTGCTGATGCGAGTGCGTCGGTCCCCCGTGCTCCTCGTCATCGCGCGCCTGCAGGTCCGCGAGAATACCCGAAAAGGGCGTGACGCCGATTCCGGAACCCACGATGATGGAGTGGTTGAAGTCGTAGAACCGCTGTGCCGGCGCACCAAAGGGCCCGTTGATACCCACGTCAATCTCTGTTGCCGCAGCAGCCCCTTCCCCCTTTCCGCCCAGATCACGCAGCCGTTTCGTCCAGTTCCCGTCCGTCTTGATATGCAACCGGAACTCCCGCCCCTTGCATATAGAGACGGTAAAAGGATGCCACTGGAAAGCGCTGATGGCGGGCACCTGCAGGAACACGTACTGCCCGGCCCTGTACTTCCACATGCGCTCGCTGGGGATCGTGGCCGCGACCTCGACCGTCTCGCCGTCGAGCACCGTGAGCGTCGCTCGTATCCTGTGGAACCCTGTCCCGACGCGGACGACGCGCTCGACGAGAATGAGCAGCGTCGGGACGGCGAGGAAGTAGCCGAACATGGGCCACTGCAGCAGCGCCGCGGTGCCGTGGGCCATCATGAGCCCGATGATGGGGTACATTAGCAGATGCGCGAGCTGGAAGACCTCGTAGTTCCATCGTCGTACGGCTGGCATGCTGAGCAGTGCAAGGAGGTAGAAGAGGCCTAGTGCCGTGAGGCCCGTGAAGCCGGGTAGGGAGCGGACGTATTCCACGTACGGCCTCGGGACCGCGTCCGGGCCCAGGACCGCGGCGACGGCGTCCTGGTTTGCGGGGCGGCTGCCGTGGTAGAAGGATCCCGTGAGGTGGCCGATGGCATGTAGCGTCGCGAGCGCCAGCGCGAGACACGAGATCTTGATGTGGAAGGCCTGGCTGAGGTCCCAGTTGACGAAGCGGGAGACGCGGTAGGAGCGGCGGAGCATGGTGGAGAAGTAGCGCGACATGCTGAGGATCAGGAAGAAGAAGGTCGGGTAGAGCATGCCGGCGCACGTCTTTGCCATGACCACGCCCCAGCCAAAGGCGGCGCGGTATTGCGTGGTGGTGGCGTATTTGACGCATTGCCAGACGCCAAAGGCGATGAGGGAGGAGGCGACGAGGGCGAGGAAGGCGATTTCGGGACCGTGGACGGCCCAGTAGGCTCGGAGGCGGCGCGAGAGGCGGAGGTGTTGGATGAAGGTCCGCTGGGACTTTTCGGAGTCTGCGTCTTGTTGGAGGGAGGGGATCTTCCAGGCGCGGACGCGGGCGGCGAAGGCGGCGCGGGGGATGCGGTGGGTGCGGGCGTCGGCGTCGGCGGATGGGTTGGAGGATGTGCCTGGTTCGGAGCCGGGGAGGGCCATTATGGAGCGGAGGAATTCATGGCGGAGGCGGTTTTCATCTTTTGAGGACGATGGGGAGGAGGAGGAGGAGGAGGAGGAGGATGGCTGGGTTTGCTTCTCTGGGGAGGTGTGATCAGAGGTAGGAGACGAAGACTGTTTCTGACGACGGCTGATGACGTGGTGAGGTTTTACTTTGCCGGCGGGTGCGAGCTCGTCGTGGGCGGCGTCGAGTTTGGCTTCGACTTCGGCGTAGTCGATGTAGCCGTCGCCGTTGTGGTCTAGGTCGTCGAGGAAGGAGGTGATTTCGTCTTCGGTGAGGTATGTGACGCCCTCTTCGGGGTTCGTGACGGGGTGGTTTGTGGGGGTAGCCATGAAGGCTCTCGTTGTTTGTTGGTCGATTTTCCCTCCCGGGGCAGCGTCTACTTTGGTCTTTCTGTCTATCTATCTTTTTCTTACTTTATCTTATCTTCGTCATTGAGAGAGAGAGAGAGAGAGATGGATGTGGATGTGGATGTAGATATGGAGAGAAAAGGGGACGGGGAACCGAGACAAAATGAAGGACGTCGTCCATGGTGTCTATATTTCTGCATGAATAGCAACAGGCTTTTCTTGGAGTTGGGCTATGAAAACGGGCTAAGATGCGTGTTGCGCTCATTCTACACTTGGCCTGCTTGGCGGTGATTTCCCCATTTCATGTGCCAATGTGGGAGCGTGGTGGTGGATCGCATTGCCGTACGTCAGCCGGGACGAGCCAAGCGTCTTGGTGTTTTTTTTGGCACGAATGAGTAGATGCGGATTAAGCACATAGCATAGAAACACCAAGAAAACGAGAGACTTCTTTCCAGACTCAACTCGAAAAGTACCAAGAGTGCTTGCGTCTCTCGACTTTCAAGTTTGTATCCAATCTTGTAAACTCTTTCCGCTGGTGACCTCTGGTTGAACCAAACGGACTGGCCCTCTCCTGGCTTTTCCTTGGCCTCCTTGGCCTCCTCTTGGCTCGTCGTTGGCGTCTTGGTATTTCAATCAGAGTCTGAGAGACCAAGAGGTCTTTTCGCTCGCCATCACGGTCTGCCGTCAATTACAAAGTCTCTGATTGGTCTTGATCAAAAAAGTTTCCTGCGATAAGCGCGATTGGTATCGTAAAGTGTGCACGGCCTAAATGACGTAACTGATCATTTGGCGGGCGTGGCTTTCTGTGCCACTGTGGTACGGTGACAGAAGCCCAGACCTCAGGTAACGTACGGAGTAAGTACTCCCGTACTCCGTACACACTACAGCCTCCAGCAGGTCCACCCGCCGGGGCCTCCCGTTCTGCCCCCCCCGGCATGTGCCGGAGGTTTTGTCTGTGCCCCTCCATCCTCCCACCATCTTGCGGATGCGTTGCTGGAAATCAATAGTATCTTCTATCAGTTCGTTCATACGACAAGTGGAATGTACCTTGTGTAAGTTGCTGTATCCATCACTTCGAAGCGCAGCATGTTCACCTGGGTAATTCTCATGCTCTCAATTTGACGGAACAAATCAAACCCGTCCTCTAAAGATACCAAACATCGCTAGTGACATGTGCTACAATGTCAATGTGGCATGAGCAAAGGGGTTTTCAAAACATCGCTAGGTCTGAATCGTAAATGGACATCTTGAGTTCCTAAAAAATATACATCAATCATTCAAAATGACTCTCTCATCTCCCGGTACCTGGTGGAACGACGATTGAGGTTTTGACACAGCTTCAGGGCACTACAGGTGACTACCTAGCATGCCCTTGGTTTGGTTTCCAAATCCCGCCATATCAGATCGTGCAAGATTGTGAATAAGCTTTCAACATCTGTTTTCTGGATTTCCCTAGAGGCGGTTTAGTTCAAGTGACCTACTGGTCAAGCCGAACCATTCTCTTAGGAACCCCCCCCCCCCCCCCCCCCCCCCAAAAAAAAAAAATCCCCGGCGGGCCATCTCCGTGTCCGTACCATGATATTTGTGGGCCCACATTATTCTCCCCGTCATCGCATCACGGCGCCTTGCGATGCCCCGTCCGGCGCCGACTTCGGTCCCCCGAAGAAAAGGCTACAGACTCTTTTCTACCACACCACTGAATAAAAATCGTCTTTAACCCTCGAAAAGGTCTACATCTTATCTTCTAAAATATTTTACACCTTTTTCTTTTTGGGAATCAGCAACTGTTAAGCCGGTACTTCTTCAAGGCGGCCACACCAAGGATATCTACCTAAGAAAAGCAACAGCCCCACTTCAACCAGGCAGGTGGCCAAGCAATTCCGCCTTACACGCAGGCAGCCAGGGCGAATTACCCCGCCATCCAGCGTGAGCCTCACCTCACCTCTCACCTCACCTCATTCGACCTCTCACCACCCACCCGACACTCACATTCACGCAACTCACCCCAACTCAGCCCAAAACTCTACCAAAAAACATTTTTGCTTCCCCATGCCCCTGCGAAGCAAAATCAACCCTCAAACCACCACAACCCCATCCTCACCACCCAAAATGGCCACGACAAAAGACCGCATAACCTGCCACGTCCTAGACACATCAGCCGGAAAACCAGCCCGCAACGTCCGCGTCCAACTCTCCACCACAATCCCCTCCCCTCACTCTTCCTCCTCCACCGTCACCGCCGGCACCGCCTCCCCCGGCAGCAGCGCCCTAGCACCCGGCATCCTCAAAGAGTTCGAATCCACCACAGACGAAGACGGCCGCGTCAAATCCTGGCTCCCCTTCTCCTCCGCCACGTCGTCGGGCGAAGTCCCCGTCTACACCCTCGACGACGTCCTCGGCGAGATCGAGGCCGCTTCCTCGGTCACGTCCTCCCGCTGGACGCTAACGTTTGACACGGCGTCGTACTTTGGCGGCGAGGACGAGACGTTTTTCCCTGAAGCCGTGGTGGTTTTCACCGTCAAACGGGGTCAGCATTATCATGTTCCGTTGCTGTTGAGCCCGTATAGCTATACCACATACCGGGGTAGCTAAAGCTCGTCGGAAAGTTGGTAGGATGGCAGGGAGCTGAGGTGGGCGATGCGGGGATGAGATGAGCTGAGCTGAGAATTGAGGCCGTGAGTTGGATGGTTCCATGTGGATAGATAATCGGGAAGAGGGACCCATGTGATTGTTGGTCTCTGGTATGAGGGTCTGGCTTGTGATATCATGGGTTCCTGACTTTTGCTTTGGGGATGCCTCAAGGGCCAGGGTAGCTCGAGTTCGAAGAGAATCAATGTCACCTAGAGGGATTGACAATCACGTTGAAAGACAGAGAAAAGAGACCAATTTAATAGTGCAAGAAATTTGCGACTAATCGATAGAATTACTATGACTGCCATTTAACGATAGGCTGTTCACCCCCTTATGTTATTGTCTCTCGGGATGCGGTTTCCATCCGTCAGGGCCGTCTTTGAAGGTGATGATAATTCAGAGGACCAATGTCCTCCCTGATGGCCCAGAGTTGTGCCACCCCAATACTCCTTGTCCCAATCCCATTCCCAAAATCAAATCCCAAGCCCGCCTCGGTTGTGCCAAACCTCCCTGTTGCGAGTCAAAAGAAAACTCCGCGCTTGCGCTGTGGTGTGTCTGTTTTACAAATTCTTTTCGGCCGTTTAATCGTGTGCGCGGTACATCGGGTCGATAGTTCGCCGCCTAGCGTCGTGCTTCCTCACTTTCGTATCGGAGAAATTGTGGCTCTACGGCTTTGACCAGCCGAGCTTTCTAAACAGGCTGACTTTGCGTCCGTTGCTCCGAGCCGAGGTCACGGGCGACAAATCGCCGCCGCTGTGAGAAAGCATGCTCTCGGCACCGTCTCTGCTAATGCGTCCCGCGGCCGGCAAACTAGACTGGCTCGTGTTGGATGGAACATCTGCGTCGAGGATGGCGGCTTCGGCTTCGGCCAGAGCTTCGCTACTGTAGAGTGCCTCCATTTGAGGGGTGATGCGTCCGTGGCTAATGGTGCGCCTGTGCTTTTGCAGGAATGAACGTCGTGTGCGGGCTCGGTTTCCAGCGAGATCCTCCTGCGAGATGACTGCGTTGGGCGAGAGGTTGGCGTCAGGATGCGGGAGCGTAGTGTTGCGTTCTGCAGTTTATTAGTGAATGCACAACATATTTTATACATCATTCATAAAACTCACCTCCGTTGAAAGGCTCAGGAAAGCCAGTGTCCCGAAGACTAGCCTGGCTCTTGGTCGACGGGCTTCGTGGTGTGTTGTTCATTGTGTGAGGCTCTGCGCGAAGATGCGATCTTAGTTTATTGTGGGGGAATGGATGGTATAAAGATCGACGGTAATAAAGTGGTGGGAGGTCAGGTTGCGGTCGCAGCGGGGAGATTTTTGGGGCCGGTTTTCAATGGAATAGCGTCGGGGGGTGGTGGTAATTAAGACGGGTAGAAGCCGGGGGGCAAATAGTAGAACGTAGGGCAGATGAACCGAGAGAGGCTGCTCCCTTTGTTGTGGGTAGGTAGCAAGAAGTCTGTTGCAGAACAACTGGAATTCTGGGTAATGGATAGGAAGGAACAAAGAAGTTTGAACTTTGGAGAGGTAAAAAGGTGAGAAGAAAATAGAACAGGGCGAGACGCCGTCGGGGTTTCTTTGCTGAGGCAGTTCGGTGATGAGTGTTGCCGTTTGATCCTTTAGCGTCTTGGGCAATTACGAATCCCCTCCCGAATAAGACGAGACCAGTTAATGAGACCGGAACGGCAAGGTCAGGAACGAGACGAGAGCAGCAGCAGTTGTGAGCAAATGAGAAGAAAGCGAGACTCCGCTCTGGTCATCCGCCTCTGGGCGTACTTTTGTTCGTCAACAGTGAATGGAACACAGCCAAGTAACGTACTAGAACTAACCGCGGGAATGGAGCCAAGAAGGGGATGGGAGGGATGGACACGGTATTTAGAGCAGGTTGCAGTCAGAAGAGTGGCCACTGGCCTATGCTTTTTTGGCTCTTCTTGTTTTGCCGCATCTGGAAACACGTAACCGTCGTTCCGCCTCTTGAATTTCCTGTGCACGGCGGGTAATGGGCCCGGGGTTGCAGACTTGGAGGGGATCCCTACGAGGACTGACTTGCGTGGTGTTTCTGGTTCGCTCTCGCTCCATCGCTGGGTGCTGCTCTGCCGCTGCGCTGCGCTGTTCGCTCGCTCGGGCTCGGCCTTCCGCTTGCAAAGGCACAGTCGAGCGCAGCAGCGACGAGATGACTGGGCCGCAGCAAAGCACAGCAAAGCACAGCAATGCCAGCCAGTGACTGGGGGTGGGCAGGGCAGTACGGCACGGGAGGCGGGGAAGGGCTAACAAATGTTCGAGGACATGCAGCAGAATAGGAAGAAACGCAGAAGCCGGAGCACTAAACTCGCTCAGAGACACACACACACACACCAGCGGTGAAGTTTGGACGGATACTTTTGGCTGGTTGGTTTGCTTGGTCTGCAGAAACACTGAGTAGCAACTCGCAGTAGCCAGCAGCTTGCAGCCAGCCAGCCAGCAGCAGCCTGGGATGACCTGCATGAGGGACTCGGGCACACAATGCGCACATAGAAGTCATGACGATTGGTGTTTGGCTGTGTCATGTTCCGAACTCTGATGGTGCCACACCATTCTCAGGCTTTCATGGAAAGTTCCCGAGAAAAGAGTCCCAACAAAAAAAAAAATTACACTAACAAGTGGTGCAAGTGAAGAGAAAATGTACAGTGACCTGAGGGTGGAGGAGCCTCCGTTCTGCGAGAGAGCACGGGTGTCCCGGCGGCGGAGGACAGTTTCCTCTCTGAAGCATCGTGGAATGACGAGTGGACGACAAGGGTTCCGAGCGCACGAGAGAGGGGACTGCGTGGGTTGAGGAAATGGAGATGGAAAGAGACGGGAATGGAGTTTGGTGTGCTTGGGGGACGGACATGAAGACAGAAAGACATGGCAAACATGGGAAAATGGCATGGCTTACCTTGGGCGAAGAAGGCCATTGGTGCGATGCGTGCCGGTATTCCGCTCGGTTGGGAGCCAGAGCGTCAGCGGTGGAACCCTCTTGAGGAATCCTGTCTTGGATAGGCGGTAGGACGGCGGGGAGTCTGGGCAAGACAGCGCAGCGGGACGGAGAGTTGAATCCGTGTTAACCAGGCGCTCAGCTGTCTGTGGTATGTCCTGGGCGGGTTGACTGGATGGAATGTTGCTTTTGCGGCGAATGGCAGAAATCAGAATGACGAAGACGTAAAAGGGTCCAAAGTGGTCTCCACTGAACAAGCGCGCGGTAGGGGACGCAAGCTAGGTTCGTGCCGAAGGAAATGTTGAAGAAGAAAAGTAGACAATGAGTAGGAACCAAGAGTATCTTCTTTGGTCCAAGGTGTTGTTGTCGTCGAGAGTCGAAGCTGAAACGGCTTTGGGGGGATAGGATGTGGAAGGGAATCGTAGGATGTAAGGTTCGAGAATAGGTAAAAAGCTTGGATGTTGTGGGATGTTGAGTCGAGGAGGTCGGGCTGTCAGAGAAGAAAGATACGATGACCTCAGGAAAGTATTTTCAAGTTTGGAGGCGGGGATCGAGTCACAATGTTATGATTTGCGTTGACTGTTGATGTGCGGTTCGTTATGCTGAAAGTGGGGAGGAGTGATGACATTCAAGTGGAAGTTCAAGGAAGGTGCAGGTGCAGGTGGTCAAGGTTGTTCTTTCCTCAGATGCTATGCGAACCGTGGACTGCGTGAACTACGCGGGCAGGCGGCATCCCCATCGTTTATATCGTCCAGTACTATTGCCCTCCCTCACCAACAAAACCGCGACCGGTGAGGTCAGTTTGTCAATCACTTTACTCCCATGTTGCATGTCTTCGTGCAGAGTAAGGGATTAGTCGACAGTGATTGACACCAGTGACCGAATTGATCACCGGCGTAGCATCTCAAAGGGGCCGCCCCCCGCCAGGTGTACCCGGCCGGTCGGTCATATCCGTCCTACGGGCTTGAAGAGGTACCCAGCCGCGCCTTTCCCAACCGGGAAAAGACATCCAGGGTTTAACGCCATTTAGCACGTCGTAGTCGCTGTCCCAAAACCGCGATCCCCATCACATCACAATATGGCAGCTGTCCGGCAATTGTCTGTGGCTTTTTTTCTGATGTTGTTGCTGATGCTTCTTTTGTTTAGCTGTCGCCCGTGTGTGATTTCTCATCCACCAAGCTCTGACAATTCCCATGGGTGTCGACTCATGACATGCCCCAGCCTCTACACCATAAGGTGCAAGAAAAAAAAAGCTTTCTTGTTACGGATACTGGCCCCAGTCAACTGCCACGATTGGCGTTAGGGACTCACTACTCGTGCAACGCCAAAAACCTGTCCAAACAGAGCAGCGATGAAGAGTCAAGACTGAAGAGGCCAAAGTCCCAGGAGGTGGTTGTTTTTGAGGTAACCCAAAGATCCCCCCTCACCGTCCCCATACTTCATACACCGCAACCGAGAGTATCCGGGTCAATCGTCACTGTCACCTCGTTTCCCATATTTATTAGCGCTCCGTCGATCCAGCGATGCCAATCAAACCCCACGGTTGGGCCTCACCCGATGTCTCGGTGTCTAATTGCCGGCTCCCTCACTGGCCTCCAGGGGGACGACTGCTGACGGCACACGGCACACGGCAGACAATAGCCAGCAATACTAACTTAACACTGGCAAGTCGTCGACTTCTCCCAAGCCTCAACCGTCCACGTTTGTCCTAGCTCTTGGCGGCTTGGCAAGCGGCGCAAGCCTACCCCGGCTCAGGCCAACGCGCAGCGTCGCAGAGGGGACCACACTCTAAATCCAACTATGCTTAGAACTCTCATTTACCGCTCCCCTTGCCCACAGAGCTGTATCGGTATCCGTACTAGACGCAACTTCTTGATGAGGAGCCCCCTAATGTGTAAGTGTAGAGATCGGGCACTTCTTATTTGAGGCCTTATTCGTACACTACTATCCGGAAGGTCTGTTGGCCCGCGGGTGCCATGGAAGAATACCTAACTGCGAAGACCCTTTCTCCACGGACTACCGTTGCCGGTCTCCACTCAAATGGTTCCCTTCTGCGCCTTCTTCCCTCAGCTGGAAAGGGGACCAGCAGTGCCCACTGCCAGTTTTCCCTCAAATGCTGAAATCATTCGTAAGCATCCCTGCCCCTCCTGCGCCTACTATACGCTATACCTCATTAGGACATATCCCATCACTGTTGAGGACCGGAAGAAAAATGCAGCGATTGCGGCGGCGCGGACGTGGGGACTTCTCCCACCGGAAGGACCCTGACGACCTGAACAAAAAACCGAGGTGCAGTCAGTGGGGCAAGGCGCCTTGCCCGTGATTGGCCACAGCGTAACCCATCCCCACGCGCGCCACAGCTCAAATGGAGACCCTTAAACTGCGCCGTGATTCGCTCCCAGCCACAGTTGGGGCCATTCCGCGTTACGCGGCCTCCGATCTGTGCTGTCTTTAGAAGTTCAAGTTCAACTTTCTTATCCTTTCCATCCAAGTTTTTCTGCCACCAACTAAAGGCTATCTATCAAATGTTCATCAAGGAAAGCCACAGCGTCTCGGCGTTCCGTCACTAGAGAACCTTCCAAGCCTCTCACAGGCGCCGAACAGCCGAGCCGAACACCGTCGTGACCGTCTACTCTATTCTCCACTACGCCGCCACTCTATTTATAAATCTTTTAATAACTATAAAAAACCCTACCTTATAATTATTAAATTTTATAACATATATGAATATCGTCGTCGTTATTTTTACTAGTAACTATATTATTATAAATTTTATTACTTTTATTTTAAATTTTTAACTGCTATTTTTTATATATTAAATATTATAATAAAACCTAAAAAGATTTAAAAGATTTAAAGAAATTTTAATATAAAGATCTCATAAATAAAATATTTTTATAACTTATAATAATAAAAATATAAAGATAACGTACTTGATAAGCGAGCTGCCCACCCAACCGCGTTCATCCTTCCTCCTCACTTCTAATGCGTATCACGCCACAAATAATCATGTCGTCACAAAGCAAAGAGGCCCACTTGAACTTAGCAGTCGAGGCTATCCAAAAAAAAACCCTAAACTCAGCATTTGAGCCGCAGTAAGAATCTATTTAGTCCCCCCTAGGACCCTAGGTACCCGATTAAAAGGCACACCTATACGATAAGATACTATACCTAACTCACGCAAATTGACGGAGCTTGAAGAGGAGAAGCTAGTTGAGTATATCCTCGACCTGGATTCCCGATCGTTTCCTCCCCGGATTAGTGGTATGGAAGAAATGGCTAATCGATTGCTCGCCGACCGCGACGCGCCCCTAATTGGGAAGCGCTGGGCATCAAACTTCGTTAAACGACAACCATAGCTCCGGACGCGCTTTTTTTGCAAGTACGACTATAAGAGGGCCTAATACGAAGATCTAGATACGATAAACGCGTAGTTTCGGCTTATAGCGAACACAATCGCGAAATACGGTATTATAAACTCTGATATTTTCAACTTCGACGAGACTGGGTTTATGATGTGTCAGATTGCATCCGGGATGGTCGTCACGAGTGCCGAAAGGCGTTCAAATACAAAAACGATGCAGCCTGGCAATCGTGAATGGGTTACAGTCATTCAGGCCATCAGTTCGTCAGGCTATAGCGTTCCGCCGTACATCATCGTTGCAGGCCAATATCACCTCTCCACCTAGTATATAGAAACAGATCTCCTACGTAACTAGGTCATCGCAACGTCTGAAAACGGATGGATAACAAATGAAAGAGGCCTAGACTGGCTCTAGCACTTTGATCGGTATATAAAACCGCGTGCAACTAGCAGTTATCGCCTCCTCGTCGTCGATAGGTACGAAAGTCACCACTCTGCGGACTTTGAGATATATTGCAAGGAAAACAATATTGTCACACTCTGCATGCCGGCCCATTCGTCTCATCTACTTCAGCCCTTAGACGTTAGGTATTTTGGGCCACTAAAGACGGCTTATGGTCGATAAATTAAGGATAAGATGCGCCGGGGTAATACCTATATTACGAAGGAGGACTTCTTCTCTGCATTTCACAACGCTTTCACGCAAGCCCTAACGGTAAAAAACATCCAGGGAGGCTTTAGAGGGGCCGGGCTTGTTCCTTTGAGTGCCGAAAGTGTGCTTTCGAAGCTTGATGTCAAGTTACACACTCCAACACCCCCAGGGTCCCTACCAACAACACCCCCCGCGTAGACTTCTCAGACGCTAAATAACCCAACAGAGGCCTCTTCTTAGTCCGAACTCATCAAAAGGAGGATCTCCCGCCATCAAAATAGCTCCCCAACTTCAATTATTAAAGCTGTAGAGCATTTATCAAAGGGAGCGCGGGGATTTATGCACCAGATTGCCTTATTAAGGTCGGAGGTCCAGATCCTCCGGGAGGAAAATAACCTACTTAGCCGACGTAGGAGGGCTAAGAAAACACGTCTCAGATAAGGAGGAAGTCTTACTGTAGCTGAGGTAGAGGACATTCAGTCGCAGAGAGAGGCTACGGCCTAGATTGAGGAGGAAACGCGCCAGAGTAGTGGTCGTCGGCCGAGGATAGAAATAGGTCGATGGCGATGTGGCGTCTGCGGAAATACTGGCCACAATACGCGAACATGTTAGTTTAATGAAGAAATATCTGAGGAATAGGATTTAGAGTAGTTTCAATTGATTTTATGTTTTTAGTGTTGCTCCTTAGATAGATTTATAATGTGATCATGGTTAGGTGGGTAGCTCGCTTGTCTGGGCAGCTCGCTTATCAAGTACGTTAATTCTCTAAATTATTATTTAATTCTTTTAATTAATGTTTTATAACTCTAAACCTTAATAATAAGCTTAATTAGAACGTTAATGTATTTTATTTTATTTGTATTCTTTAATATCTCTTATCTAAATATATTTCTTAAATAAATATAATTTAATATTTCTTAGTTATATTATAATTAACTATCTTTTCAAATGATTTATTTTTAAATTATTTACTTTTTAAAATACAACAAATTATTTTAATAGGTATTGAATAATTTTAAATAACATTCTCTTAATAAAAACTAAATTAAGTCAAAATTAATACAGGCTAGATTATATTTAACGTACCTGCATAGCGAGCGACGCATCATAGCGAGCGACGCACTCTCTCAAACCTTTCTACCTTATGTATAAGTTAACTTAGCCACAACGTACGAAATCAATTAAAACTATATATCACCCTCTTCCTCATTACTATCCCAAACCACTTCACAGGTTCGTGCGTTATGTCCAGGCTTCCCGCAATTACCACATCGTCGCGCGCGTGGTTCAGCACCTTCCGTACGACCCTCCTTCTGAGGGTTATTCTCTCCTCCAGCATTAACACCACCCTTCTCTACTTGTAGTGCCTCTGCTTCAGCACTATTAAGTGACCCTCCAAGACGTAGCCGGGTCTTTTTTGCCCTCCGGCGCTTACTTAGTACCTCTATCCCCGTACGAAGCTTACGGTTCTCAGCCTCAATAATAGCAAGCCTATGGGCTAACTTGCTAATACCTCTGGCCTGGAAGTCAATTACTTCGTACATTGGTGTTGGTGAGCTACCTTGATGTGCTTGGATCTTCCTTTTAAGGGAGGTAGCACTTCGTACGCCCTCTAGTGCTGTAATTGGTGTCCTTGGGTCCCAGGAGCCTTGGCTGCTTGGCCGTGAGTTTGATGGTGTTGGCGTCTTTGGCTTGAAATCCAAGCGAGAAATAACCACTTCAGGGTTAAAAGGTACAAGGCCTGCCTGCCTAAAACCAGCTCGTACGTTATTTTCGCCCATGGAAGTAAAGAATGCTGCTTTAAAGGCAGGAAAGAAGTCATCCTTTGTAATATGGGAAATCTGTATCCGCATCATCTTCTCGATTTCCTTGCCGTACGAGTACTTTAACGGGCTAAAGCACCCAACATCAAGAGGCTGAAGCTCGTGTGATGAATGGGGAGGCATACAAAGAGCAATAATGTTTTGTTCCTTGCAGTATTCGTCAAAGTCAGTCGATTTATGGCTATTATGGCCATCAAGGATCAAGAGGCGATAAGAGCCCTTCGTACGAGTCCTTGTACACTGATTAAAGTGCTTTAGCCAATCTAGGCCAATATCATTTGTCGTCCATCCATTTTCGCTTGGATGGATACGCCATGTGGCTGGAAATTGGCCATTAATATACCACGAGAGGAGGTGATATTTGCCCTTTACGATGACGTACGGAGGCAGCGCCCAGCCATCCGCACATACACCCTGAATGACAGAAACCCATTCTCGATTGCCAGGCTGTTTCGTACGAGGCCTTCCCTTACGGTCAGAAGTCGTAACAACCTTTGCGTGCGATAGCATTCCCATCAGGAAACCAGTCTCGTCAAAATTATAGATATCGTTATCCTGTATCCCATACTTTGCAATTGTGTTTCGCACAAGTGCAAACCAGCCTTGTATAATCGTAGGATCCTCAGCTAAGGCCCTCTGATAGTCGATTCGACGTTGAAACCGCATTTTCAATTCAGGGACGCGTCGTACGAAGTTCTCTGCCCATCGCGGTCCAGTACGCGTCCCATCGCGTGCGTTTAGGAGTTGGTCGGCCATTTCTCGTACGTCTTCTTGTCGCGGAGGGAACCCTCGATCGATTAGGTCAATAACTCGTTCAAGAATCACCTCCTCTTCTGTTATAGTCATCTTCATCGAATTTGGTCGTGTTTCACCTCGTGCGACGCGTCCAGCGCGTCGGTGGCGGAGGGTTGATTCAGGGACCTCATAGATAGAGGCAGCTCTTCGTATAGACATTTTCGGGTCTTTTTCAATAGCTTGGAGGGCAAGGGTAATTCGACTTTCAATTGAGGAGGATTGCATGTTCGTACGTGGAGAAAAGGTGACCTAAAGATGAAGAGGGTAGAATTGGGAGGACGTGCGTCGCTCGCTATGATGCGTCGCTCGCTATGCAGGTACGTTAGATATTTAAATTAATTATGGATAATTTGTAAGATAATATAGTTTAAATAGCTTTATTTCTATTAATTAATGTACATGCATAGCGAGTGGCCCATCATAGCAAGTGGCCCACCTTCAAATACTCTCCAGCCATTTGTATAAGTCAATTAAGCCACATCGCACGAAATCAATTAGAACTACTCATTAGCCTCTTCTTCAAAGGTCTTCTAAACTACCTAATATGTTCGTAAGTTATGTTTAGTCTTTCCGCAGTTACTATATCGCCGCCCGCGCGATTATACTCCCCTCCGTACGAGTACCCTCCTGACGTATATTTTTGCCTCTAACATTAATAACCCCCTTTTCTACCCGGATTGCCTCAGCCTTAGCTGCATTAAGTGACCCTCCAAGACGTAGTTGGGTTTTTTTTAGCCCTCCGGCGCTTACTTAGTATCTCATTTGCCGTACGAAGCCCGCGGCACTTAGCTTTAATAAGAGCTAGTATATGTGCTAACTTGCTAATACCTTTGGCTTGTAAGTTAATAACTTCGTATAAATGTGTTAGTGAGCTATGTTGATGGCTATGAATCCTTTTTTTAAAGCGAATCAGAGCTTCGTACGGTATCATATGCTATAGTTGGTGTCTTTGAGTCACAGGAGCCCTGGCTGCTTGGGCGTGAGTTAGATGGTATTGGCGTTTTTGGCTTAAAATCCAGGCGGGAAATGACTACTTCTGGGTTAAAAGGTACAAGTCCAGCCTGTCTAAAACCAGCTCGTACGTTTTCTTTGCCCATTGAAGTAAAAAAAGCTGCTTTAAAGGCAGGAAAGAAGTCGTCCTTGGTAATATGCGTAATCTATATCTGCATTATCTTCTTCATTTCTTTGCTGTACGAAACCTTTAGCAGACTAAAACAGCTAACATTAAGAAGCTGAAGCTCGTGCAATGAATGGAGAGGCATGCAAAGAGTAACAATGCCGTATTCTTTATAATAATCGTCGAATTTAATTGATTTGTGGCTATTATAGCTATCAAGAATTAGAAGCCGCTTAATACCCTTTGTACGAGACTTTGTATATATTTTAAAATGCTCTAGCTAATCTAGGCTAATCTCATTTGTAGTCCATCTATTTTCGCTAAGGTGGATGCGCCATTCAGGGGGGAATTAGCTATTAGTATACTACGAAAGGAGGTCATATTTGCTCTTAACGATAACGTACGGAAGCAGCGCCTAGCCATTCGTATATATATCCTACATAATAGAAACCTGTTTGTAATTACCAAGCTACTTTGTACAAGGCCTTTTACAACAATTAAAGGTTGTGATAACCTTTATGTGCGATAGTATTCTTATTAAGAAGCCCGTCTTATTAAAATTATAAATATCATTATTATGACTAAGAGGTTAGAAGTAGGCAAAAAGGGAAAAGATAAATAAGTTGAGGTACGAGTTAGAATAATCAGAGAATTGATTGTATTGATGATTATTCTATGATATGGTGGGAAAGTGTAGTCTATATATAATATAAACATCACATGTAATCATATGTAATCACATGTAATCACATGTGATGCTTAAGTCCGAGCATTAAGTTTATACGGGCATATGTGCCTGTCGGCCCTTTAACATGTATATGTAAAGCGTATTTACGTACGGGCTGTACGTGCATACAAAGCGGTGTATCTCAGTAGATACGAACTTCAGTTGAGCCTCTTATTACCATGTAACTTCTTAAGCACGTAACTCATATAGTACCTGTATTTATAAATTATAAATATATCATTACAATTGTGGAAAATCAATGAGTCTAGATATATTTATGAAACATCTGTAGCCCTTATATTCATTGAGATATTAATATTTATTTCTTATATTATAGAGTACTAGTTTTAGGGTACTAATTAAGTATAAGTTTTAGAATTTTAGTAAATATTTTAAGTTTATATATTCTATACTTCGTAATTGTGTTTTGTGCGAGGGTAAACAAGGCTTATATAATTGCAGGATCCTTAGCTAATGCCCTCTAATAATCAATTCTATATAAAAAAACGCGTCTTTAGTTATAGTTAGCGTTATATAAAGTTCTTTACACATTGCGGTCCGACACACATCGCGTTACGTTTGTTAAAGAGGTAATTGGCTATATCTCGTATATTATTAAGTCGCGGTAGAAATCCTCGATCGATCAGGTTAATAACTCGTTCAAGAATCATGGTTTCTTCTAAAGAAGTCATCTTCTTTAAATTCGTACGAGTTTCGTATTAAGGTAGTAGACCAGCGCGTTGGTATCGAAGTATTATTCTTAGGGCGTTATAGATAGAGGCTACTTTTCGTGCGGATAGTTTTCGGTCTTTTTCGATTGCTTTAAATACAAGGATGACATGACTTTCATTTAAAGAAGAACTCATAGTCGTACGTGGAGGAAAGTTAATGTAAAGGTGAAGAGCGTGGAAAGAAGGAGGAAGTGGGCCGCCACTCGCTATGCATGTACGTTATAGTAAATTTGAAAGATAGGAAGATTATTATATATAGACTTTATGTATAAATTATAAAAAATATATTTAAAGGTTAAAAATATTAAATATTAAGAAACCGTAAAAATGGGGCCACGATAAGGCTGAGTTTCTATATAAAGACTTTAAAGCTCTATTTAATCTTTATATTATTATGCTTTATAATATAACTCTTATTAAAGCTAATATAGAATATTATATATATATTAGTCTTAATTTCAATTTTTAATAAATATTTAAAAAAATCAATCTTTAAGGTACAATAAGACAGTGTTTCACTCGCTTGTTTGTTTCACTCGCTTATCATATACGTTAAATTAATTTATTAAAAGAGCTAGTTATAATTAATAAAAAGACAAAAAACTAACAAATATATAAAATAAAAATACATAAAATAAAAATAAATAAATCTAATGTATGAATTATAATTATATAATATCAAAATAACTTAATTATGAATATTTTTCTTTTTTAATTTAAAATTTAATTACTTAATATATTTTTTATTAAACTATAAACTTAAAAATAATATTTTATTATTAAAAAAATAAAACATCCCATTTATTTAAGTCTAGCTTTACCATACCGGCTACTTAGGCAGCCTGCAGATATAAAACACCACTTACCAACCTGATTGCAATTTGGAACAGCCAATTATTGAACCCACGAGATATGGTTGCCAAGTCTTCGCTTGCAAAGTTAATAAAACCAGTCACCCCCTATTGCAATTCACACAGCATCGGCCACAAGTCTCTCGTTGCCCATCAAACAGCATTAACATACTGTCGTTAACTACTGTTCTTGGAACGATCCCCAAAGGTTTGACCATCACCACCTTGTTTTCTCTCATCTTCTGCAATGCAGTTAACCTAAGCCACCCTCCTGTTCGGCGTTAGTCAACATGTCCTTTAACACCTCGAAACCAGGAAAGTTCACCCATGCTCAAACATCAGAGTACCTGAGGGCTGCAAGCCCTCCTCGGAGAAACAGTTCGACTGGGCCGAAATGAGCAGATGCGTCATCGAAGAATTCTCAGTTGATGCCCTCATCAATTGCATTGGAGAGCACGATACAAACATCTGCGTGAAGCTCCCGCGGCATAGAACCCGTAACGAAGTACTCTTCGACAATTTAGATGGGGAGAATGACGGGAGGTTTTGCATCAAGCCTCGAGGGATCCTATGGCTGGCTGCGGTGGCTTCAGAGAATAAAATGGACTGTGGCCTTGATCATGCCTTCTATTGCTGCCCTGACAAAGACGTCGGTGGCTTCAGGTCTTGCCTCTGCGGACAAGGGGTCAGAGACAATCATTTCGAGTGCTTGTTAACAGCCATGGAGCTGCCGGTCGACGGAGGTTTTGATCGCCAGTGTGGATTTGAAAGCCAGGACAAAGTCAAGCCAACGCTCAAGGACACGAAGATTCTGCCTTTGACGGATGACGACATCGACAAGCTCAGTAGCCATTACAAATGCGAAAGTTACCCGTAGAGTCGGCTTGAGGAATAATTGAGATCACTTTGCTTAGCTAGGATAGCTGGTTGCTCTTCTCTACCTGCTTGAGAGACTTTGTTACCTGATAAGTTCCAGCCACGAAGAGAAATATCGCATTGCGGAGTACGAGGCTTTTTTCAACCTTACACGTAGGGTGTCGGCTTTAGCTTTGGCGATGTACACAGAAACGATCTGTATCCCACTCAAATGCCTCATGAATTATAAATCACTGGCAAGATTTTCGTGTCGCCTGGCCTTTTGCAGTGCCGTATTCTCGCGCATCAGCATCCTTTTCTCCTCTCTTGAATTCACACGTTTGTCTCTATCAGTGGAAAAGCCGTCGTTCTGATAATACTAACTGCTAATTCGAAGTGGTTAACGCCTGGAGCGGGGCATGTTGTCATGATAGCTTCATTCCTGGGCCACGTTCTATCTTACCTACCTTGGCAATTATGTGGAGTTCTGCTCCAGTTAGATGGTTGAAGAACGGGGTCTCGGATAGAAAGCGGGTTGCCTGTTCTAATTCCCTGGAGGCAGCCCGAGAGACCAGTTGACTTCATGGAGCCTTGGTTCGCATCTGAGTTGCTTGTTGTGATTCCTTGCAGGTGCACTGGCGGAGAAACTCCCTTTCTCAAGGCAGATCCGAGTGGGCTTTCGTTAGATGAATGTGACTGAGATGTTGCAGTACCCATAGGCGATTGTCTAAGTTGGTTGTGTAATTGGTATAACGTGAATGATAAGCGAGTGAGACAGACAAGTGAGTGAGACACAAAACTGCGCCGATGAGATAAACTGGCTTCCATATCAACATCAACAGCATCAATTCAATTCAAACTACTCATAATCCTCATCTTCAGACATCTCTTCAATAAACTGGCACGTTCGTGAATTGTGTCCCGGGTGACCACAAACGCCACACCGTCGCTGACCTGTCTCGGCCCTCAGTTTGCGACCACTAGTACGACGCATTTCCTCCTGAACCTGCGCAGTCACATCTTTCTGTGACTGTATATCTGCTGCGTCAGCTACAGTAAGACTTCCTCCATGTTGTAGGCGTGTTTTCTTAGTTCTCCGTCGTCGACTGAGTTGGTTATTCTCGTCTCTAAGAATCTGTACCTCAGATCTAAGTAAGGCTACTTGGTGCATGATGCCTCTTGTACCTTTAGAAAGTCGTTCAACAGCCTCGCAAATAGAGGTTGGGGAGCTGCTTTGGTGACGAGTGATCCGACTCTTAATAAAGTTGGATTGAGAGCTTGCCTCTACTGGGTTGTTTGGTGTGCTTGAAACCCAAGGCGGAGGTGTCTGTGGTAGTGATGCTGGAGGCGTTGGAGTGTGTAGCCGGATATCCAGCTTTGATAGGACGCTTTCTGCACTCAGAGGAACAAGCCCAGCTCCTCTAAAACCCCCTTGGATGTTTTTTTCAGTCATCGCTTGACTAAATGCGCTGCGATATGCAGGAAAGAAGTCCTCCTTTGAGATGTGGGTTACGCCCCGCCGCATCTTATCCTCAATTTGTTGCCCATACGCCGTCTTTAGCGGACCAAAGCACCCAACGTCAAGGGGCTGGAGTAGATGAGACGAACGAGGCGGCATACAAAGTGTAACGATCTTGTTTGCCTTGCAATATAGCTCAAAGTCTGTTGAGTGGTGACTTTCGTGCCCGTCGACGACGAGGAGGCGATATTGGCCTCTCAAACGTGGTTTCGTATGACGATCATAGTGCTGGATCCAATCTAGGCCTCTTTCATTTGTTGTCCATCCGTTTTCTGACGTCGCAATGACCCAGTCGTCCGGGAAACCTGACTCTGTATACCAGGTTGAGAGGTGATATTGGCCTGCAACGATGATGTACGGCGGGACGTTATAGCCTTGCGAGTTGATGGCTTGAATCACTGTAACCCATTCTCGATTACCAGGCTGCGCCATTTTTGTGTTTGAACGCCTTTCAGTACTTGTGACAACCATGCCAGATGCAATCTGGCCCATCATAAAGCCAGTCTCATCAAAGTTGTAGATATCAAACTCATCGATACCATACTTCGCGATTGTGTTCTTCACAAGAGCGAACCAGCCGCGAATAGCCTCTGCATCCTCGCATTGGGCCCTCTTGTAGTCGTACCTCCGAAAAAACCGCGTCCGCAATTGTGGTTGTCGTTTGACGAAGTTTAAGGCCCAGCGCTTCCCAACCGGAGGCGCGTCGCGATCAGCAAGCAGTCGATCAGCAAGCAGTCGATCAGCCATTTCTTCCACACCACGGATCCGGGGAGGGAATGATCGGGCATCTAGATCGAGAATGTGATCAACTAACGTCTGCTCTTCTAGCAAAGTAAGATTCCTCGAGTTCGGTATCCTGTCGCTTCGAGATGTAGAGCCCTTCAATCGTCGACTCAATGTTGCATGGCTGACCGAGTAGATCGTAGCTGCAGCCCGTGCACTAAGCTCTGGATTGATTCTGATAGCTTGAAGGGCCAGCTGTATGCCTGACTCATTACTTCTGGATGCCATGATGTGTTGTGGAAGAAACGTCTCCATTTGTGTTGAAGCATCATCGGCGCAGTTTTGTGTCTCACTCGCTTGTCTGTCTCACTCGCTTATCATTCACGTTAGTTGGTTGCTATTGTTGGCGTCAATCGCAAGTCTGAGCGTTTGGTTGATACCACCTTAGAAAGGGCCGAGCTCAGGATGATTTCGTTCTAGGAGTGGAAAGTGAGGCTGGGCCAGGATAGTGAGCACATGTAATAAACGCAGGTTGGCCGCAACGACGTCTTTGGTCTTTAGTCTCCTGTGTGAGAACAAGCGAGTCATAGGGTTCATCAGTGGACAAAAACTTGCAGCTTCACGTAGAGGTTTTCTAGTGTTGTTGCTTCCATACAGGCTGACAGGAAGAGATGGCTCAAGTAGAGAATAATTTGATTTGTGTTTAGATAGACCTTTCAGATCTATCTTAGCCAGCTTACTCTCCTGCAAAGACACCAGCCAAAGGCGTTCATTCGTAGGGGCTTAGGCAACAGGCGTCAGGAACAACGCATGTCAGACCGTGGCTATAAACGTTTGCGGAGACAGCGTCGACCCATGTTGAATATTTGAGGAGGCTTCGACACCTGGCAAGTAGTTTGGAAGAATTGCTGCGAAACATCTATGGTTGAAGCGAAATACCAGAATGCATGAGCTCTGCGCTCGACATACGTTGGAGTTTGTGAAGGCCAGTCGATTCTGCCATGATGCCCAAAAGGGCTAAGAAAAGGCGGAGGAAGGGAAGGGAACTGAAGACGGAGAGGAAGAGAGGGATGGTTGTACCAGAGACACAGGCACGTAAAGCCTCGCGTGTGTCTGGGCCCAGAACTTAACTGATATCAGAGGCTGTGGTAAGTGATGAGGTCCGTCATCTTCAATTGACGATTTCGTTTTTCCTGGAGCGACAAGCCACTGTATTGTCTTCCATAATTCGTAGCTTATTTCATCGCTACCTCGAAAGCAATCGTAGCTGTGACTCAACTGTCGACGAATTGGAAACTAGGAGATGAAAGAAACCTATCTCATAAGTACCCAGTCAGGCTCCTGCTGCCTTCAAGGTGGTATGATATGCTGCCAAGCACAATATTGCTGTATCTGCAGGCGCGTTAACCCGGCTTTAGAGGCAGGTGACATTGTGCCGATGCACGACCAATCATGACTTATGGGGAGACCTCTCAAAATGCACGCTGAGAAGATGCCTCAGAGAAGATGCGAACTTGCTCAGCACAGCGGTAGAAAATTAGCGGGAAATGTCTTAAATTATCTGCTGTGGTGGTAATTGACTCAGAAAGCTGCAAAAACCAACAGAACTTTTCAGGCGTTGGGACAACGCTCGTGTGGTTCGCCGCTGCCCAGAGACAGGGTATACTCTGAAATCATTGATTATCAATGTTGATATCGACAGCCTTCGAACGGCATACGTGAAATGACTATCTATGGATGAATTTACAAGAGTGAGAAGAGATAGAGACTATTGACAATCTGAAAAGAGAAAACACACAATGGCAGACAAGAGGGGGAACGTAGAACAAGTACACCATACCCGGATGGAAACTATGAGCAGATCCGACAGTCCATGGTCCATCCCTCCTACTCAGCCTTACAGAGCGATTGTCATTCTATGCCTAGCTTGTGCTCATGTACTAGGTATCTATCCTATTCCTCTTCATCTCCTAATTCGTGAGTTCCTATTGTCTTGTGCCCTTCCAGTTGTGTAAACCTCGTTCCCTGGGCCAGTGAGATTGACTGTGTGAACGTTTTGGAAAATAATTTGCTGTTGACCAGACTGTGGAAAAGGGCCATTTCCCTGTCCGGCACTCTGAGGGACGGTTCGGGAGCTAGCAAAATTGCCATACATCCCGACGTTTTGGGGAACAGGTCGTTGCTCGGGGGGTCGAGCAGGTGTCACGCTTGCGTGAGAATTGATGCGAGATAGAGCAGGCATACCGGCACCGTACGAAGTAGCTTGCTGGCCAGAAGGTGTAGGTACCCCCGCGGGGGGCCTAGGCGGAGCAAAGTGATTAGGAGACGGAGTAATACAATAGGCTGAGCAGGCCTGCTGGCCGAGTAGAAAGCAGCTCCCCGGCTAGGAGCCGGACCAACCATTCCGGCAGCTTGCGGGGCAGCTAGCTGATTGAAAGGCGGGCGAACCCGGGCCGCCATCGTAGCACCCCGGGATGGAGCTGGTGAATTGTAAGGCGGAGGAGGCGGAGGCGGAGGAGGCGGGGGCTGATTGAAAGACGGAGCAGGCCTCTCGGCCGCGCTGATGAGTGCAAGAATAGTCGATGGATATATCTTGTCAAGAAGATCCGATTTGAACATTTGCAATGAGAGGCTGTACGTGTGAGAAGTCGTGATTAGTCTCTTTGTTTTGGTGGTGTGGATTGATCGTAGCTTACGAGTCTCCGCTCGTAATGACATTACAGCGCTTGAATGACTTCAGTGCAATATTGCAGTTCAAACCCAGTGCGGCGAGGGACACCGTTACACAATTCGCATGCGTGAATGTTGCATCCCTCGCTCCAGAGGCCCAACAGTTCCGTGCCGTGTGCTGGTCCAAGTCTGCTTTCAGTTTGGTGATATTTTCGGTGCAAATGCCGGCATGGAAGCCAATGCTAGATCTGACGTCGGGGCTCGTCATGGCCCACTTGGCGAATGCGTTTGCGCGGTTGACGACTGCTTGAAACTCTCTCAGACTTTATGGGCTCGATGTTGGAGTGGGTTGTGAAACAATTTCCCACGAAGGAGTTCAGGTCGACCAGGGCACAGCTGCCAAGGTTTATGAGTTCCGCGACATTGTCGCTGGTAAATAGCTGGGCAGCCATTAAACGGCAACAGAACCCGAAGATCTTTTTATAATTTCATGAATAGAATCGAAGTAAGTTGTGGAACACATGAGAGAATTCCATGATATGTGTGGAAAGACTTTGAGGCGAGGTTGGAAGTGCTCGAGAAGGGTGGGCGGTATTCTTACTTATACTGACTGTCTTGAAACAAAGGGATCAGTGGGCGATACAGACTCTAGAATCAGGCCCGGGAGGAACTTCACGAAGCAGAGACGTCTTCATCAAGGGACGCGGCCTGTTGAGGGCAACCGCACCGCAAGGTGTCCAGGCCACGTGTCTCAAGAACCGGGGTCTCGAAAGGTTTCACTGCATGCTACCGGCATCCCCATTGAGCGTGAGTGAACGTTAGTACATCGCTTTGCGGGGCAGGCAGTACATTAAGATGCTGTGCGAAGTGATTTCAAACTGTGAATAGCGAATGGTATATTCATACGACGTGGTTTTCGTGGTTTCGGCGAATCAATGTTTGAAAAAGGCGTCGAATTGGAAAAGAGCTGGCAATCTATGTATTGAGATTGGCTCGCGCGTTATGGGACACGACATCGATGTGTCCGGCCTGATCCGGTGGTGTACATGGCATTTTATTGTAACGGGAAGTGGAATTGACACATGACTAGAGCCGGCTCTGTCCGGCGTCTGAAAGAGGCAACATGAGAGATCGAGTCCACGCCTGGAAGACATCAGTTCAAAGCCTTTCAGACTCGGTCGGGGCTTACTCACAAGCCCTATCTGGCATGTAAAGGGAGACGCAGTGAGATGGAAGGAGAACATTAGATGCAAACCTGCTCGAACAGAGGGAACAAGCAAAGACAGAAGGTTGGTAACGAAAGGTGAGTTTGATTGGAGTGGCACCGCACGACTATCAGCTGATGCGCATGCTAGGTCTCTGCTGTCTTGCTGCCCAACAATCAATGTACTTTCATCTAACGCAGGTGAGTAGACAAGGCTGAGAGCAACCCAGAGTCCGACGGTAGAGGAGCGGAACATGCACACTAGAGAGTAGAGTGCCTACGCGACCTGTGCTTCCATTGCCTATTGATCGGCGGGCCGAGTAATTACGCCTGGGGAGGTTACCAGTAAGATGCAAGGCATTTTGCGGGGTTGATCCTCACCGGAGCGTCGTAGTATTGGATAACTAGGAGGACGGTTAAACCATCCAGTTGTCCTGGATGCGCAAATAGATTGCTACTGGTTACCCACCAGACTGGATTGAAGAGATATATGAGAGACATAGCACAAGTGGCAGCATAGTGTTGGTTGAAGTAGTTCATTAGGTACTAGGTATAGTATCAAGTATACAAGAAAAAGTCATGCCTTGCCGATGCAGGCGTGGTATCATATCTGAGCGTATTCGTCCAATCCATCACCAGTTAAACTCCCAGATAACCTCCCATTTTACGCCTGCGCTAGATTCATGGGCGCCATTTTCGTAAACGCGTCATGCTAAGAAAACATGAGGTAGTCTCAAAGAAAAGAGACAGCTACATATCCGCGATCCGACCCGTCGATTTGACGAATTTAGTAGCGGCTGCTGCGCTGCCAGAAGCGGCGCTTGCGGTAGGTGGTGTGGGTGGCAGGGGGAGAGTAGTTGTCAGCCTTGGAACGCTGCTGGCGGCGCTTGTGAAGACGGCCGCTGCAGCAGGTGAAGAAGACAATGACGGTGCCGAGGAGCAGGCAGATGGCGGCGGCGAGAAGAGTCCAGAGGGCAACATCGTAGTGGGCAGAGCTGCCGTTGCCGTCCCTGTTTACATTGCGGCGGACGACGGCGAACATGACCCAGTCGCAGATGAGGGCGACGATGGTGATGATGAAGGCGACGCCGGAGACGAGAGCGGCGAAGAGGGAGCCGAACATGCCGGCGCCGACGGAGAGGATGAAGGCGATGAAGGAGACGCCTGCGGCGACGGGGTGGAGAACCATAACCCGGGTCAGGCCCTCGGCGACGTTGGAAGACAGGTTGGAGTACTGGGTGGCATCGGCCTCGGCGATGATATCGGTGGGCGAGTAGCCGATCTTGGAGCGACTGCATTGGTCGGAACCACTAGGAGACGTGTTAGTCGTCGACTTGGGAGGTTATTCTATGCGAAATGACTTACTAGTCAGAGCCGCCACGGACGCAGTATCCGAAGGTACCAAATGTGATCTCATTGCCGGCGGAAGTGTCGCCCAACTTGACGGTCAAGAGGGAGATGTTGTGCACCACTGGAGCAGAGATGCTGGTGATGACCAGAAGGATCGTTGCTACAAGTAGCAAAAAGGTACCAAAGTGGTGAATGAAACCGGTGACAGCCATGTTGATGGTGGAGGGAGACTACTGCCGGGTGGCTAAAGTGTAGTGGTGTTTGGTGTAGGGCTTAGTTGTAAGAGACGATTGGCGATGGAATACTGATGTGATGAACATGTTCGCCAAAAGGAAGGGAGAGGCCGTCCGCATATAAGCACAAACGTCTCACGACCCCTGAGCCGGTCCCAAGAAACAAGAATTTGCATGATGTGTGCTGTGTTCTGTGACACTACCACACTAGGCACACCGTCCGGGGCCAAGAATGCCGTGTAAGTCAGGGTCCCGGTGCAAGCCAACGAGTGCGACGTCATCAACGTGGCCCAGCCCGGGCCCAAGTTCTAACTTCTCGTGGCTCTGTGTGAAAAATTGGGTGAAAATGGACCCTGGCTTGCGCAAGCATCCCCCGCGCCACGGTTGGTCGGCTCATCTAGTCGCGTCCAGATTTGTTTAATTGTCGAACAAGCCGGCGGTGGAAAAGGAACGTGGGTTTGGCTCTATTGTGACGTACTATCCAATTTGCGCCGCTGATTGGCCAGGCCCTCGCGTCGTGGCCGATCTGGGATATTGCAGGTTGCCACTATTCCTTGTTTTTGTGGCTCTGTAATGACGCCACGCCTTGAATGGACCCCGGCACGAAAATCCAACTCCAACGTCAGAGTCTCGACCTTGTGTTCAGCTGACTACTGCCGTATTGCCGACTCAGGTGTTCCTCTGGCAAGAAAACACCTGCAGCTCGTCGTCAGGGAGCCCGACCGCGTTACACTACTAGCGAGGGTCGTGAGAGACACCTTCGTCATCGTCGACAGTCGTTGCAATTTTTTGCAATCTGATGTCGGGACATACCGAAATGTCAACGGTCGTCTTGTGGTGTTTTTGACCTTGCGACGGCTCAGGCACTCAGGGTCTCCCATTCAATGCATCGTCCTGGCCCGCATAATTTTAGGTTAAGCAGCCGAAACCTGAACAGTTCCGTCCGATAACCTGATCCAATCAAGATGCATGCTCTGGCCGGGTGCCATCCCATATCGCCAATGAGCCTTGTGCCAAATCGTCGTCTCTATCGGAATTTTCATTTCCGGAACGCTTCACTGAGCGCGAAACGCTTTAGCTCCGATCATGCTGTAGCTGTCAGATGTTCCTGGGCTTGGCTAATGGCGCCAACTTTGGTGATCAACGCCCAACTGCTGCGAGGATGCGAGACGGTTTTTAATCCGTGCTTGAGGGACGTTGTCCCCAGAAAATGGTAGCATGGTGTTTGCGGTTGTCTCCTACTGCTGCGTCCGATGGCGATCAGGGCTGGCTTTCTTTGAGATGCAACAGGCCTTCCATAATGGCGGGCGCCTTTTCTTTTTGCTCTCTTTTCTTGATGCGATCGACGATGGCGCGCTTCTTGACATCAATTGACTTGGAGCCGAGCAGAATATCTTCCCATAGCTGGCCTCTGGTTGACGACTTTGACTGTCCACCATGCTCCCAATCCGACAAGCCGTCGGCCGTAACATCCTTTGGCAAAGATGCCCTCAATTGAGACGACATTGTCGTTTCTCGTCGTGAAGTCGGCCATGGGCCATGCAAAGGATGGGCCTTGATGGCCGCGGAGTGTATGTATGTCGGGGCCGGGAAGATGTGCACCGTGAATTCCTTCTTGTCGTCTATTCCTGCAGCGCCGTCCTCGACTCCTTCTTGATGATTCGCGTTGGCAAAGGGGCCAGTGACGGCCGAGCCGGTCAGGAACGACTTAACGGAACCGTTGGATCGAGGCGTCGCGAGTTGGTACTTGAGCGGGCTCATCTTGGCGAGGTCCTTGACTTTCGATTTGTCGCTGAGAACGGATATGAAAGAAGAGTCGTGGTTCTAGAAGCCCATAATGTCAGCCAGAGAGCCTCCTGTGGCATCAATTCCTTGCGAGATGCAAACTCACTTCTAGCTTCTTGAATACCTCAACGTTGGCGAATTTCTGCAGCGAATGCAAGACGGCGCGTCTCTCGGAGAATCTAGTCGGTCTCGGCACGACGGTGACCTGAATCGTCCGCGCAGAGGCCTTTTCGGAAAGGCCCTGCAGAACAGAGTATCCGTTCTTAGACATGGTGCTGATTGTATCGTGGATGCGACTCCGTGGACTATGCCGTGTTGGACGGGGAGCGCAATTCGATACGGGAGCTCCGCAAAGTTGTCAAGCTCTGGTGGAGTTTTAACAGTGCTGAAACCCAATAACCCGCAGTTGCGCACGGTACATCGCGCCGGGGTGCCCCGCCAAATGGCGGGGAGGCAACGTTCTGCTACTGGAACTTCTAGAACAGCTTGGAAGACGTAGACGTACGCCTCCCGTCCAAACACCTATCCTCTGCAACTCCCGAGTAAATATTCACAGCATCCTACGATTTCCTATGAGCCGAACGTGCGAAAAATAACTCGACGGCTTCTAAACAAAGAAACAAATATACTGCACCCAACAACCACACTCTCAACCGCGACCATGGCCGCCATCATCGACGCCGACGACGTGATGGAGCCTACCCTCCAGTCCATCCTCGACCAAAATTCGCTGCGCTGGATCTTTGTCGGAGGCAAGGGTGGTGTAGGCAAGACGACTACCTCATGTTCCCTCGCCATCCAGCTCGCCAAAGCCCGCAAGTCGGTCCTCCTCATCTCCACCGACCCGGCGCACAACCTGTCCGATGCCTTCAACCAGAAGTTCGGCAAGGAAGCCCGTCTCATTGAGGGCTTCACCAACCTCAGCGCTATGGAGATCGACCCCAACGGTAGCATGCAGGACCTGCTTGCGGGTCAGAACGAGGAGGTGGATGCCATGAGCGGTGGCCTCGGTGGGATGATGCAGGATCTGGCTTTTGCTGTAAGCTTTGCCTCTTTATGCGCTCTTCATTACGACCAGCACCTCTGCAGCAGCTTGTTCGCTAACATAGTTTATTCAATCAGATCCCCGGTATCGACGAAGCCATGTCCTTCGCCGAAGTCCTCAAGCAAGTAAAGTCCATGTCCTACGAAACAATCATCTTCGACACCGCCCCGACAGGCCACACCCTCCGCTTCCTCTCCTTCCCCAGCGTCCTCGAAAAGGCCCTCGCAAAGGTCTCCCAGCTCAGCTCGCAGTACGGCCCCTTGCTCAACGGCTTCCTCGGCCAGGGCGGCCAGCTGCCCAACGGCCAGAACCTCAACGAGATGATGGAGAAGCTCGAGACGCTGCGCGAGACAATCTCCGAGGTCAACACCCAGTTCAAGGACGAGAACCTGACGACTTTCGTCTGCGTCTGCATCCCCGAGTTCCTGTCTCTCTACGAGACGGAGCGCATGATCCAGGAGCTCGCCAACTACGGCATCGACACCCACAGCATTGTCGTCAACCAGCTGCTCTTCCCCAAGAAGGGCAGCAACTGCGACCAGTGCACGGCCCGTCGCAGGATGCAGAAGAAGTACCTCAGCGAGATTGAGGAGCTGTATGACGAGTTCAACGTCGTCAAGATGCCGTTACTGGTGGAGGAGGTCCGTGGCAAGGAGAAACTGGAAAAGTTCAGCGAGATGCTGACCACGCCTTACTCACCGCCTGAGATGGATGCTTGAGATATGGGTTTGCTAGTGGTTTGGCGGAGGTGACGATTTGTTGGTGTTGAGAGGATCAAAAACACGACTATGAATACTTGGTTTATGAATGGATGGGTAGCATGAGGCGTAAGAGTCACGAGTGGAGGTATAGAATACATTCACAAACGATTGATACCCTGGTGGTGTGTGCAGGAGACTTTATTTGACTACCTCAATGCGTGATATCAGTGCCTTCAAGACTGAGCACCTCTGGCGTAGCTTCATTATCCCAAATATCCCCTGCCCCATTGATCTGCCCTCTGGCGGCGACAGTAAAGTCCGATTGATTCCCTTCCTATCCGAGGCATAATAAAAAGTCCGCCAGTCCCCGTCCCGAACGCCCTTCAGACCATAAAAAAGCCTTGTCCAAAGTCCTCTTGGCTGTGTGAGGATAGTGTTATGCCGTATTTTTCCAGAATGATAATGATGAATGACCCCGTGATGCAATGCGTGCGTGTCGTCTAGTTTTACAATCGAAGAAGTCGTGGATGGCCATTGTAGGAACCGTCGATTGGGGTGTCGCTCACAATTCTCTGTAGTCGCTGGGGCGGACACGCTTCTGTCGGTTCTGGTGACGATGAGGATTTACCGGTCTCCGGAAGTACGCGTCCTCGTCATTGCTCGGCTGTGTGAAGTTGTGGCGCTGCTGCTGGTTATAGCCGCCCATGCCGCCTCCATTCATACCGCCGTTCATACCGCCGTTCATGCCATTCATCTGGTTCATACCGTTCATGTTGCCGCCGCCGAAATTGTTGTTGCCGTACATGTTGTTGTTGCCACCCATATCAGGGAAGCCGCCGCCGTTCATAGGGTTGAAGCCAGGCATACCCATCATAGGGTTCATCATGCCCATCATTGGCATTCCCATGTTCATGTTGCCCATGTTACCCATGTTTGGCATATTGGGCATGTTTGGCATATTTGGCATTCCCATGAAACCGTTCATCATGTTCATGCCGCCGAAACCCATCATCGGGTTCATAGGCATGTTGCCCATACCGTTCATGCCGTTCATCATCGCCTGCTGTTGCTCTTGTTGTTTCTGCATCGCCTTCGGAGCCTTGGGGATCTTGGGGTTCTCCATCAACTCATCAGCGGGACGCTTCTTGGAGTTGGACTCGACGGACGAAGCACGCTCAGCGGCGGGTCCTGACGGAGCGGTGGCGGGAGTTGCTGATGCTGACTTTGGCGTGCCATCAGCTTTCGGGCCTGATGGCGCTGAAGCAGGAGCCGCTGTCGTGGCTGTAGGCGACTTCTGTGATGTGGGCGATTTTGCGTTTCCGTTGGCAGACTCTACCTTTGTCTCTGCGCTATCCTTGGGTGACGAGGCCGGCGGCGGCGAGGCTGCTGTCGGGCTCTTCGCTTCGTTCTTCTCCTTGAGGAATTCCTTCATCTTGTCTGCAGCTTCCTCATCGGCCTTTAGGTCGTCAATCAAGACACCTTCCGTAGAGCAGTTGGGGCAGACGAAGTCCGATTCGATGAGAGCATTGGTTATGCAATCATTGCAATACGTCTTCTGGCAGCACGGGGTCTTCATTGGGTCTATGAACATCTTCTTGTCGATAGGGCACTCGAGTCCCTGCTCCTGCAACTCCTTGTCTCCCATAGCAATTGCCTTGGCAGCGGACGCTGAAGACTTGGCCTTCGCCTGGAATTGTTCCCATGAAGCCTTGTCAGGCTCAGCGATCACGAATTCTCCCTCAGCGTTGACCATAATGCCCGACGGTCTCTTGGTTTCGTCATCACCACTCTGGGCGAGGGCAACCGACTTATCGACTGTGCGTAAAAACGACCGCGGGATGCCGGTCGTACGCTTCACACGTGGACGATTGTCAAACTCTGGATCATCGTTTGTTGGGCATAACTGAATCCAGTGACCTTTCTCTCCGCAACGGTAGCAAATGTAACCATTGGGAGGATCATGGTCAGGCACGTTTGCAGGTTTCTTGGAGCCTGGCTTGAAAACAGGGGTTTGGCTGCGACTCTGTTAGAATTGACCTGTCACTAGGAGTGGTGGGTGAACTTACTTTGACATTTCCTCCTGTTGAGCTGACCAGGACTCGGTTTGAGCCTGGAACATGGCTGCCATCTTCTCTTCTTCTGTCATAGCGTTGTTCATTTGGCTGATGGCGTTGGATGCGGCCTTGGCCGTGGCCAATTTGGTCGTTTGTTCCTTGCGAGAGGAATTCTTCGCAGCAACGGGCATCTTGCCAGAGACATATCGGGCGCCTCGGCCTGCACCAGGCTTGGCGGCTGGAAGGCGACGGGCAACTACAGTCGTAGATCGGGGGATAATCGTCGTATCATCATCGTACTCTAGTAGGTTGTTAGATAGATAATCATGGGAGCGTTTTTCAGTATCAAATTTACCTTCACTACCATCCTCTGAGTAGATGGCGAGGTCGAAGTCGGTGCCATCGCCCAAACCGCTCTTTAGGATGATGTCGCGCTTCAGCTCGAAGACGGAAATGCCAGTGCCATCGAACTCAACTCGCGTCGGCTCCTTTTGAGACTTGAACTTGAAGAACACGGAGGACGCCATGATGTCTCGTTTGGTAAGGTCACAGGTGTAGACCGCTATAGACGTTTGCAGCAGTAAAGCGCGCAGTCAAGTATTGAATTGGAGTGACGGTGAAGACTTCGCGGAATACCACGAAGACGCAACGCTACCTCAACGTGAGTAGAGACTTGATGCTTGTAATTTTTCTTCTTGCTTGTGTGTGATGTCTCTTGCGCTTAGCACCTCTCAAGAGTAATGAAAATCAATTCTGATTTACTTGGAAGATCAAGGAAATAAGGGTTGCGGAGTGTAGAGAAAGAGTACAATGCCAAAAAGGCCGACACCAGTTGAAGAAAAGTCAGTCCTTTTGTGTGAATCCCTCCTTACATCCAAATCACCTCGACACCTTGCGCACCATCAGTCGAGGAACCTCAGTTAGCCAGCGTAGGTTTCCAAATCAGTATTCCGCTCGATATGTAAGCGGTCGCGACGGTCCCGTGGCGAGACAGCAAACAATCGTCCAGGGAAATAGTCGGCTGCTGAGCGGGCACTTGCTTCGCTGGTCACCTGGGGTCGAAGGGTCGCTTGGGCGATTGCCGTGGGATGATAAAATTCGTCGCACAGTCGTATGCAGCACGCGGTGTTTGCGGCAAAGCGAAATGTCGCGGTTGCAGGTCGAAAAGGGAGCGTTGATGGTGATGTTCGTGGCAGGAAAAAGAGGAGTAACGCAAAGGGGGAGGAGAAGAGATATAGCCGGCAGTGACTGCAGGCAGAAGAAGGTGGTAGCTGGAACCCACTCTGGCCACTGCGACCGACCCGACCTGATTCTGCAGCACTGTCAATTCTGGGCAAGTCTGGGCCAGGTGGCACGTGAGTGTCGGATTTTCCGGCCAGGGGTTTCTCCGAATCCTCAATCTCCATCACCTACGTCTGGGCCTTCCAGCCTTCCAGGTTCCTGTCAGCGGGTTCTAAAGTGGTCCCCATCTTTCTTTCGGAAGGTGCCGTCAAGCTCTCATTGCAGCTGAGTAATCCGCCCAAGAATCTTGTCTCTTCCGTTCAGGTCCCGTCCGGGCCTCCACTATCTCGGCCGGGCAGCTGCCGAGAAAGAGTCACGTGCCGTATCACGCAAAAGTTCATAGGTCTCGGTCTTAGTGCCTCCACCTGGAACGGATACCTTGCCTTAGCAAAGGTCAGGTCCCTTCCTGCTGATACGCCGCTGCTTGCCGAAGCGCATTGAAAGAACCCCGCCATCCGGAGCAGTTGTGGGCAGGTGCATGTAGCGGTACTCTTGGTGCAGCAGAATTCTGGTCAGCTCTATTGCGCCCGATGTAGAAGGTCCAGTCCGGCGTCATGCCCCGCACCTCGTTGTTTAGAGGCCTTGCCCTCCCTCAGACTGCTCGAAAGTTTGTTCCTACAACTCTCAAACCTCTCCCGTGTTGGCAAACCATCTCACAATCTCGCCGTCACTACCTTACTCCAGCTATAAAAGCACACCAAGCTCGAAAGACCAAGATGGCTCCTCAACTCGGTGACTACTTCAAGCAGGTCGATGCCGACACCGACCACTTTATCGAACGTCTCCGGAAGGCTGTTGCGATCCCCTCCATCTCAGCTGATGTTGAGCGCCGTCCCGATGTCGTCAAGATGGGCGAGTGGCTCGCTGCTGAGCTGAAGGGCCTCGGTGCCTCCGTCGAGCTTCGAGAGCTCGGCGAGCAGCCTGACAAGCCTGGTTTGCAGCTGCCCCCCGTTGTGTTGGGAAGATATGGAAGCGACAAGAACAAGAGAACTATCCTGGTCTACGGCCACTACGATGTTCAGCCTGCTGAGAAGACTGATGGCTGGGCGACAGAACCTTTCGAGCTCTCCGTCGATGATAAGGGCAGAATGTTCGGCCGTGGTTCCACAGACGACAAGGGACCCGTCCTCGGCTGGTTGAACGCCATTGAAGCTCACCAAAAGGCCAACATCGACTTACCCGTCAACCTCCTCATGTGCTTTGAGGGTATGGAGGAGTACGGTTCCGAGGGTCTTGACGACCTTATCAAAGCCGAGGCCAAGAAGTTCTTCGCTGACGCTGACGCTGTCTGCATTTCTGACAACTACTGGCTCGGAACCGAGAAGCCCTGCTTGACCTACGGTCTCCGTGGCTGCAACTACTACTCTGTCGAGATCAAGGGCCCTGGTGCTGACTTGCACAGCGGTGTCTTTGGCGGCACTGCCCAAGAGCCCATGACTGACCTGGTCCGCGTTCTCGGCTCTTTGGTCGACACCGACGGCAAGATCCAGATTCCTGGCATCATGGAGCAGGTTGCTCCTGTCACCAAGGAGGAGGAGACCCTATACGATGGCATTGCCTTCACCATGGAAACTCTTCACGAGTCTCTGGGCAGCACGACCACCATCTACGAAGATAAGAAGTCCACCCTCATGGGAAGATGGCGCTACCCCTCCCTCTCTGTACACGGTGTCGAGGGTGCCTTCTCTGCCCCTGGTGCGAAGACTGTCATCCCGGCCAAGGTCACTGGCAAGTTCTCCATCCGTACCGTGCCCAACATGGAGGAGGAGGCAACCAACGAGGCTGTCTACAAGTACGTCAACGAGCAATTCGCGAAGCTCAAGAGCAAGAACTCGATGAAGGTTTGGGCTCAGCACACGGGCAAGTGGTGGGTTGCGTCGCCCAAGCACTGGAACTTCTCGGCTGCCGCCAAGGCCACCAAGCGCGTCTGGGGCGTACAGCCTGACTTCACCCGTGAGGGTGGAAGGTATGAATTCCATCTCCTAATATCGAAGGATGTTTACTGACAATATACGTAGTATTCCCGTCACCCTGACCTTCGAGCAGGCCACCGGCAAGAACGTTCTCCTTCTGCCCATGGGTAGCTCCACTGACGGTGCTCACTCCATCAACGAGAAGCTGGACAAGCGCAACTACATCGAGGGCATCAAGCTCCTTGGTGCTTACCTGCACTACGTCGCTGAGGAGCCCACCGCATAATTGGACTATGGACTTGGTGAGGTCGCTATGTCAGAGGGCAGCTAGGAACCGCGCTACCTGCGATAGCACGCAGTCAGGTGCCCCGCCTTGCTGTGTAGCCACGGCGAGTCAAGCTCGGCTTACAGGTCGACTGCTGACGGCATTCATACACGCTGAGAGCGCTGCAATGGGCCGTTAGCCAGATGGAGATTCATAGCACAAGATGCTCATGGTTTTCGCTGCAGAATTCAGATCACAAGTCACGTAATTCAAATACCCAAACAAATTCATATTAAACCGTGCTCAATTTCTTCGTTTCTACATGTGGGGTATTAGTGCGTAAAGGGTCAAGTCATGATCGTTCGTCCGTCGTGGTATGTAAATCGTATGCCAGCAGAACCAGGTATCCAAGCCAAAACGCCGGTGAGAGGACAAAGCCTACGTGGCTCGGGATATCTCGTGCGTGTAAGTGGTAGGAGAAAGGGTAGGGGTATCGGGAGCTTTCAACAGAAGCTCTACTTCTTCCGCGCCGTCGCCACTCGGCGGCTCCGTCTCTTCGCCACAACCTCTGGGTCCCAATTTCCAGAGAACATATCCTCGAGGTCGTCCTCGTCCTCAGAATCGAATGCGACCTCCACCTCGCTGTCCGACGTATCCTTGCGAACGCTCTCGGCACCGTCATCGCCGCCGCTTTCGTCGTCTCTACTCCCTGCTCTGCCAGCTCCACCAGTAGCCTCCCCCTCCTCCACAGATTCCTCGTCCTCTGATACGTCGTCTTCGTCATCATAATCCTCTTCGTCCCGAACATCAACGTCTTCCCAGCTACGAAAGGGCACCACGCGCTCGACCTCGAGTATGAACTTGCCAACCTTGTACTTTTGACTGAGCTCCTTGGCGTCGACGTATTTCCACCCGAGTTTCGCGTTGCAGAGGACGCAGGTGATGTCCGCGACGACGTGCCATCCGGTAACGAGCTGGCGGTTTTCGCATTTTCCTATGCGGACGTTGGCGAGGCTTCCCTTGTTTTTGCTGTTGTTGCCTTGGGCTGAGGACGTGTTGTAGGCGGTGACGACGGTCGGCGCGATGAGGTAGGCGCGGCCGTAGCGGCCTGTGAAGCCTTTGCTTACGATTTGGGAGGAGAAGGCGATGTCGCAGGAGCAAGTTGAGCAGCGGAGGGTGTCTGGTTGGGTTCGTGCTAGGGAGGAGGAGCGGGCTGGTTTATTCTTTTTGGCGGCGGTGGTCACGGCGGATGAGGATTTGGAGAGGAGGTCTGGGATGATTGCTGTGGTAGTGGTGGCATCTTGGTATGTTGGCGGCGGCGGACTGTTCGGGGGCGTCGCGGTCTCGTCTGTCGTTGAGGAAGTCGGCGAGGAGCTTAGGGAGGGGGCCTGGCTTGCGTCTGGGGTCGAGTGCGGGGACGTCGAAGTCGAAGTTGAAGTCGAAGGTGCTGCTGCTGCTGCTGCGGACGAGGTCCGGCGGCGGAAGGGAATGATGTTGAAGCTTGGGAGAAGGTAGGTTGGAAACGTTGGACGGGAGACGATGATGTTGGGCGCCATCGTGAGACGCGGGTTTGGAGTATTGGAGGTAGATAATGCGCCTCGCTCCGGGACCCCGATCCGAGGAAGGTGGCGGCGATGGGTACTTGTTTTCTTTGTTTCGCTGGGTGGACTACGGCTTGTTGGAGTTGTAGATGAGGGCGGCGCCGGTGGTGGAGGGTTCTACCATGGTATCCCGGCGAGGGTTCCGGTGGATGGATGGATGGTTTTCTCTAGATGTTCAGGGCGAGGAAATCATGACTTGTTTGGGACGAGGACGATAATACGGTTTCTTTGGAGTTTCTTTTCTTTTCTTTTCTTGGGTTTGTTCACGTTTTTGATCCTTTGCGACTGGAGGGTCCCGGGGAGGTCATGTAATCATGTATAGATAGGTAGGTATGGTAGGTAGGAATGAAGGGTCGGAGGCGGTTTTGGGGTAGGTAAGGTAAGGTAGGTAGATCAGAGGCGTATGGGCGCAAGGCCGACAGGGAGGGGAAAGATGAGTGACTGACTTATGGCACGAGACAGTGAGATGGAGGGGTAGAGGATTTGGGCTGGACTTTTTTTGGTCGGGCCACCGTCTAGAGGGTGTGTAACGTGCAGTTTGCGAGCGAGTGAATGATTCGAGTGTTGGAGGGTAAGGCAAGGCACCGTTCCGGCAAGCAGCATGTCACTGTCACTGTCACCGGTGGACCCCGCCTGTCTTGCGGTGAGTGGACGGGAGGGTTTGGAGTGTAAGATATCAAAAGGGTCTGGGCGGAACGTCGGACATGTACATATTGACAAGTAGGTATCCGACGTGGTTGGAGCTTTGGTTTCCTGCCCGGACTTGGGATGGAAAGAGTGAAAACCACATAGAGAGGGGTTTGATATCCTGCAGATGCTAGACACTTGACTCGGAATGGACATGAAGGCTGAAGAGGACTGTGAATGTTTCTCCCTCCACACATTTGTATCGTAAAGTAAGACATTGGGAAAAGAAACTACCTACCGTACTTACCAACCCACCTCTCCGGGAACATCTACCTACTGTAGCGAGCGGCCAGTATCGGAACGGCGAGCGGCGGTCTTTGTTAAGTAGGTACGGTGATCAATACCTACCTTACATGAGGGACCTCTCGGCGGTGGTGTAAGAGCAAGTCACTCGGTCGAAGGAGGTTCGAGCTTCCCCACCTGGCTCTATCGCTACTGCAGCCCAACCTTATCGATAAGGTAAGCAAGTGGAAGCGTGAGCCGATAAGACCAAGAGACGACGGCCAGGTGGAGTCTTCCCAAGTGGTGAGAATGAGATTCCATTTGGCGCCGGCAGTGTGTGTGTCACTGGACTTCGGACTCCACCGCTGGGTGGGTGTGGATGATCACTTCATTCGACCTCCATCAGATGTGACCCCCTCTTCCTCAAACGGTTGTGCGGCAGAGAGTTCGAGGGGTCCCACACCTTTCTTGCCATCGTTGGAGACTGAGGTAAGCACCTGTACACTGTGGAGAGGGTTCTAGAAAAAGCGAAAAACCATAAGGTATGTTTCGAGTTCCAGGGGTTGTTGTAGGCCTTGCGGGGATCGAAGCTGTACAAGTCAGGTATCTTGCAGCAGCATCCAAGATGAGTGTCTGCAATCGTTATCTATGGACCAAAACGCCTCGCAGCTTTCGCTCGGTTTCGGCGAGGGCACGGTGGGGCTTTGGGTGAGAGTCAGATGGTCCGTCGGGTTGCTAGCTGCTTACCGGAGACCGGCGCCGATTTAGATGCGACATCTCTGGCCGTTTGGCTGCACCCAGAGTGTTGTAGTCGCTTGGATGTTAAGTAGGTGGGTAGACGCTTGATTAATACTGTTGTTACGAAACGATTTATCTCAATTCCGACCGAGTAATCTGAGGAACCAAGAGAAGTTGATAATCGTTATTCATAACGTATTGTATCCTTTCAACCTTCCGAGAAGGGCGGTGCTGCGGTGGATGACTCGCGAATCACGAATGTGGGGGACAAACCGGTCAAGTGACCCGAACGGAAACACGGACCCCAGAAAGCCCAGCATGCTAGTTGCGGCGCTGCATAGCAATCTTTGGCAGGCATTGACAAGGCATCCTCCAATATTGTCCATGGCAATGTGTGAAAATAGACCAACCACCGTAACACCATGTGCTCCGGTGGCCTGCTCGCCCGTCACGATTACGACGGCCGAGAAAACGCGGCCTCCGACCATGCCGGGGCTCCGGCTCAAGGGGGATCCATTCGTTCAAAGAGGCTGCGACAACTTACGCCATCATCATATGAAATGTTTTGACTATCCGCGGCGGACGTCTGGAATACATTACTGTGTAGAGACGGAGCTCAGCCAGAGTTTCGAGGTTGGGTATGGAATAGGCTGACCTACCGTAAACCCTAATTGTCCTGATAGTTGAGGACCCCTCCGTCCCCCAGCGGTTACCTGTCACTCGTGTATGCGACGATCCACGGCCGTGTGCTTGAACTGCTTGCGTAACATTACCTCACTTTCGTAAGTTGATGTTCCAAAAAGAGGACCGGATATCAGGCCAACGCCATTCCGTACACGTGTCAAGGTCGATCGTCCTTGTGGAATCTCTCCAAGAAGAAAGCACTGTGTTACTGTGAGCGCCAGGGAGAAAGAGTTGGTTCTCTGACCGACCGTTTCCGTCCAAGAGATAATCCATACCCCAAGTTCTGGGTCGGGCTAGGGTGGCTGGGCAGCATGGGCTCGGGTTGTCCACGTGCATGTGAAGTGCAGCCCACGGCCTCGTTCGATTGGCAGAGGCCGCAGGAGAAGCAGTCAAAGTGCCAAGCGCCGTGCCGGGCCCGGATTGGGAGCGTCCACCCGAGTTGGTTGATTGCTGGCGGGATACTAATTACTGGTGACATTCGGTTCGGGGCAACTCTGACTGGTCTGTAGATTATCGAGACATGCTTAGGTGCGTAGAGCTATTGGGGTCTAAAGACGGAGGGATGCAACTGCTTCAAGTCAGTCAATGAATCAATACCCAATGAGTAGATCGTGGGCCATGAATGGCCAGGGAAAGTAGCAGCAGCAGCAGCAGCAGCCAATGCAATGCAGCCCAAGAAACAACGTGCTTTGCTTCCCATACCGCCTCATACAGTGCAACATGGACGACGGATGGCGCATTGCAAAGTGCTCCAGCCGGTTTCGTAAGCCTAGACCAGTGGCCCCCCCATGGACCGTGGGCCATGGACGCCCCCCTGCCAGCGGGAACAATGGACAAACTGGAACCCTCTGGAACTTGTGGAAGAGACAGCTGATGCCGATGATGATCGTGGCGAGCAAGCAAACAGATCATGGAGTACCGATGTGCTGTGACGAAAGTAAAGGGTCCCTGAGGATTGCGATTGAGTAAGATCCAAGCAATCCAAAGCCTGAATTGACGTGGACGGGATCAATGGCATTGACTGCATTGGATGGGGAGGAGGAGACATGGATGGTGGATGAAGGGATCCGAGGATAGAAGGGGGAAAGGTGGAGATGCCAGGGCTGATTATGACTGTTCCTTCCCACCTTCCCTAGGTATCCGTACACAGTAAGTTTCCCACTGGACCGGTGGGCTTTGCCGCTTTTTTTGGTGGCTGCCACCCCTTGAGACTGCCATTGCGGCCCATTGGAAAGGAAACCTGTGCTAGGCTGGCACGGCATGGCTGGGTGGTGGTTGCTGCGTGCTGCACAGTGGTCCCCTTGGGCCTTGGGTTGCTTTCTCCGCCACGCTAGACGTTTCCACCCTTTATTTTTATTTTCTTGCGGAAAGATATGGGCTTTCCGCTGGGTTTTTATTCACCACTCTGCCCGCCTTGAACACCATCTCTCCCATTCCCCTCTTCCTGTCTTCCCCATCGCAACGCTTCACCGCCGATATCCAGTTCGCCTAACCCGCAACAACCGCCGTTCAAAAAACAAGGACAAAACATCAACGCAAATCCTCCATCCACGCTACTACATCAATCGATCGACACAAATCGAACAGCCTCATCAGCTAGAATCAAGAAAACCCACACCACCTTTTCGAAAAGAACACTACCATCGTCGCTACTTGACTCTCGCCTCACTTTTCAACCACCAATCACCAATTCATCGACGAACCGGTTCCGATATCCCGAGAACCGACCTCCCAACCCAATTCAACCACAACACCAAATCTTTAGCTACCAACCCCCCCGAAAGTCAATCGCAATGGCGCCCATGAATCAGGTCAACAATTACAGTAGTAGTAATTATGGTGAGGCCGTTGTCCGTCAGGCCAATGTCCTCGCCAGCTGCTACATCGTCGATTCCGCCGCGACTCTTCGCGGTGTCCACTACTGCACTACCGGCGCCGCAGGTACGTCACACTCTCCCATTCCACAGTAGCACAATCATATGCATCTCTTTGTCTCCGTCCTGCCTCCCCAACGTACGCCCGTCTTCAGCCTCAAACTTGTAGATAAACTGTCGATCATTCTGGGTTGTCGTCTCTTGTGTACTTCCCACCCCCTATAATCCCCGCACACCTGCATCGACTGTCTCCGGAAACTTGGTAGATTACATGGATCATGGACTGACATCTCTTCGAATCAACAGGGGCCGAGTGGTATTCCTGAGGTCCCCTCCTCAGGACTACCATCGCCTCCTTCAAGCCCCCCCCTCGCGGCCATAACGGCATCCAACGAGCTCGCTCTGCTTCCCAAGGCCAGCAGCAGCAGCTCCAAGAGGCGCGATACCGTGCCCGGCAAGAGGATTAGCCGCAGAGGGGGGGCAGCACTTTCGATCAGGGAAGAATGTGAAAGGTTCTTTTGTGAGTCCATGAGGGCTGTGTTCCGCGGTGAGACGGACACTGGCTCGCGTGGCTCCGGCCTGCATCAAGGTGCTTATTACTACAACAACGGCAGCAGCAACGCCAACAATATGCTGCCAACTCCGCCGCCTGACGAGGACTTGGCCGTTCAACCACACGTCCCGTTCGGGGGACGCGGCGGGGACGGTGCGGTGGGCTTCACGGCCCCTGCCGCACCGGCCCCGGCCACCGCGTGGTTGGAGGTTTGGGACTTTGCCGGCGGCGCGAGTTTCAGGGCCTTTGTGGCGGACGACGGGGTTGAAAAGTCCCTGTTCGCCCTATTTGACAGGAATGTCATTGGACGTGACCTGAAGCCTGCGTATGTTTCACACACCCTCTTTGTCTCAGACTCCGTCCCCTGATGGAACCCTGGCTAACATTCTTTATAGGCTCATGGCGCTGATGGAGTTGGTCGATGGACCGCTCAACTGCCAACACCTGGTCGTCTGCATTGACCGGACCATCGAGGAGGACGACGCAAAGTCGCTGATGAAGAGCTTGCAGTGGATCGGCTTCGAGCTGACGACGCTGGATCACTGGGCGAGAGACGTGGACGTTACGAGCAACCAATGGCTGTTTATGAGCATGGAGATCTAGCATTACTTACCACGGACAGCCTTTCATCGTCCGCGTTCTGTTGAGAAGGGGATTTCCCCTCTCTCACTCATCAGTTCTTTGAGCTTGGCAGTTGGGGAGTTTTTGCTTTTTCAGGCTTCTTCGTCTCTCGTCTTTCCTAGTGTTTGCACGGCACCGCGGTGTATCGTTTCTGCTTTGAGCAAATGGGTTTTGCTTGGGTTACGCACCTTATTCAGTCTTCTTCTTCAGTACGCAAACAGCTCGAGCTTGGAACAAAACAGCAGGATACGGAATTTGTGGTGGGAAAAAGGAGAAACCGTTAAAAGCATTGAACGAAAAAGGGATTCCAGTCTCGTGTTTTGGGCATCTCTCTCATTCTCGCATCTGTATCTGTACATCTGTACGCTAAAAGCTGAAGGGCTGTTTCTCTTTTTACCTTTGTGGTTAGTGTGGTTCATCGCAACTAGCCACAGGGTTTGGTTTTGGGGAGTTTCTACGCAATTGCTTTATCAAGTTGGTGAAAGGGTTCTCTTCTCTTTTCCTTTGGAACTTGAAATGTTGGGACTGTTTGATGTTTGGCAGGAATTGCACACAAAAACACAAGTACAACATAGTATGAAATCACGACATGAGGAAGTCTCTTTCTTTGTATGTCTAGTATCGGGCGAATGTGAGAGTCAACATTGTCACCCAAAATACAACTTCAGGCTTTCCCGGTCCATGACTATCACTGTCAAGGTTTCCAAAACTTCTAAAGTGCTCATTTTCCCTCTCTCAAACGGCTGATCAAATCTCGCCCCCTTTTCCGTCCAATACGCACAAAGGGCATAAGCAACGCTTGACTTTTTCTTCCTTTCCTCCACTTCAACTACCGCTCACCAGAATCATGACCCCCCTCCTCAAATGCTCTCCTCAAACTGCCTCACCTTGAGCCCCTTCTCCGCCAAGAAATCCTTGACCTGCTTGACGGTATACTCCCCGCGGTGGAACATGCCCGCGCCCAGCGCAGCATCCGTCGTCGTCTTGGCAAACACCTCTTCAAAGTGCGCCGGCTCGCCCGCGCCGCTGGACGCGATGACGGGGATCTTGACGGCGGCCTTCACCTGGGAGATGAGCTCGAGATCAAAACCGCTGTTGGTGCCGTCCTTGTCGATGCAGTTGAGCAGAATCTCGCCGGCGCCCATGGCCTCGACGGCTTGGGATAGTTCGACGACGTCCATGTCGCGCGTCTCGCGGCCGCCCTTGATCGTGCAGGCGTACCAGCAGTATTCCTCGCCCTTGGGACCCGGGCCGGTGGACGTCTTGATGATGTTGTGGCGCGTGGCGTCCGTGTTGGGGACGTATACCCGCTTGGGATCGACGGAGACGACGACGGCTTGGTTACCGTAGGCTTTTGAGATTTGTTCGATGGCTGTGTTGCCGAACAACTTGCGGCCCGCGCCGTAGTATTCTTCGGCCGCGAGGACGGCGTCGGAGCCGATGGAGACTTTATCGGCGCCGGATTTGAAGTACATTGTCGCAATCTCGAGGGCCGAGACTTTGGTCCCGTCCGTGTCGACCGTGTCGCGGATGCCGCCGCCGATGGTGAGCGGGACGAAGACGGTCTCCGAGGTGCGACGGAGGATCTCGAGCATGGGAACGTCGGCGAGGGGACAGTCGCGGAAGCTGGTGATGTTGAGAAAGGTGACTTCGTCTGCGCCCTGCTCGTAGTAGCGGCGAGCCATCTCGACTGGCTTGCCGAGGTTGCGGACGGCGCCGCCGTCGGACTTTTCGCGGACGTCGTATTGGTCGCCTTTTGTTACGACGAGGTCGCCTTGGTCGTTTGTGCGGACGTCGAGGCAGGCGATTACGCGGCGGGTGAGGCCGTCTTGGAAGGGGACGGCCTCGGCGGGTGAAGGTGTGGTGGTGGTGGTGGTGCCGGCGGTGGTAGCGGCGGCTAGGTTTGCGGCGCCGGAGCCGTCGAGGAAGGCGCGGAGGCAGCGCAGGCCTGCGGCGCCGGACTTTTCGGGGTGGAACTGCGTCGCGAAGATGTTGCCCCTGGCGAGAGCGCCGACAAAGGTCTCGTTGCCGTAGGTGCCCGTCGCGACGGTCCATCCTTGGGCCTCGAGTTCGCCGCAGACGTAAGGATACTTGTAGGTGTGGACGTAGTAGTATTTGGACTCGGGCCGGAGGTCGTAGAGGCTCGCGCCGCCCGTGTTTGCGCTGTTCCAGCCGATTTGCGGGACGGATTTGGTGGATGCGTCGAAACGGTCGAGACTGCCCTTTACGACGCCGAGGCCGGAGACGTCGGGGTCCTCGAGGGAGCCTTCGAAGAGGGCCTGGATGCCGACGCAGATGCCCATGAAGGGCTTACCTGAGGCGATGTGGGCGGAGATGGCGGGGAGGAAGCCGGCTTGGGAGAGTTGGGAGAGGCAGTGGCCGAAGTGGCCGACACCGGGGAGAATCAGTTTCTGGAAGGGAGAAGGTTAGCTATTTGAAGGCTTTCTCTACGGTATGGCGAGACCAATTTCTTACTTCTGCTGATGGAACATCTTCGGGTCTTCTAATCCATTCGACTTCGTAGCCGACCTTCTCGATGGCGTTCACCAAGCTGCGAACATTGCCCGCGACGTAGTCCAGCAGGTGGACCTTTGGCATGATGGGCACACTGGAGGATGAAGTAGATATAAGGAGTTGGGTATATTGGAAGTCTATAGAGCAGAAAGTAGATCAAAGATTGAGAACGAATGGAACGCGCCGTTATAAAGTATCGTCGCTCGAGGAGGGATATGTCGGATTGTGAGTCAACAGAGCGGGATGTGTGCAAGTCTGATTGTGAGTCGAAGGCCGTCTTTGGGAAATTTACTTGCGATAGCGGGGCAGAGGGGTTGTGAGCATGGAAAGTCCAGCAGTTGCCCCGCACCAGCGGCCGGTCCCCTATTCAGTCGATCTTTGGCCTGTGCCAATCTGCCGTCGAATTGACTGGGGGCGGGTAAGCTTCTTTCCTTTGAAATGGGAACTTTGTAATTATCTTCAACCTGGGAGCTTCAGCAATTTTTTGATGTTGCGTACTCTTTCCGCGCAATGAACTCGCAAATCGATCTTCGCATTCCCTGACGTACTTAGACCGTCGGCGACAACACCGCAGAGCTGCACAGAATCTCAACCCCAATGCACGATTCCCATCAGTCAAATGGAGTCCCCCGCCAGGAATCACGATGACATGGCGACCGACGCGCCGACGTCTTCAGTCGCACCGGTGAATGCTGCGACCGCGCCCGCCGACGAACCATCCGAAGCCTCCAACAAAATTGACGGCGGCGATGACTCGGAGTGGGAGTACGAGTACTCGACCACCGAGACCGAGGTAAACCGTCGCATTGAAGCGAGCAGAAAGATGCAATTGCTAACCATCCCAGACATATTACCTGACTGTCGACCTCTCCATCCCACAGCTTCTTCGGCGCAAACGGAACATGCCAGTGTCAGGACGAGGCGGATATCACTACAAACACTGGGCAGGCCCGACGACGAGGAAACCCAACGAACCGAAACACCATCGCATCATGTCAGACGACGACCAGAACGACGACGAACCAGCCGACGAGCCCGAGGATGACGAAGAGATGGACCAGGGACAGGCCGATCCAAATACAGACAGCTATGATGCAGATCTTGAATCTGAACAAGCTGCCGAGATCCAGATCTTGGATCTGCATTCCGACAAGCCCATGTTCGCGTATAAGGGCAAGATCTTTGAGGGACAATGGACGCGAAATCTCGGTACTGAAGTAATATTCGCTGAACACGAGCACGAGGACCCGATTCCGGCTCTGCGACATCTCCCCGGCGGTGTGGACATGCTCGCGGCGAGCTGGTCGAGGATCAACACGACAGAGAAGCGCCTAGAGCCAAGACACGAAGCGGCGGCGAAGGACGACCCCCTCAAGGACATCAGGAGGAAGCATGGAATTCATATACCCATTACAGCAGACAAGACGGGCGAGCGCAAACGCCAGACGAGGTTTTTGGAGAATTTAATGGCTCTCAAGGTCAAGAGAGGCGAAAAGGACGAGGTCACGGTGTATGCCCACGCCGCGCCGAAGCCGACGGATATAGGTTCGAACAGCCGGAGGAAAAGACGGAAGCCATTGCCGGATGGACCATCGAAACGTGCAAGCCGGGGCGGCAGCGTCCGCGGGAGAGGTGGCTCTTCCGCATTAGGAACGGGTGGCTCTGAACGAAATGAGCGACAAGGCAGCAGCGTTGCAGAGGCTGCGGCTGCGGCTTCGCGGGATGGGGCGTTGTCAACGCCAACGCCGACGACATGGGCGAACCTAGATGGACAAGGCGGAGGCGCGGACAAAGGTTCGGGGCCGAAAGATGAAGACGAGGCAAGCGACAACGACTATGAAGACGACGACGAGGATGGCGGAGATTTGGAGTAGGTCTTGTCAGGAATGCATCCCTCAATTTGGGATACGAGTCTAATCGGACCATACAAACTTTACGTTCGAAATGGTCTTTCTCGCAATCCGAATCCAGCATATACTATGGCTTGTTGGAGAGGATGGATGAAGATGGCGCCCAGGTAGGGCGATGCCTCGGATGAGACGGTGAAACTATGTGACCGCCGTTGCGAGGCTCTACTGTGGTAGGGCCCCCTCCGGGGCCGGGCTCTCCTGGGCTGGCACATGGAATTTTGGGAGAGACATGCATGGAGGCATGATGTGGTCAGACTGACGAGAGGTCCCGGGGAGACTCGACGGGGGCCAGAGTCTGGCCTCAGCAGCAGTGCAAGCACGGCTAAACCTAGAGCTGATGAACTATGATCATCCAAAGGCGTCCTGCGACACCAGCACTGTTTGACGAACTATGGCAAAAGTGTCCGCCTTGTGGGAAGTACATGGGCTGAAAACCCGTTGGACGCTACCTACGGATACCGGTGCCGGCAGGTAGGTAGTCAGCGGGAAAATCGGAGATTAGTTGGGAATGCTTTTAGAAAGAAAACTTACCTTACCTTACAAGACGGTGAATATGGGCGCATACCTGCAAGAAAAGCCTCAGAATGGAGTGTTTCTTACTACTTACATAATAGTTCATGGGTTTCGGCAGATGGTTAGTGAGCCCTGTGTTTTGCAAAGTCATCCCGGCGTGTCACTCGAAAAGCCCACCCGCCCACGGCCAGCTCACATGGGGGAAGCAACTTTACTGAAGGATACACAGCAGTACGACTCGTGATGGGCTACAGGGATCGGCTACTTGCCGTGGGCTGCAGTCACTCAGCGACTCGGCGACAGTCTTGGTACGGATAGAGAGGCGGTGGTACGGAGTACGGCGTACGGATACCTAAAGAGTTAGAGACAGCCTAGGTACGAATAAAGGCAGGGCGGTGGAGAGAGTCAGCAGCGTGCGGAACTGGAGCTTTACTCCTCGTGGGAATCTGCAGGGATCTGGTTGGCCCCGCAGATCCCGGTCTGCTGCCTGCATGAGGTACCGGGAACCTTGGTGCCAATGTGCCACTCCCCTTCCTCTTTCTCTAGAGCATAGGCGCAGAGATACCTGCCTCATTGGAGTGGTTCTGGTAGATAATGCATGTACCTCCGCTCTAGTCAGGAGAAAGGTACCAACATCTAGAACTCTGTACTCTGTACGGACACAGATACAGATACGCAGAGGATTCAAGAAAGAAATCCAGATAGATCCCTTGGTCGGGTGGCGGGCTGCATCAGAGACAAACCCAGCCAGTAGTGGAACATGCATCCGCACCCCCCTCCAATCCCCTCCCGTCTGTCGCCCTCCCACGTCCAGGTCCATGGCCGAATCCAGTACGTCCCTGATCATTGATGCCCTCCCTTGCTTCCCTGCTTCCTGCGGGTTGCTGCCGCTGTCGCTCTCGCCGCCCGTCGCCCGCGCATACCGCTGACCGTATACCGCTAGGTTCTGTCCCAAAGCTTCCTTCTTACTTGTACTGCGTACTGCTCAACTCTTTTTTCCCTTCACACACTTACTCCTAACAGACTTTCCTTGTCCAACAACACAAAACACTTGACCAAGGGGCCTCAGCGTCCGACCGGCCATGCATATCCGCTCGCACCTCCCACCTTCCACCTCTCAATAGCAGACTACACCCTACATGTACACTTGGTGATGCTGTGCGAGACCCCGCTGGCTTTCGCAAGACGTGCCGGCATCCAGAAGCCCCTCCGAACCATCACTCAGCCTCCATAACTGCCAATAGCATATTACCAATCGATCCCGGCGCCTACTATACCGCAACCCTTTAGAGATTCTTTTGCTATTCTCACGAACCCAATTCCTATCCTGCGAGGCCTGGAGCCACCAACGAACTTATCCGATGTATTATCTACGCCGCTTCACCATCTTCCTCGCCTTCTTGGCGTCGCTGTCGTTCGTTGCATGGTTCCTGCCCCGCTACCTCAACCCGAGTCCGCCAGACCCGGCCAAGCAGCGCGAGGATAAGAGATGGGTCAGCAGCAGCCCGTACTGGCTCGATCGTCAGGCCTGTCGTTGGCTGAGTCTATGCGGCGTTCACCACCTCTCATGGGACCCAGCTTCTCTCTTCCCGTACAAGAACGACTCCGACGCCGGCGACTTGCGGTTGGAGCTTAGGTCACTGGATGGACGTCATTCTGGATGGGAGACGGCTTCCAAGAAGCGCTCGCCGAGGGACGACAAGGACGAGAGGAGGAAGGTCTTGAAGGAGATTCCCGACTACGTTCTCAAGTATGCGCCGCTAGTCCACCTCTACTCGGGCGAGAATTTCTGGCCCGCCGACATTGCGGAACACATTCGGCACATGACGCCCTACTTGGAAAAGGAGGCTTTGAACCGTTCCCTGATTTTGTCGGATTTGCACATGCTCAACAAGGAGGACGGCATGGTCTACCTCACCAGCGATGACGATGTGGAGCAGAGGCCCGAATGGCTGCACAGCCATGTTGGCATTCCTGAGCCATGGAACGACGGTGAGGACGACGGTGACAAGGACGAAACGCCCGACAGCCCAACTGGGGAATCCGAACACCCGCGACATGACACTGAGGATACAACGTGGTTCGACGTATCTCGCGATCACCCCGTTCACCGCATCTCGGACCCTCGTCGCTACCCACAATTCCCTGAAGGATCCGCCCGCGCCGCCGGTTTCCACCACCGCCGCCGAGACCAGGAGCAAAAGCCCATTCCCGACACACCAACCCACAAGCCCGATCAGGAAGGCTACTCAAAGGCCCCGGCCATTCTCGTCCTCGTCGACAAGGGCTCCGGCATCGTGGACGCCTTCTGGTTCTTCTTCTACTCGTACAACCTCGGTCAGACGGTGCTGACTATTCGCTTCGGCAACCACGTCGGCGATTGGGAGCACTGCATGATGCGCTTCGAGAACGGCGTGCCCCGTGGCATCTTCTTCTCGGAGCACGAGGGCGGCCAGGCTTACACGTACAACGCCGTCGAGAAGCGGGGCGAGCGTCCCGTCATCTACTCCGCCGTCGGCTCCCACGCCATGTACGCGCAGGCCGGCGAGCACCCGTACGTGCTGCCCTTCAAGATGCTCAAGGATGTGACCGACAAGGGACCCCTTTGGGACCCGTCCAAGAACGCCTACACCTACTGGTACGACTACGTCCAGGACCTCGATGAAGATCTCGACGACGACCTCGATGACGAGGTCGACGTGGCTAGCGGCCACCGTAAGGAGAACCCCACCAGCCTATTCCCCACGGCCGAGAACCCCGACGCGCCGACGTCATGGTTCCATTACGCCGGCCCTTGGGGCGATAAGCTTTATAGCTTGGCCGATATGCGCCAGTGGCGCTTGTTCGCGCAGTACCACTACGTCTCCGGGCCGTTGGGCCCAAAGTTCAAGCGGCTCGATCGCGAGAAGCTATGTATCACTACCCGTTGTCGGATTCTGGATAGCTTAAAGCCCGGACAGACGTGGTATAGTTAGATGAGCTCTTATTTTCCTACAAAGTAATGGTATAGATGAAGTAAAGAACAATCAAACCTCAAAGGAACAATTCATCCTTACTTGGCTCCCTGCATGCCGCGATACGTTGCACTCGTGAGGGATTTTGGTTCAATGTGAGCAATGCACACGGGTTCCACGTTACATCTCCGTTTTGGGTATGCAACTACACTGATTCACAAATTAACCATGGTTGTAGACATCTTGGCCTCGTAAGCTAGTATTCGTATTACGGGATTGCTAGAATCGCTAAGCCTACTGTAGCTTTGGTATCACTCCTTCGTCCTTGCCGGTAGTGATGTACATTCTTTTGCAGCATCGTGAGGTGATGGTGTAGTAATAAGCCGGACTGATAGTGGCACATGGTCAAGATAGCCAGACAGCAGGGTCAACTTAACCCGTCTCAATGCAACTACAACTTGAAGACTGTAGGAGAGTCGTTAACTAGTATACCTTGATCTCTGTTGAACTTGCCCGACTCATCCGCTCCTAGCCAACAGTAGCATACATTCAGTATAGACCAATGACACAGGCAGATTATCAGCACTCGTGGGTTTTACATTTAGAACATACCTATAGCATCTACCACCTAATCCCTCATATATGCTCTTGAACCTAGCATCAAGACCTCAAGATAGTTGATTAGGAACCCTTGATCTGCAGGTTTCCCTCACTGTACATCCAATCCCTCCTTCCATGAACAGAGTTGTGGCACCCAAAAGGTCTCAAAGTGGTATGTGAAAGAGAGCTTGCATTGCTATCTAAGTCGGGGCGAGAAGCCTAGCCTGGCAATATCCCCCTGGCCGGGAAGAGGAACGACGCCCTCGTTATCTGCAATGCTCTGAGTTCTGACATCCACCGGCAAAGCTGCAGCTCAGTATAATCAATAGTAACCCTTCGTTGAAGCGTACAGTTGTCCTACTGCCGTGCATACCGGAATGAGGCTTCCAGCCCTGATAAGCACTGGTGCGACCGCGGACCAATCGAGCTCTCCTTTGTTCTAGTATCTATAGAATATCATGGATTAGAGAGATAATACTCGTCGTCCTCGTCCAATTCCTGACGCGCAATGATTCTTGAATCCATCCTCCAGTACTTCATATCCTGCCCCATGTCGCGGATGAGTTTAGACGTATCTTTGTCAGACAGATTTGCTAAAGCGATAGCCTCCGCCACGGCTCCATCGTCGCCAGGTCGGAGGCCTTGATACGCTACACGAAAACCTGGGGGATTAATCAGTTGCTTTTCGTGGTCCGTGGACTAGATCATAATCAATGGTAAATAGTAGCTGTTGATGTAAGAGACAACAGGTGTCAGAAGGCTTTGCCATCTAGAGCTCTGAGGTGACGAATGCCTCATGAATGAAAGTGACCATTTGGGGACGCTCCTCATCGACCAATCCACATCGTCTGGTGAACACTGAATTCTCCAAGTCTAATTGGAATAATTGTCGAACAAACACAACATTAGACGTCAAAAACTCATGCAGTTGATGTGCTCGTCGGTTGAGATCCGATAGGACTAAACGGAATGCTCTGAGACCCTCTCCATGTCATGAAGTACGTTGTACGCTATTCAACGGAGGTACTTTAAAAGTCCCATAGCATCAAGAACGTAAAATTACGATGGTTGTACATCTCTCCAATTGCCCGGTAGATTGGCCAGAGATAGCAAAAAATGAGCTGCCTGTGACATTATGTAGGACCACCAAATTCGAACTCGCAACCTTTGCAGGACCAAATTACGCGTTATTACTTCCACCACTAGGTCATATACACTTCAGGCGCTGCTCATACCTTCCAATTGAGAATTCCCATTCTATAGATCTAGGGTCAGATGGTCGTGGTGTATTCGTGAATGTTTATTCCACATTGCACGTGACCCCTTCCAGTTCGTACCAAGCACCGGAGAAATCTCGTCAATCCATCGTTCTATGACTCAGCCTCATAGCCAGAAGGAGACCTTGGGTTCCAGATGGCTTCAATAGGCTTAAGTAATGCGATCATAACGTCAAGAACTCGAGTTTGCTCTGAAGACTCCTGAGGTCTCCACTTTGCTACCTTCAGTCATAAAGAGTAATCTCAACATCATCGAGATGGAGTCAATTCAGAGTTTCTGGATACTCAAGCTTACTAGGTTGGTTCACAAGCTTATTTAGATTCTAGATTCAGCAGTCTCAAGCTCAGCAGACCGCATCCAGACGCGGCTTCCCTCTATGTGTAAACTCGAGGAATTGACGAAGCATTTGTTAAGCAACCATTTCAACACTGATATGGCGTACGATCTTCAAGTTTTGGCTTGTAACTTGTAAGTTAAAGCCATGTTCGGTGCCAAGACATACAATCTGCCATGACTCGAAATGAAGCCTTCTCGGGCTCTTATATGTAGCGAAACGCCGACTTTGACTAGACAATCGTGAAGTAGTATATTAAACTTCCTTAGAGCCCAAATCCAATCCTTTCTGTCTGGGTGTAAACTTCTCAGCCAAGGAAAAGTAACCCAGTAGCTTCCAGGTTGAGCGAAGCTAGAAGTCAGGGGTGAGGACTCACTTACACTGTTCCGTCGATAGATTAAGCACTCCCTACCTTTCAATCACAGGCATGTGCAATGACCAACTCGTTAAAATCTCGTAGCTCAAGCCGTCTGTAGTTAGACAGTGAGGGCTTGATTCATTTATGATAGCATCAATCTTTATGGACTTTGCTCACTTGCCTGATCCCACAGCATACTTAAACCGTCCTTCCCCGCGATGAGACAGAGCCGTACAGGTAAGCCTCTGAACCATCACGGAACAGTTTACATTCAATTTTCGACATCAACATGAAGCTGTCCGTCCTTGCCGGCATCGTCCTCTTCAGCAGCTCAGCTTTCGGCTGGATGAGATGGGAATGCAGACAGACCCCGAACTCGGGCTGGGGCGTGAGTCCCTCCCCCATCCTCCTTTTTCTTACGCCACTTATACTCTCCGTCTTTTGGGCGCAGCTATCATGATATAGTCAAGACTGACTTCAAAATCCCGTAGCCTTCGAACTGCTCTCCGGATGACCAGCGTCAGTGCACTACCTCAGCGTGTAACAGCAACGTAAGCACTTCTCTATAACCTCTGCGCGTAGTTGCGAGTAGATGCTAAATGATTGAAAACAGTGTCAACGTGGTGCTCCTTGGAGCAACGCCCGCAGATATGTGTAAGTCTCACAGCGGCCACAACTCTTGCCCTGCTTTGTGTACATGCTGACGATACTTGCTTCACTGCAGAAACGTAGACCTTGGAGATGCTTGCGACTGCTACTGCTGGAACTGAGGAAGGTGTATATAGCTACAGCCGGCGCAATGCATTCATATCCGGATGTCCAGCTTATCAACAATATGAGAGAGATTCATTCCCCGTATCAAAGTTGCTTGACAGCGACGATATCAAGATCCCGATGCCCAACTTGGACCTCCAAAGCAATATCTTCTCCCGCTGAAAGTGTACGTGACAACCTCAGCTGCCCGTCAACAAATACATTCCACGTCCCAGGCCCCAGATTCCTAAGAGCAGGCCTGGTCGTCCTCGTCGAGCCGTCCCACGACCGCACAGTAAGCACCAACATCTTCTCCTCCTCACTCCAATCCCCACGCAAGAAGTCAACACCATCAGCCAACGTAACCCCATCAACAAACGGCCGCGCTAAGACATCCTCCGCAGTCCAAGGTCGCTCCCCAATGATTTTCTGCCCGTCCTCGACATTCAACCTCGCGTACCCGATCGCCGCATTGCCGGAAAAGGGGTCCATGTGCGTCCACCTCATCTCCTCGTCAAAAGGCTCGTCATTACGGGGATAATACAGCCCGCCTCGCTCCCACTTAGGCCCCAGCTTCTTATCCGCGTAGTCGAGCAACGCCGTCAACTCGGCCTCCTTACCCAGCTCCGAGAGCCACTGGACGGTATACCCAAACATGGGCTTGGTGTACGGAAAGCCCCACTTCTTACCTGCCTCGGCCTCCTTTGCGATCAGCACCGCCCGTTGGAGCGTTTCTTGCGAGTCCGGAGCCGCGCCGTCCTCCTTAACCAGCTTCCTGAACTCGTTGCCGACAGCAGGCGGATTAAGGCATATTTCACCTTCTCCCGTGTTGGTGACGTACCCGAGAGCCTGGTCGCCGTAGTGAGCCCTCACGAGGGACCCGTTCCACGAGTACATGAAAGCCGAGCCCCATGCCGTCCACGCGGGATCTTTGGGTCGGACGGTGAAGTCCTGTCTGACCATCCACGCGTCCGGCAGCAGGCCGTCGGAGCCGACGAGCCCTTTCTTGTCCCATGCTGCTTTGTACTTCTCCAGAACGTCGTCCACGACCGAAGTACCCAGACGAGCGTCCCGAAGACGCATTCCGATCAACTTCCACACTTCTCAGTCCACACCTCTCAGTTATCAATAGATTCATGCCGGCACTCACAGGAAACTGGTTGCAAACAACAAACACCATATTCGGCTCACAACAGACCCCAATCCACCCGTTCCCCTCCATCTCCTTGAGAATAGCACCCTGCAAACTTCCCGCATCATACGAGAACTTCTCCGGCCCCATCCCAAAAAACAGCGGATTCCACAAAAACTCCAACGACCCAGGCCTCTCAAACTCATCATCATCAAACAACATCCCATACAACGCCACCATCATCAGCAAATGCCCGCTATACATGATATTCTCCCTCACAACAGGATCAGCCCACGGCTTCCTAAGCTCTTTGAGATCCGGATCCGTCGCGATACCCGCCATGCTCGTGTTAAACCAGTACGCCCACACGGCGCGCAGGAGCATCTTGTGGATCGTCTGGCGCATGAGCTTCTTGTAGACGCTGCGGAGGGCCGGTTGGTGGTGGTAGTGCGCAAGCCCCGCTGCGTAGGCCATGGTCGCGAGCTGTTAGCGGTAGGCGTCGAGGAATTCTTGGAGGGGCTCTTGTGAGCCCATTAGGTTCCAGTCGTTGTCGGGTTGGGAGACGAGGTTGTGGAAGTGGCGGAGGTGGCCGGCTTGTTCTCGTGTTAGTTTGGGGTGCTTGGATAGGTCTGGTGCTTGTGGTTGCTGCAGATGCTGCTGCTGCTGCTTTTCGCTCGTCATTGTGATGGTGGTGGTTGAAGCCATGGTTGCGATTCGGGTCGACTGTCATGAGGCGGTCGTTAGAACGGCGGAAATAGTTGATGAGTCTACAAAGGCGCGAAACCGCTACATCGACCGACTCCTCGCTTCTGCAACAGAGCGGTAGACATCATAAATAAGTCCAAAGGATTCACGGGGTTCGGGTTTGACACGGAGCTACCCGCTCATGATCGGCCGTAAAAAGCCGGACTACACCGAGCCCGACAAAATGTCAGACGAGGAGTAGCTGACGAGGACCTAGAAGGAAGGATTGCCAACAAAGTCCCCATTCCCGGCACTACTCGGCAAGGGCATTGCGTTGCCCGAGCGCCCGGGAGACTCGATGTCTTTCTTCCTGTTGGAGGATGGAGTTCCCGCAGGCACGAACTTTAGTTCTGTAGTCGAGCGGGGATACGTCTCCTGTCAGCATCCTTCTCGCTACTCCCCTCGTTGGCTGATTTTTGTTTTACTAGAAGGATTTCTGTTGCCTAAAGAGGGTAATTAATCGTAGCTACTTTGACCAATTGAAGACCGTTATGAATTTCGAGTTGTCATTTATAGGGTTTCCTCTACAATCTACAATAATCGTGATTTTGCTCTTCGCGAGAAAGCTCATGTGTCAGATATGAATCATCAACTCCAGGAGGAAACCTTACTTGGACGTCTTGTGAATCTGCATCGATCAAAATCGACTGGATTCTTATCCGCAGGTGAAAGAGGGCTTGGGGATAGATAGAAAAGTAAGAGGGCCGTCTTCGATGCCTCATGATGCCGTCCTAGCAAACGCAATATTATCAGTCATGCAGTTTCTGGAACCTCAAAAGATAGTCATCAATGATTAAATGAGCTTGTTTAGAAAACGGTAGCATGTTGCAACTCCTGAAGTGTCCCTATCGGCAAATCATCAAACACCTAAGCCCTCATCCCATACCCAAACTCCAAACGCAGCCCTAGACTCCGTCCATGCCTTTTTACCCAGTCCGTCATTTATCTTCGATATCCATCATTCCAAACTCCTAGCAATAGCATCGCCATCAGACACATCTCCCTCACTCAAACTTGCCCGACCCAAACAGCCCATTGACAGCCTGGTGTCTCCTCTCAGCACCCTTCCACTTCCTCGCCTCCCTCCTCTTCTCATTCTCCTGGATCGCCGCGCGGCGCTCATTCTCTCTCGCCAAAGCACTAACACCAGACTTCTTGCTCGCGTTCTTCTTGATCTTGCCATCGTCACCGAAACCACCGCCACCGCCGCCACGAGCAGAGAAACCCGCGGCTCCGCCATTGCCGGCTCCACTGCCGCCAATACCACCGCCGATACTGCCGCCGCCGCTACCCTGCGAACTCAACACGGACGAGTTCGTCGTCGCGCGCCGGAGCAGTGCGGGGACTCTAAAGCTGCTGCCGCCGCTAGAAGTCGAGGCAGCAGCGTTGGGCATAGCAAAGGCGAGCTTGGTGGAGGTCGTCGACATGGTGGAGGATGACTGGCGTTTCATGGTGAGGCGGTCAACGACCACCTGGCGCGAGTTGGTGCGCCGGGGGTTCTTGCCGGGGGAGCGGTTCTCCTTGTTACCCCCGCGCGAGGGCTGTGCCTCCTCGTCGTCCGCCTCGCTGTCCGAGTGCGGATCGGTAGCAGGAATCACCTCGTTAAGGTCCTCGAGCAGACTGGAGACGGACTCGCGAATTTCGCCCAGATTAGAGGGCCTCTTGCCGTCCTTTGTCCTGCGAGCGTTGGTGGTGGACGGCGCGTTCGCGGCGTTGGAGGCGAGAGGTGCACGTTGCGCCCCAGGTTGGCTGTCGGGCACAGTAGTCTGCTGCTGCTGCTGCTGCTCCTGGGACTGAGAGTTCTCAGTCTCCGTCGGCTCGGGCGCAAAGTCGAGGAAATCCATCTCTTCGTCGCTGCCGCGGTCCTCGATGGTGCGGAGGAAGGCCTGGTTGCCGGGTTTCTCGGCGATTTTCTTGATGCGTTCGTCGGCGAAGAGGGCCTGCTGCATCTTCTGGAACTGGCGACGCTTCAAACGCCGACGGGCTTCACCGCCGTCATCCGAGTCGGAGAGGTCGTAGTCGGCGCCACGCTTGCGGCGGAGCATACCGGTTGTGATATCATGGAAGAGCTTGTCGACCATCTTCTCATCGCTCTGACGCTCATTATCACTGGAGCAATATTAGCCGAGAAAATTACACTCTAGACAGAAATTACTTACGCGTGAAGAGCAGCAAGTTTGCGCTCGTCATCGGCAGTCATGCCGTTCTCGTCGTCAATCATCTCCTTGACGGAGGCAGCATCACTGTCGTCGTCGTCGTCGCTGTCCTCGCCATCCGCGCCTCCGAGTCCAGCGTATTCATCCTCGGACTCGTCGGCCTGGTCCTCCACCATTTCCTTGGCCTTGCTCTTCTTGCGGTTGTACTCCTCCGCCTTCTTGAGCTGTTTCTGCTTCTTGACGGCCTCCTTCATGACGTTGAAGGCAGTCGTCTTGAAGCCGAAGTCGTCGACCTCGGGACTGGCCCTGGACTCCTCGACGTCTTCGTCATCCATGACAGTAGCTCCGATGTCGATCTTGCGGCGCAGTTTGCCCCTGCGAGCAAGAGGCGACTCCTGTACTGAGTCAGCCTCGGCGTCGTTGTCGAGGACCATGGTGTCTACGGTCGAAGGAGGCGGCTCGACAAAGCGCTGCTTCAACGGCGTGTAGTCTTGCGGGCCAGCGTCCTGAGTGGCATCTATAGAAACCTGAGTAAACGGCTCGTCGTCACGCAGGAGGCTGTCAAATCCATGCGCCTGGGATTGAGTGAAGTGAAGGTGTATGCCCTCCGCGGAATCCGGCTGCGTCTCGGCTCTCTGGGTGTCGCCGCCCTGGCTGTCGAGAATCATGCTGTCGTGTTGTTGGGTGAGGCCCATCAAGTTGGAGTCGGGAAGGCTGTCGAAATCCGGCATAGGAGATTGAGATGGGATCGTGCCGAGAGCTGCCTGGCTGTCATCCATTGTACCAGCAAAGATCTGGGTAAGACCCAGCCCAGCGGCTCCTGTAACAGGTAGTCCAGGAATAAATGTCTTCTTCGCAGATCGCAGTACCGAGGTGGGGACGGCGGGTGATTTCGTATTGGGCGCAACGGGGGACTGTTGAGTTGCAGTCCTGGGTCTAGGCGTCGCCTCGATCCTGTCCTCGTCTTCATCGTCCGAGATGACCTGGCTCTTCTTTGACCGACGGATGTTGCGCGTAGGAAGACCCATGTCGTCTTCAGACTCGGGATCATTCTCGACTTCTGAAGCATCAGCCTCGGCTTCAGGGTGCTCTGAGCCGCTATCGTCAGCTTCGTTGTCGAACAGCGCAACACCTTCCATCTCCGCCTCGGAGCCATCTTCATCCACATCGGCATCCTCGTCTTCAGAGCCAGACAACTCAAGCTCGACCTCAACGCCTCCCTCCGCCTCCTCTTCGGAACCGTCGTACGACTCGTCATCACTGTCGTCCCAGACATCGAGCTCGCCATTCTTCCTCTTCTCTTTCTTCTCCTTCTTGGCAGCTGCTCTCTCCCGCTCCATAATGTCCTCGGCTTCCCTCCTGGCGCGGGAGACAATGTCCTCGACTTCCTGCATTTCGCGCTCGCGCTCCTCGGCGGTCTGCACGACGATGCCCTTTGACTTGAGATACTCGACTCGCTTTTCGCGCTCCATCTTGGCCTGCTGGCGGGCGCGCTGCTGTAGAGTCATCTGCAATTGAGCCGTGGTGATTGTTGCCTTTTCATATTTTCTCTTTCTCTCCTTGGTTGGCGATCCCACCCGAGCGAGGCGGCGCAGATTAAGGAGAGATCGAGATCCATCTGCCTTGCTTCCCGGGGCCCTGTTGAAGATGGCATCAAATTTGCCGTTCTTGGCGATGGCCAAATCATCATCGTCGTCAAGGTCGATGACTGCATGATTTATTGAGACTGAGGGCAGCTTGATGCGAACTTGACGTCGAGGCTTGACGTTCTTGACAACTTTCTCTTCGGGGGACGCAACGGCCTTGGCCTTGCCCTTGTCAACCCTTCTCGATGCCTCGAACACATCGTCGAGGGAAGGCGTGTCACCATCATCATCGAAATCAACAGTGGGCTGCGCGACAGTCGTGGGCTCTTGAACCTTGGCAGGAGAGGCAGCCTTGGCGACAGGAGGGGAGCTAGGCGGTGTCTCGGGGTCCTTCATCTCAGCATCGGTCTGGTGCGCCGAGACAGGCGTGGTAGGGCGACTGGAGCTCGACAGCTTGGGATCAGGCTTGGGTTGAGCTCCAAAGTTGAACCGCTGGAGGAAGTCCGCCTTCGTGAACTTCTTTCTCGTCTTGGCCTCGTGGGCAAGCTGCATGTTACGGGCCATGCGCTGGGTCTCGCGAGCCATCTCCTCGACGGCTTTCTTCCCGGCCTTCCTCGTGGGTCTAACGGCTTGGCTGAGCTTCCGGCCACCCTCGTCGTCTGTAATATCGGACACGTTGCCGGCATCGTCATCGTCGTCAAAGAGGTCGACGTTGCTGATGGGCTGGCGTTCCATTCGCTCGGCACGCTTCTTCTCCTCCTCGGCTTCGCGTGCGAGTCTCTCTTGTTTCTTGCGCTCGACGAGTGCCTGGAATCTGGCGTTCTTTGTAATTGAGGGGAGTGAGTCCGAGTCGGAGGCGTCGTCGGCTGTTGTTGTGGTCGCAGGCTTGACGGGTGACTGTCGGTCCGGAGACACGAATAGTCCAGGACTCGACCGTGCCGCTGGGCTCTGTGGTGGCGGCGGCGTGGTTTGTCTGTCCTGCTTCCTCTGCAGTCGCCGCGGTGCAACCGGGATGTCTTCTTCTTCCGCGTCTCTCATGGTCGCGTCCTCGTCCTCTTCGTCTGCATCATCGTCGTTGTTGGACCCCAGTCGTCTCTGAATTCGGTCTAGGAAGCTTTCGGGCTCGTCTTCTGCGTCTGAAGGCTCGGCGCCACCCTTGAGCTGGGCAGCGAGCCGTCCTCTGGGGCGAAAGACGACTTCTTCTTCCGAGTCACTCGCTTGGGTGGCTTGCGGTGGTGACTTGCTCTTCTTGCGGGTCTGCTTGGGTTCGTCGTCCTCTGAACTGGTGTCAATGGCAGCCAAACGGGCTTCCATGCGTGCCTTTATTGTCTCAGGTGCCGGGCTCGCGCTGGGGGAGCGCGATGCGGCCTTCTCAGAAGCCATGGTGAATTGTGGTTGTGATTATAGAAAGGCACGAAGCCGGGTATCAAAACATGAAAAGATTAAAGTGAAGCTGCTCGAGTTACGGTGTACTTGCAGGTACCAATATTGCGTGAAGAGTGTTATGGGAGAGTTGGGTGGTAGGTGGTGGGCAGAGGTGGTATTAGTGGAGTGAAAGTCAATTAAGAGCTCTTTGACGCGTCCGGCCGACGCGACGTGTTGGTGTGCGCTACGGGACGAGACGGGACAGGAGCTTATCGCAAAACGCGGCGCCACTAAACACGCCGATAAGAACCGCTAAAGTGACACGGGACCCACCCGGAGTTCACACCGACCGGAGCTCTTATCGATAAGCACTGCTGTATGTAGATGGCTTCGGTGACCTCACCTTCAACTGAAGACTGAGGTGACGAGCACCAATTCACTGCAGATCAATAAAAGAGATTGTAGCTTAAGGTAATACTAAGGTACTTAGTGTGATTCATTACCTTACTACGTGGTGCCCATCTCGGAGTCATGGATACACGTGACCTCCTCCATCTGAATCCACGTGAAGGGTATATACCCCCCCTCAACTCCATTCCTGTCACCAGCACAGCAGGCGCCCTCTAGGTCGGAGGTCAGATCAAACTGGGCTGGGTGGTGGAATGGTCTAAGGTTAACAATCATATTACGCCCACAGCCTGCCTAATCGACGACAGGCTCCGAGTTCGAGTTCGATTCCCAGCATGAGCACCAAGAGATGTAGCCCACAATTCAGCACCGGGGGGGTGAACTCTTTTTTTGTCCTCTTTCAGTAGTTAATTGCAGCCGCAGACTGAGTCGAGCGCTCACGCTTGATCTTGCTTGCTTGGGTTGAGCTATAATTCGAAAGCCATTTTGAATAATCATTAGTTAAAGGGAAAGTGCCCGGGGTGTTCTGTTCGCGCGGTTAATGCCACCACCCCTTCTCTTCTTGAGTCCAGTAATAACGCGAGGCCCTTAACGTTTAGTATACATCTCTTCTTCACCCATTATCCAGCCAACCTCTTCTCCATATCCCTCCCTCCCTCCCTCCTCTTCAACCCATGCACCCTCTCACCAACCGACTTCGCAAACGTATCCACAGACCACGCCCTCCTCCCATCATCATTGTACCCAAAATCCAACACATAATATCCAACCATAACCACCAGGATCAACGGCGCCGACGTCACAAAATACACCCAGAACAGCTCGCCCCCAGGTCCAAACGGCTTTTCAATCGAAAAAACGGAAGCCGTGTACACCAGCGGGATGAACACCAACCCCAGCAGCGTCACCGCATTGGTACTCTTGGCCTCGCGGATACTCCGCTGCTGCTCCTTGTACGCCTGCCTGTTGCCCGTGATGCCCGCCAGCCCCGTCACCGCCGCGTTGAGCGTCTCGGCGCGGTGACGAAGCTCCCGGAACCGGAGGTGCAGGAACTGGAAATCCGCTGAGCAGTCTGACCATGCTGCCGCGCCGTGGTCTTTTCCGGGCGATTGCAGTGGTGGCATCGCGGTGGTGGCTCCGGCCACCGCCGGAGGTGCTGGTGACAGTGGAATCCCGAGCTGTAGCATGATCCCCTCCATGTCCTCGAGATACTCTCCCGTCCGCCTCTCCCAGCCCTGCATATCACTCCAGAGCGCCTCAACTTTGTTCATCGGCAGCTTCGCGAGGTCCTGCTTGCGCGTGAGACCACGCTGCACTGCAGAGAGCGTAGCGCGAAGGTGCTCCGTCTGCTTGAGCAAGTGTGAGGCCACAATCTTGCTCAAAAAGACGTTGACCACGGATTCTGGGTCCGCGACTTTGACTAGCTGAGAGTGTGTCTCGAGGTAGAAGGCGAGGTCTTCCAGCATGGAGGTCCTCGGGGGCCCGCAGTGGTGGTGGCGACCTCTTCCTCTAGCGATGCGGATTTGCGATTCTTCGGGGACGAAGTCGAGGTAGCCACCCTGATATGGCCAGGTCTTGACGTCGTGCTCAATCTTATAATCATCTCCCGTCCGGACTCTTCGCACCGGAGGATCACAGAGAACGAGACCTATATGTCGTCAGTATCTGACATGGGGCGGTAAGAGGACAAGCAAGCTCACAATCCCACCCACCACCACCCTCACCCCTCCTCACCCCTCCTCGACCAAACACCACACTTCCTCCTCACAACCCCAACATTCAAAAACCGATCAAACTCGTCCGGCGAATTATCCCACTTGAAATCCCGCGAGACCCCAATATGCCGCCCCGTCGCCGCGCACACCCACCGAAAACTCATCGGCCGCGTATCAAACGTCACGACCTCGTAGTACTTCATCGCCACGTGCCCGCGGCCCCGCAGCACCGACGGCAGCTGCGCGCCGTCGCTCTCGCCCGTCCAGTTGACGTTGTGCACGACCACGCGCTCGTGCTCGACAAAGACGGAAGGGTGCAGCGAGAAGTGGTGCCCGAAAACGCCTGCGAAGCCGGGGCCGAGACCCTCGAGGATGTAGATGTTTTGCTGTCCTTGTTGTGATGTTGTGTCGTGGAAGTGTGCTTCTAGGTCGGCTGGTTCTTCGAACTATGCCGTTCTGGTGAAGGCACCGTTGTCTCCGAGGATGAGCTTGACGACTCGGACTCCGTCGTCTGTGAAGGGGATGCGCTGGGTTTTGGCCTTGGGGTCTCGCTGTCTAAGTCGATGGTCTGAGAAACATAGGGACCGGACAAAGTCGTCGTAGTCGCTCGCCTTCAGCAAGCCATCCTCCGTCTTTCTCCATGTTATTCAATTGAATCCACGGGCCGATGTGTCAGTCAGTGTGGCCAAGTTTTAAATGAAGAAATTGGGGTACGCCAATAGCAAAGAACGAGACTATGTAGACAGCAATAAGCGAGCGTTGAGTGATTGAGACGTTGACAAGAGCTCCGAGACTTGCAATCGAACCTCAAATTATGAGAGGTGATCTACGAGTCGGGTTCGGGGGTATTTGAGTAGAATGAAAGCGGTCAAGAGTAGAGCAGGCTGCCGTAAGATCATTCAGTCTGCGTTCGCAGCGGCTGAGAGTTGGCGGGAGGGGATTGCAGTCATGCTTCGCCATCCGCCCTGAACTGAAGCTACAGAAAAGTGACTTGCCCGATTGGGAGACCGAGAGTGGCTTCGCTCACTTCCGACATTCAGGCTGCCTGCGGGTGTCCGTCCCCCTCAATTTTCGCCAACAAGAAGTTTCATCCTCGCGTGCCCTGAAAATGTATCTCAAGTTCCCCAAGCGCGATTCTCTCGCAAGAGACCGGGGCGGCGCAGCCCTAAATATGCCAATATGAGTGCTCCTCGTCTTCTCGATTGCCATACACCAATAATTACACACTCTTCATCATCGGGAAGCCTTTCTATGATACCAACAGAAATCACGGCTCCTGAAATTATCATCCAAACGTAAATTCCTTTCTTCATGCGTTGTATTGGCTCTGTGCCTTGATCCCCTCGCCAATGTTGATCCAGTCGAGCTTTTGTCCTGGGTCAGCCTTGCACAAACAACACATTGACGCCGTGCTAACACGGCCAACTCGGTGTCCAAAAAGAGAGAGACTTACCAAAACGACGTTCGGTGTGCTTCCCCACATGCCTCTACATAAGTTGACCTGCTTGTCAATGGATGACAGGGAATTCGTCTTTGGTGCTTCAATCTGGTTGGGGATCTTGATGCCTGCGAAGAGCTCAATGTCGAGGAAGTGGTTGACAAGATACATGTAGCCATTCGGATCTAGACCTTGCGGCCGGTCGATATTGCAGTTGGGGAAATTTGAGTCGGTCTCCCCGAAAAGCGTCTCCCAGTAATACTGGAACTCATCGAGAATGTAATCGACTTTGCTCGTATCGGCATGATAGTCTGTCTTTATCAGTCACTGCTGATGAGTCGTCACAGGCGATTCAACAACATACCCATGAATACGACCAGTCTCGTCCCATCATCAATCAGGGTCTGAAGTGTAGGCCACTGGTCTATAGCCACTTTCTCGTCAGGCTTGAAGACGTACTTATCCAACCCCGTACTCTTGAAAGTGTCGCCGAATTGCGTGACCGGCATTGCGTCAATGTTTGTTAGAAGCAAAGTGACCACTTCCCGCGGATGCGCCTCCATCCAAGTGGTTATCTCTTCGAGATACTTGGACAACGGCCCAGAGTCTAATAGAGCGCAGTCCGTATGGCACATCTGGATCTGACCGTCCTTGTTCTGGGTCTGAGCTTGTAGGAAGCGCACGCCGAGATCAAGCTGGTCTGTTACCGATACATATTGATTGTGGGCCGGAGTGATGCCAACAAAGGCACTGTTGTGGGAACCGACAAACGTCACGTCGGAATACTTCTTTCCACAGAGAGCGTCATTGCCGTTACAAGATGCCGCGACGGCAACGCCCACGAAGGCCGGCAGAAAGTATGCACCGCGCATAGTGATGTGACGACGATAGACAACGGTGGGAAAAACAGAATCGGCATCTTATTGAGGGTCGCAAGACCGAGTATATAATCAATGTAATCGAGTCCAGCAATTTTTCAGCCGTCAGGGGCCTGATGATAGCTTAAAGTGACATCTCGGACGGGCTGACGAATCAGATGTCATATTGGACACCTGCCAACACTCTGGACGAAGACTTTGGGAGGCCAACACGCCGAATCTGGAAGCGCCTGTTGATCTAGAGCTGAATGACCCCTCGTAATGGAATGGTCCGACATGTGAGCGATGGCACCCAAGAGCCATGTCTCTGCGGACTGTTGCTGTTGAAGCGACGGCTTTTGTTCGTGTGATTGGGTCATGGCGTATCATGGAGATCAGGCAGGTGGGATTAAGACGGAGAAGGGTCCTCGAAGGCTTGAGATGCCTGTCCAGACGGGCAGCTTTGCCACATCCATCAACCAGTCAGTAGGATTGGCTTCTGTGAAGACAGTGCCACATGCTCATCCGAATATGGGCCATTGGACTTGCTATCGACTCTTGGGAACCGAAGGTGAGGGGAATAGAGGAGCAGTTGTCGCTTTCTTGGCATCGGGATAGAGTCAACGTGGTCGGCATTTTGAGGCTTCAATGGCGTTTTGGGTCAATGATGATTGGCCCATTACGGCCCATGGCTGCCAACTTCATGCGCCACACCTCTCTTGTTGGAGGACATTGTTGTTGGTGAGGATGGATTGGCTGTTGCGAGAAGAAGTGAAGAAAAGAGGCCTGCTCTGATCGTTGAGTGAAACAAGAAGGTTGACGAATGACGGTCTCGGGACGGGCAGTATCGAAATGGGCGGGTGGCGGCAGTCATCAGGGCCCGGCAGGCGCAGAGGGGGCTCTTTCATGGCGCTAACGCCGGTAGTGGCAGGGGCCGTCCAGGGGAGAAACTCTTGGTGGGCAGCGGGCATCCACACTTGCTGACCTTATTCGCTGGGGCCATCTGCAGCTTCTTGTGGCTGCCCTTTTTTTGCACTCTTCTCCTGCCCTCTTTGGCAATGTGATCTTCCTCCCAAGAACAACGTCACGAGAGACTTCGTTGCAACTACAACCCTCCATGTCGACAACTCGACGACTTTGGTCACTGCGTCCATTGAGTCTTTGGTGTAACACAATCTTTTCTCGCACACGTGGTTCATCTTCTTGTTTTGGTCCATTCTTTCACTACAGAGGTTACCCAGATTCTGGCTGTGTTGTGGCCATGTTAACGATGCTCTCTGCTTCGTGGTGACCGCAAGTGCCTACAGTCAGTCGGGGCTGCAATCACTTTGCCCAAGAGAACATATCCATCTCGGGATGACTCTAGCTTCATGGCGGTCTGAACTTGAGAGGAACGTCACTCTTGGCGGACAGACGTTGACAACGAGACGAGCCATAGGCGGCTATCGTCCATGCGCCTACGCGAAAGCATGTACCGCTCACCTAAGACGATATTTCCTCTGGTATGATGCTCCAAAGCAAGGGGATCTGGAAGATCATCCTTATGCCGCGCTGAGCATATGGGAACCTTACCGAACGTTGAACAGGGTTTCGTTCAACCAAGGTATTCACCAGGCTCAAACACCTTTGTCAAACCTGTCAGGAAATCGTCGCAACTGAATCAGGATTCGAGCTATTCATCCCTTCACCACCTAAGTCTCCGTCTCATTGAAGCAATCTTGAGGCGCAGCACTCTTCGTACTTCGGACGAAGCCAAGGCATGCAACATTACGGGCAAAAAGACCTCGGATCGTGACAATGAGATGCTTACAACGGCCGAAGGAGGCCCCCTTCGTCCTATTTGTCTAGCTAGCCTCCACCGATGGACCTGTTCTAACCGATAGCTCCATCGGTGTGTTGTACGAAGCTAGACAACCTCAAGGAGCTCCCGGCAGTCGTCTTCCAGAGTATGTCCATTTCAAGGCAGAATACCTCGGTCATTTCTTCTTCCCGGCCCTTGCGAGATCTTTGGCTGGGCTACCCTGATCATGGTCGAGCACATCGACCCGGACTTTGGGGTTTATGGTACGCGTACAGCATGACTAACACGTTGAACCCAACGATCTGGGTCTTCATCTTGCTACTGCGCGCTTGGAAAGATTTGTGTATCTGAAAACCCGGGCCGGGTTTGAAGCAATAGGCACGATCTGATTGCCGAAACTCATCCGCGTACTGCGAAAGAATTGCATGATCGATGAGGAGCCTCAACGCTGGTGAAAGCCGATAGAAAGACCGTCTGGACACCGAAAGCGAGAATGCAATGATGCCGCGAAGGAGTTCACAGATCAGCATGGCTTCCAAACCCGACGAGCGTGCAGCCATGACAATTCATGAGACAAGCGAGATGGAACCCACCATGACCAGGTCGAGGTCTGAGGATCACCAAAACTAAACAAACTCAGATTGCGACCCATCGAGGCTGCAGATTTCTCACCTGTGTCGCAAAAGGGAGCTAGGTGGTCTGCACAGCCCTCAGAACAAGCATATCCGCCGATCGACGTCATCCCCTGTTGGTTATGCTTGTTTTCTTGCGCGGCGGATTTACCGGCAGATCCCCCTCAGCCCCTCACACCGTCAACTACACCACCTTGTCCACCTGGCCGGGGGCCATCAGTCGGCCAAACTACGCAGAGGGCGGAGGGCGGAGGGCAAAGGGCAAAGGGGGAAACAACCGTGCGCATCGTGGACGAAACATGGAATTCCTCCGACGTCCGAGTTCGTGCCTCTCTTTGCCTAGAGTTTCGCCAAGGGCTGTCAATCGGCTCGTCGAAGGCTTGTCATAACTCGACTCGAGACGGCATCCCATTGCCGAGCTTTCATCCCGCCTACTGGTCCTGCCAAGCCATGTCAGCGGCTGGCTGGAAATGTCACAATGTCACGTCGTTCACGTCTCTCGATGACGGTTCGAATGTCGTGAACTATCTTCTGGACAAGATCCCACCACCTCGGACGTAGGTATCTAACTTCCATGAGTAATATCGCCCCAACTCCTTATGGAGAAGGGGACCACAATCTAAGTCTATCCGTCTTCTGTCCGAGGACCGAAACGAAAGCGGAGTCTTATCTACCTTGTGTGCAGATAGAATCTCTGCCTACTCCCAACTTCTACCTCATATGTCCTTCGGTCTCTGAGTGGAACCCGGCCGCGGTGAGTCGAGCTGTGTCGAGCTGTGTCGAGAGATCCGGGGCCCTTACCCAACAAGGCATGGTGGCATGGCCTCGACGCTCTCCCGTACTCGGAGTATGGAGACCTGAGGGGCGCCCACTTACCTCCCGGAGCTTCCTGAATACGAATGGAGACGCTTCTCTCGCGAATTCCGTGGTGTTTGGCCCCGTCTCAACCTCCATCAGGAATCAGTCAGCGGCGTATCTGGCCCAAGCTCGCTGGCCCTGGCCAGCAACCTCACACGCCTCACGTTTGAGGATCTACACCATCCTAGCGTCGTTCTCAAATCTTTTGCAGAATGACATGGGATGGCCCTTGTTATTCCCAGGAACGCTCCCGCCGCTAAACCTTGTCCGACATCATCGACGCCGAGCCCCAAACAACCGTGGAGACTCCTTAGCCTTACTCCTGAAGAGAGCCTCCTCGCTTCCCCACAACCATGATTTTCAAAGATCTACCAATCGGGTTCGAGATCACCAATAGCTTGTTCCTGCATAATCCATTCTGGCCGTCTTTGCCGGAGGGAAACTGGACTCGGTCTAACTCCCTGGCGCGTGGCGTTTCTCTCTCGCCCGGTCATCGCTCAGGACCCGCAAACCCCTTCGCAACGGTCACAAACCAATCGCATCTTTCGAAAGCTCGCCTTTGCTGGTGCACACAGCCTGCGTCGTCCAGTCGTCAGATCAATGCTTCAACTGATCTTTCGTGAGAAGTCAGCGGCAAGATGCTTCACTCAGGAGAACGCAACGGCCGCAATCCCTGGTCATGGGAACTGGGCCCGTAGTTTGCCAAGCCCCATCAAATGTCTACCAAGACTGTCCAAGACCTGTCATCCAGAGTATCGACAAGTTTGTATAAGAATCACTCGCATGTCCGGTCAAACTTTCGTCTTTTCCCTTCTCATCAGCATTTCATCTTCACTTCAGCCTTCTTTCATCTGCCTTTCTTTCCGACACGAGCCCGGAGCTCCTACACGGCCTTTTACAATTTAATAGTACGCATTCTTAGTTCCACTAACTTTCACCAATCTTTCAACCGCCAAAATGAAGTACGGCTCAGCTCTCCTCCTCGCGGCTTTCGCTGCCACCAACGTCTTTGCCCACGGTGTCATCGACGGTGTTCAGGGTGCCAACGGTGTCAACCTTCCCGGTCTTTCTTGTAAGCCAACCATATCAGATTGATATGCAAGAGCTTCCACTAACACCATTCAGTGATCGATGACACTCCCCGTGATTGCGCCTCTCCTCGCTGCGGTTCCGAGGCCGACACTTCCATCATCCGTGACCGCGAGCTCGGCACCGCCAAGGCCTCCGCTCTTGGCCGCACCCAGGGTGGTGGTCCCGTCGATGCCGCTGCCATGATGCAGACCTTCATGAACGGTGCTGCCGGCAACACAACCGCCACCAAGGCTGCCCGTGAGATCCACGAGGCCAACCTCGCCCGCCGCTTTGCCAACATCGCCGCCCGCCAGGCCGGCAAGGGCGCCAAGACACCCAAGGGCACTGTCGAGACTGGTGTCAAGGCCGCCACCGGTATGGCTGTCCAGCAGGGCATGCCCACCACCGCCGACGATGGCACCATCTCCATGACCTTCCACCAGGTCAACCAGGACGGCGCCGGCCCCCTCAAGGCTGACATTGACGGCACCTCCGGCGGCACCGACCCCACTGCCTTCAAGACCGCCGAGGTCACCCAGAACGTTCCCGGTATCGGTATCGGCGGTCTGTCCGGTGCCTCCACCATGGATTTCCCCGTCAAGGTCCAGATGCCCGCTGGTATGACCTGCGACGCCAACGTCGGTGGCGCCAGCAACGTCTGCGTCGCTCGCCTTCGCAACGCCGCCCTTGCTGGTCCCTTCGGTGGCTCCGTCGCCTTCACTCAGTCCACTGCCGCCCGCAAGCGCGCCGTCGAGTTCAACCTCAAGAAGCGTTCGGAGCGCCGCTCCGCCCGCGACTTCAAGGCCTAAAGTGGTTTCGCACTTTTTTGGAGCATCGGAGAAATAGTTTGCGCACGGCTACGCAGCAGGGAGGAAAAAGGTCGTCATTTTACATATTTCGGAGTTGACGGGGTGGTTCTTCGAGTAACCTTGCCAGGGGCATTGGTGCTGCGATCTACAACCGTCGAACGGGGGAGTTAGTTAAACATTTCAAACAGACTGAGTTCTGGCTTCATTGCTTGCTACTTACTCTCTCTTGTATCATTGCATTCCATCCTTTACATGATATCCTGTGGATACGTTGGGAATTTTGTCTATAGTCCTGCTACATAGAAGTGTTGATGAAATAAAGATGATTTGTGGTTCTTGAAAAAATTACTCTTCGCCTACTGTTTCTTGTGACTTTTGATGCCAGATATTTACTACCTTAACTAATCTTGGCCGTGTTCACTGCTGTCTACTAGAGGTATTTGGTGGACAACTTCAGCCACCGGTCATGATTACATCGGACTTTTGAGAAAATAAGCATTCTGTTCACAAGGACTCTGCTAGCTGCGGGTGGAGCAAAACGGGAAGGGTGAGAGGGATCCGCAGAATTGTTCGCGGATGCGTCCTTATGAGGCACGTTTCAATGCCGCGTAGATCCTCCTGGGTGGCCTGGCTTACACGACACTGCACACAAGGTATCTATCTACAATGGTTCTAGCTAAAGTATTTCCCTCCGGGAAAAAAAGAATATACAACGGGGCTCAACTGGCCTCTTCAAAAAAACCAAAAAAAAAAAAAACCCACACCGAGGCCAGAGTCTTTTCTACGAGAGTGCTTCCGGTCGGAGAATAAGTCAGTCTTCTCACCGGTACGTTTGCCCCGGTGGCCAATGTGAGGTCGGATGTGTAAGATGCGTGAAAAACGCGCGAGTCAACTCCGGCGAACCCGGCCGGCTACCCCTCCCACTTTCCACACTTCGTCTGAACTCTTGATGCGCGTACCTGGCGTGCCTGGGCTGGCGTCATCGCTGTAAGGAAGTATGCTGTTGTATCCTTCTACGCGCACCCTCATACATTCGAAGGGAATTCTCTACTGATGGCTGGCCACGTTTTTATCCTCCCGCAAGTGGCCAAAAAAGATTGGTCATTCATAAAGTTTCTTTCTGAGATCTTCGGGGTTTTGGATGTAAGTAACGACTGAGAGAGTAGATTCCCGGAGATATTCCTACTCCATCCAGATTACAATAATCAACATTAGCGATATGAAGGGGACTGATCCTAGTATACCAATGTCCGTAAGGCGTGCAAGGTACTAGAGCCACCCGCTTTCCGACTTCACGCCCCCCTCCGGCTCCGGGCACGAGCACGGGTAAAAGCTTCAAGAACTCTCGCCTCACTTGGTTCTAGAACGGGACGGCGTTGGGTGTGAGGGGGGGGGGGGGGGGGGTGAAGTTGAAGTTGAAGGTTTTTTTGGTCTTTCGATGAGGTGTGGTGTACGTCAGCGGGAATGCCGGGCATAGCGGGAACGGCGGCCACCGTTTTTCTTTCTAGGTAATTGACATCTTGTTGAATGCCGCGCGGAGTTGGGGTGACATGTGTCCCCGTTCCTGTGGGTGTGTAGATGGGAGTTTCCGAAATCCAGAGTGATCCAGAATTGTGATAGTTACCTCGGAGTTCCGAGGTTGGTTCCATTCCCTTAGGTCCTTCTTCCGATCCCGTTCATCTGCGCGGATCTGAAAGACCTCGCGAAAGTGCAGATGACGTGCGATGTTTCATGGTAGTTTGAGAGGGACTCGAGATGGGATTTCCGCCGCCCCCCCATTCTCTTTCTTTTTCGAATTCGGAAATACGGGTCCGCCGTTGGGACCCCCCGCTCGGCATCCGCAGATTGTTTCCGGCCCGGGGTCCCGGGCCCGGTGGGTGGGATAAGAAGATGGGGGAAAAGATCAAGCTTTGATGATTTGAATTGTTTCTGCGGAGAATATGGTCAGGCCCATCGGGTTGGTTTTGTATCCCAGCGGAGATCTCGGAGAGTTTTAGGTTCTTGCCTCTGTGAATGCATTGCGAGAGTGCGTTTACGATGCATGGTAGTATCCGAGTAGGAGAAGAGCCGCATACGTTTGATAACGTCTCCATTTCGAGATGATGCTCTCCGTTTTCTCTGTAATGTTCGCCTGTACTCCCTGTGGTCGAACTTGGATACGCTCAACCTAATTTCGTGGTCAACGTCGTTGGGAGAATTATCATGGTAGGATGAAGTTATGCTTTATGAACTTTGTTTCCTCCTGCTTATGTCCTCTAGCGACCTTGCTTCCCGCTAGTATCGGAGTGTTCTTGATACATCATAGCCCGTCATAGTCTTGTTTAGTTTTGTAGTAGAACCACTTCTTGACACCTGCTGGTTTTCCTCCTCCTTCTTCTTCTTTTTCTTCTTCTTCTTCTTCTTCACTGGAATCTGCCTTAACCCGGCTTGATTCTTAAGTGGCCTAGAGCGAGATGCAGGCGGTTAACGACAGCGGACTCGGAGCACGTACATGAGGGCAAACTTCATACGTTAGACGTAGCTAATCATCTATTACTCTAGGCAGAGAGCACTTCATGCTTGTTACAATTTCCGGAAGGAAAAGTCACGTTACGGGCCTCTGAGAACTCGGCCTAAACATGGAGATCCTCGGTGGGGCTGGTACCGATTTGCTGGGCTCAGCGGGTCGCATTCTCCGGCAAAACTCTGTCAAAAAGATCCTTCAATTAGAACTGATAGCTGCTTACCCAAAGCCATGGTATATCAGATAACCCTCATCCGAGGGCGGTCCTCTGAACATATTCGCCTCTGTACCCTCCGGCTGCGGAGCCAAACAGAATAGCAAGTAAGGAGCAAAAGTTCAAAAGGTTTGAACTCAATCTGTGCAAAGAAATACCCTCTCCAAATTGGCAGTAGACTGCATAGATTCAATTATATCCATTCGCGGCTGATGCTCAACCAAACAAGATGGCTACCCCATTGCCTGCCTCAGAGATACCTACCTAAGCAAGTCAATAAGTACCTGGCACTGAAGAGGAGCCTGCTAGGGCCGATGTCCCGCAAGCTGAAAAGTCGCGGTCTCGGCGGGTTTCCAGTTGACGTTCCATCCCGTTAAAGGGCATCCCGACATCGACGGAGCGGTAAGATGGCCTACTCCGACACTCCGTGCCAGCTCGCCAAGAAGGGTAATCCAACGACACTTTTGCTAGTATAGCTCAGCGTCAGGACGTAAATTGTTTGCTCGGAAGACACGGAGATTTCTCGGCTGCTTCTCGTTCCCTGCTGTTTCTGTCTGTCTCTAGACAGAGAACTAAAGACACCTGCAGTGCAGACACTCTGAGAGAAACGCATGAAATTGTGTAATCCCCCCAACAAACCCAATCGGGAATCATCACATTGGCAAGGATAAATTACAACAGTAGCGGTCAAGAAACTCCTGCCGCCTCAAAGTCCCTCGGCCGAGGGTAAAATGCTTCGTTATTCGGGAGGATGAAGTGCGAGGGAATGAAACTATTTGCTGTACATCCTTACATGGGAAAAGAACGCTATACGCGCAAGTGAAGCCCGTTAGCGTTATGTGCATAGTGCCCTTGTGGTAAGGTAGGTAGCTGGCGTGTACGCTGTTCTCGAATACCCTGGCGCGTCCTGCAGGCACGCTCATGCGGGATTCATGCGGTTGAAGAGAAGAGTGGACACCGAACAGCAGCCATCAGCCCAGCGGAAGACTAGCCGAGATGGAGGGTGGTAGGGAGGGGGCCATCGGCGGGAGGTTTGGGCACGGGTGGGAAGATTGGAGGCAGGGGAGAAGCAGATGTACAGGTGGGTTCATCGATACGCGGCTGGAATACGCCCCATTGCTGTCACTATTGGATATTGAACAAGTACTGATAAACTGATGAACCCCGGAGCATTGTGAGCGTTCAGAAGAATAACCAGCTCAAATCACCTTAGTGCTCCAGAGTCCTCCAACGGTCCAACCTCCCACAACGGGGCCCCGCATTCAGCCGAAGAATCCGCTCCGAGGTCGCCGGCGGAAAGAACGCTTGTGGCACGGACTCGGAGCCAATTAGAAGGTCGATGCCCCTCCATCCCCCCCTCCGGTAGCCGGTTCAGGCCTCCCCTCGCTTGCTCGTGTCCACTGTCCACATCAGAGCAAATTGGGGGCGGTGGAGGGGGGAGGGGCAGCTGGAGCCTGGAGACAACTGAAATGCCCCGCCATCCCACTGGGTCGGGTTCTTGGTGACGACGCTGCTTTTGGACACCTTTTCGGACACCCTTTGCGCGGAATAATACCGTTGAAGTCAAGCATGGAAATGAGGGCAATATGAGTCTATATCTCTATGAGAGAGGGTACGACAGACGGATGTGAGTCTTTTCGGCCATAGTACACTTGAGGAGAGCATTACCTCGCAATAAGGTTGTGTCCCCGCGTGTACGTGTGTACCAAGGCGGCATGTGAAAACCTACCACAAAAAAAGAGACCACGCGCCATGCGGTTCGTCGGATGTGTACACAGGAACACAGAGCACACAAGCAATGACAAGAGGACAGATAGAGAAAGAGGGACATGGAAGATAAGCCTAATGCATAAACCTCTGCAGAGCTTATCTGCATCACGACACTTGGCCTCGTACAGCCTTCTCACAAACATCACACCAGTGATCTGTTCGTCTACTTATCCCGCGCCAGGCGAGCGTTTTATCTTACCATACCTTACTTATCCTACGTTTTGTTTTTTATCCCGCATCCTCATGCACCTCCAAGACGGCTCATCCATGCAGACGTACCCAAAGTAATCAAAGACTAAACCCAACAAACACGCCGTTACCGTAACCGTTTAACATCTGTCTGCGTGTTCCCATCACTGTTGTCACATACAGATAACTCCACCAGAGCTGTGCTTCCCCCTCCCCTGTTGGCCTGTCACCCCGTCCGTCCGCCCGTCTCACCGCCCCTCCCAACAACGGACGACGTAGCGCCAGGCCCTTTCCTCATCCTTCCGCCGGCGTCCCGGATAGCTCCTTGGCTCTAATCTAACTTAGCATTTAGACGAACCATCCGTATCCCGCACTCTACCGAGCTATATACCTACCTTACCCACGTCTCCCGAAGCCACTCCCTCTCTCCTTCTCTTTCTCTCTTCATCCCATCACAGAAGACCAAAGAGAATAGTCTCACCAGGATCCCAAAAGCTTCCACCAAGAACCACCACCTAACCAAAAACCTCCTCCATCGTCTGATCGCGCTTACGAGTCGCGGTCATCCCCGTCGTCAAGACGTTTTCCAACCTCCTCAACTCGTAAGTATAGCCTCACTCTCAACTCAATTCATATCACACCGTTCACGAAAGCATCTCAAACCCCATGACACATTTGCTAACCTCAATGTCTAGGGTCCATCACCCGTACGCAGGAGCCCGCTGCTCAGCCGCCCCCGGGGCTTCAGCGGACTCGGCCTTTGATCTCTAAAGGCCCTTCTCATCAACGAGAAACAAACCAACTTACCGCCTGAACACTGAAAACCCCAAATCTACCTCACCCTCTCTCTGTCAGATCATGGCTCCCCATGCAGAGGTAGACTCGGGCTCCGCGCACGGAGATGGACCAACCAACGGCAACGGCAACGGCGCCGTGACTACTAACCTAGCCCACCGCCCCCAGCAGCACGACCGCGAGCTGTTCACCGTTGACTCCCCCAACGTCGTCTACAACGACAACGAGATCCTCTCCAAGTACACCTACCGCACCACAAAGGTCACAAAGGACGCCGCCACCGGCAAGTACGTCGCCAAGCCCACCACCACGCTCTACGAGTTCAAGACGGACCGCAAGGTCCCCAAGGTCGGCATGATGCTCGTCGGCTGGGGCGGCAACAACGGCACCACCGTCACCGCGGGCATCCTCGCCAACCGCCGCGGTCTCGAGTGGGATACCCGCGAAGGCGCCCGCGCCGCAAACTACTACGGCTCCGTCATCATGGGGTCCACCGTCAAGCTGGGCACCGACGCCGAGACGGCAAAGGACGTCAATATCCCCTTCCACGACCTGCTTCCCATGGTCCACCCCAACGACCTGGCCATTGGCGGTTGGGATATCAGCAAGCTGAGCTTGGCCGACGCCATGGACCGCGCGCAGGTGCTGGAGCCGACGCTCAAGATGCAGGTCAAGAAGGAGATGGCTGAGATGGTCCCGCTTCCTAGCGTCTACTACCCTGACTTCATCGCTGCCAACCAGGAGGACAGGGCCGACAATTTGATTCCCGGAAGCAAGGCCTCCATGGCTCACGTTGAGCAGATCCGCAAGGATATTCGGTAAGTAATTTCTCAGCAGGCTATGAAGGGCATTGTTGGTTGCTGGTGCTGTTGTTGGTGCTAAGTGTGAAAACAGCGACTTCAAGGAGGCCAACGGTCTCGACAAGGTCATTGTGCAGTGGACCGCCAACACGGAGCGATACGCCGACATCATCCCGGGCGTCAACGACACCGCCGATAACCTGCTCAAGTCCATCGAGGAGGGCCACGAGGAGGTCTCGCCCTCGACCGTCTTCTCTGTTGCCTGCACGCTTGAAGGTGTCCCCTTCATCAACGGCTCCCCGCAGAACACCTTTGTCCCCGGCGCCATCGAGCTGGCCGAGAAGCACGGGTCCTTCATCGGCGGCGACGACTTCAAGTCGGGCCAGACCAAGATGAAATCGGCTCTCGTCGACTTCCTCATCAACGCGGGTATCAAGCTGACCTCCATTGCGAGCTACAACCACCTGGGCAACAACGACGGCAAGAACCTCAGCTCGCACAAGCAGTTCCGTTCCAAGGAGATTAGCAAGTCCAACGTGGTGGACGACATGGTTGAGGCCAACACGGTGTTGTACAAGGAGGGCGAGCACCCTGACCACACCGTCGTCATCAAGTACATGCCAGCCGTGGGCGACAACAAGCGCGCGCTCGACGAGTACTACGCCGAGATCTTCATGGGCGGTCACCAGACCATCTCGCTTTTCAACGTGTGCGAGGACTCGCTGCTGGCATCGCCGCTCATCATCGACCTCGTGCTCGTGGCCGAAATGATGACGCGCATCCAGTGGAAGGCTTCCTCGTCGGACGGTGTCGCGACCAAGGACTTTAAGGGATTCCACAGCGTGCTGAGCATCTTGAGCTACATGCTCAAGGCGCCTCTGACCCCGCCGGGAACCCCCGTCATCAACGCGTTGAGCAAGCAGCGTGCCGCGCTGACTAACATCTTCCGCGCCTGCGTTGGTCTGGAGCCCGAGTCTGAGATGACGCTCGAACACAAGCTGTTCTGATGCGCCACCAGACTGTGAATGAATGTTCCATTCTTTGCCATACCACGTGGGGCCCTCTTTTGATACGTTGCTTTGCTGTTTCCGATTCTGGAGGTCGATAACAAGATATCAACACAATCGCCTCGTCCGATCATTGAGAGTTGCGTTGATGATTTGAGATAGTGCCTATATTTATTATAAAAAATACAGTCAGTCATTACAGCATGCCGTAAGCGTCCCAGATGTTAAAGTTTTGGCATCTCGTATCGTGAAGCTATTTGGGAAGTAGCCACGCAAGCTCTCATGACTTGAACCTTAGAAGTGCCGTTCTCGAAAGCGAAAGCTTGCTAGAAGCATGGACCTGTGCTGTCGAGAGTCGAGACGAGTTTACGCCTGGTGGTGATGTCGAGCAGGTGTTCATTGGTCGTGCACGGAAAAGACGAGGATATGAGCCGCACAGCATTGAAGCAGATGGGACGTTGGCCAATCAGTGCGTTGGAAATGCTCTCAATGGCTGTGGCCCAGACATGCCCGCTCGCTATCTTGGAAGCGTCGGACGATATCAGTCATCATGTCAACTGCGCGGGCCTATTTTTAGTCACAGGCGAGTGAAAACGAAGACGTGGCGTAGTGTAAAGCTCAGACACAGGCCTGTCAGGATGTTGTATCCATATATCCATACATCCGCAGCTGGAGAAGGAAAAAGATCTGGAGATGTTGGAGACTCTGGAGAATGTTTCGAGCCGGGGGGGGGGCTGGAATGACATTCCAATATCTGTGTCCAGCTGCCAATCGCCGTGTCTACTGCTCGTTAATCTTCTCCGCAGTCAAGCGAGGGAGGATGACGAAAGTCGATAGACGAGAGAAAAAAGGGGGAAACTCGGTGGGAATTCTGCGAGGTGTTCGGTGTCGGTAAACAGAGGCGCAATTGCTTGCTGTCCGTCCAATGGCAAGAGGTGAGGTGGGCGCGCGCCGCGGGGGGACGTCTCCAAAGCTAAAATTCTAGCCCGAGTAAGACGTAACGGTGCAGGAGCAGGGGGACAAAGGGGACTCCGTACTTTCTGTAAAAGACATGACCTGATTGGATCAAGGGCAGGAGATGGCCTTGTTAGCTGCCCCTGGAGGCCTGGGGAGGGACCATCTGGCGACCACTTGCGACGGCCCTTGTTGATACTGGTGCTCCGCTGTGCCTGATCTGCCAAATGGTTGCCGGGGTGTTGCTGGTGATGAAATTGCCCAGCTTTAATCAAGCATAAAGTAGCAATAGAACCGTAAGTAGGCGGGTGAGACGGCTGCTTTGGGTGGGTAGAAACCACGCTGAGAACGAGAGAGACAGAGCGGAAGAAAAAGACGTGGTGGGAGGCTGGCGGGAGGGAAGACGGAAGGGAACGGGGAACGCCCAACCTTACTCATCCCTCGGACAGTACCTACCTACCTTCCTCTCACCACCACCTCACCTTCTTGTTAGACGTTATTATGGAGGGACAGACCTGGGCAGGCAATTACCTACCGGTACCACGTATCCAGTGAAGAAAAAAGATACACTTCTACTTGCCAAGACGGGCCCTTTTGACGCAGGCGCGTGTGTCGTCCGCCAAGTACCTTATTTTGCCTTTCAGACAGCCTGCCTTCGCCCAAACCAGCAGTTAATCTGCGTTTCCTGATTTCTCCCTCTACCCCTTGGGCAACAACGCTGTTACTTTCTGTAGCTTTTCCTCTTCATTTCTCTTTTCCCCTCTCCCAGTTGAAACCTCACGTCGAATCTCGTTCACGACTGTTTTCGCATCTTCGACAGGCGCCCCGGCCGCCACTACCACAGACAAGACTTGCGACGATGTTGTTTTCCACACTTGGGCGCGTTGCCCTTGCTGCAGGTTAGTGCCCTGACTGCTTATTTGCGCGTTTCCCCATTGGCGACCCAGTCCAGCGACGAGGGTCGGCGTCATCCTTCAGCTTCAATCCAACAGATTCCTTCTTCCAGAAGCACAGACAAACATCTAGATTAGAGACCCTGGACATTTTATCGCCATCCTCGTCAATCTAGCGGGAACCCCACACTGACATGGACTTCTTCTCGTAGCCGCGTTTGCGACATGCTCATTTGCACAAAGCTCCAAAGACGATGATCTCGGCCAATCGACCTTCGTCGCCCCGGAGAACAATGTCGCCTTTGGCTTCACCGTACCCGAAAACAGCGGCGAGGACATCTTCTTCACGATGCGGGCCCCCATCGACCGCACATGGGCTGCCATTGGCATCGGCCAGGATCAGATGGCCGGCAGCTTGATCTTTATGATCTATCGCGACGAGACGGGCAACAACGTCACCTTCTCACCTCGCATAGCTTACGGAAATTACGAGCCGACGTATTACAATAATATGCAGTGGGACGTTCTTGCCGGGACGGGTGTTTT